CTGGAGTAGCAGCTCCCGCGTCACGTAATCTGTAGCCCCCCCCCCCCCCCCCCCCCCGCCGATAGGGGGGGGGGGGGGGGCGGCGCTTTTTATCATTAGTTTTTGATAAAGTTTTGCTGTGTCTTCCCCCAAGATAGCCCACCCCCATGTTTTTCACCATTTACCTCTTCATTTTGAGGGGGGGGGGGGGGGGGGCGTTCTCTGGGAACTTTACAACTTTACTATAGTCAAGACCCTGTCAGTGCATTTGTTTTTGCCTTGTTTTCCAATTGATGTAACTCCTTTGTACTTTTATGCTTTGTTTTATGTTTTTCCACCCTGCTAGATCCCTCATAAGTAGGGCTCCATGTTTTCGGATAAATCCAAGAAACTCCGAAAAACACCCGCCGGTAAAATTTTTTTATCCGGTAAACTCCGAATTGTTATGTGCCCATGCCAACTCCCCCCCCTTACCCCACAGCAAAAAAAAAAAAAAAGATTTTTTTTTTTTTTTTACAATTTGTGCAGCGCAGGTTCAATGGTCCTGGGAAAATGACACCATCATTATCTTTCAAGACTCGGACCGTTGTCAAAAGGGGGTCTTACGGCTTGTCTCGTCATGGTTGGTTCAGGAAACAGGTCATTGTACCATTTGTGTCACGACAAAAGCCACTCTTTTGGTTTTCTGTTCGGTCCATGGGATTTGGGATTTAGAGAAAGGAGAGGGTATGTTTCTGGGGGGGTGACAGCGAAAGCTATGGACCATAGAGATTGTATAAAATGGGGAAGAGGGGCAGTTGAAACTTCTCTATTACAACCTTAACCACTCCACCTCGCGCGGCCGGGGGATAGATTGATGGGATGACTACGAGCTTCCTTGCGGCTGCCTCCCGCAGTTTATTGATTTTAAGGTATCGACTTGCGACTTTTGTCGTGGGACAAATTAGTATAGCCAATGACACCAATGCCAAGTTCGACTGAAGAAATCTTAATTGATACAAGCGCGTTTTAATTTTGATCTTGCATACGTTTGCATCCGCTTATTATTTATTATTTTTTAATAGGAAACACTGCAAAAGTAATCTCCGAATTTCGGAGAATTGGGGATTTATGAAAAATAAACTCCGATAAATACCAAATTTTTGCTAAAAAATAAACTCCAAAAACACCCTCCGAATTTCACGAAAAAAAACAAAAAAACTCCGAAAACACGGAGCCCTACTCATGAGGGATCAGCAGTATTTGTAAATAAAATAAAACAAAAACATCCTTAACCTTAATTTCCCTAAAATATATTCGCCGTTTTTTTTTTAAGGCATGAGCGTGATTTTTTTTTAATTGGGCGTAAAACTAGGCATGATTCAATAATTGAGTAAAAATTGAATTTTTTCTAAACGCTTCACAATTCATTCTTTTAAATTTAAACAGCTTTTAGCATATGCCTCCTTCAAGTAAAATGTCACGGCAAAAAAAAAAAAAGAGAAAAAAAAGAAAAAAGAAACATTTTATGGGAGCAAGCTGCCAGCGATGGCAGCAGTGGCGTCGCTAGGGTCAGCGGCACCCGAGGCGGTAACCTTTTAACCCCCTTTCCCCTTGTGACACCACTGCATGGCAGTCATCAGGAATTGCAAAGAAGCATACTAATTAGTTGAATAATTCATTTAATTCACTTAAATTTACTAATGAGCTTATTCAGTAGTGAAAGTAAACATCTGGTTTCAGTTAAAACTTGCTGAGCATCGTCGATAAATACTAAAGCAACTAATCTGAAGAATAGATATAAGCCACCTAAAACACTTTCCGGCTTTCCGAAGAAACGCTTGATTTCGACGCATCTTTAGGCTTCGGCTTCCTTTTGAAGCGCATCATCGTGCCAGCAGTCCTGCCCCGTCATGGCCGAGGTGCGCAACGCTTGTGTGTCGCACTTCCTTCTAATAAGGGAAGTGAGGCAGTAGCTGCGCGCTTTGGCCACGGGGTTGCAGGGTTGCTGGCACAAAGGTATGCTCCGATAGGTACCAATATTCGCAATGTTTTATTCTTTTTTAATTATACCAGGCGCTCGCGTGCACTGTCCCGGCTTCAAAGAGTTGTTTTCTCCTAGGCACGCGACTGCGGTATGCATTCTTTTCAAAATCTTGATTGCAATGGGTTAGCGTTGCTCAGCGCGCTTCTTACCGCAACGCCTGTGGGAACGAGCTCTGCGGGTGTTGCTTCTCCGCAGTGCACCGGCGCTCAGTAAGAAGCGCACTTCACGGGGCTCACCCACCATGATTAACATTTCGTAAGGTATGAATATCGTAGTTCACCTCATGGGCGGCTGAAGAGGGGGCGGGGAAAGGGGCGATGCCCTGCCCCCTCTCTAAATCTCTCAAGGTCAACTTTTGTTTTCTAGAAAAAAAAAAGCAACATGCATCAGTTTTGTTAGAAATGTTTAGTTTTTGGTGACATGGCACATACTAGGTCAACAAAAGAGAACTGGGCAACGCTTCACCTGTAACATCATCTTTTTGCAGACACCCCCCCTCCCCCCCGGGCCAGCCAAATGCACATCCCCCCCAAACTGGGACCCATAAATCCACTCTGGTTCACCTCGAAGCGAATATCGAATAACGGATTTGTTAGAAGCTACTATTAAAAATTCAAATATTCCCACACATTTTATTGATATTCAGTTTTGCCTTTATTTGATATAGCCAACAATCACAGTTATTTTTATGCTAGTTTTGCCCAAATAATCATGAAAAAAAAAGTTTCCAGGATGGAGAGAAAGAAACAAGGTGGTACTCCTCTGTGGTAAAGACTAATAGAAGTATTGTATATCCCTTCAATTGTTCGAGCTCAATATGGTTGAGAAGTGAGACACTGTTGAGAAAGCACTGAGTGTGGCTTCCCCTTCTATCAAACGAAATCCCCAATGCAAAGAACTGTTTTTCTTTGTACTTTATAATTTTGACTCGTTGAGCGATGGAATTCTTTTAGCACCCAAACAGGTAAAAAAAAAAAGAAATTAGCTTCTTACCAAGTCCTTTAATTTGAGGAAAAACAGAAATTATTTTTTGTAATGCATTTATTGGACCATAAATGCTTTTACAAAAACAGCCAACCTTTCTCAGCACATTGGCAGCTAGTTTAGCCGTATTGTTTTTCTGTGCCACTGCTGCCAAATGTAAGGATGGGGGGCCGAGGACTTGTCAAGCTGCATCATGCAGCTTTTTTGCTTGGTCTCCCTCCGTCATACACTTTTGACGGAAAATAAAACATATTATTATTATTATAGAGGTAAAAATAGCAGCTGTGCAAAAACTAGGACAGATCGTCGTTTCACAGGTGCCCCCTAGTCAGTGCCCCTGACTCTTCTGAAACTCCCCCTAATTCTTGCAAATTGGGATATCCGTGGTTCCCCCTTCCCCCCAATATACCTTTCCAAAAATATATGGTGCCCACCTCCCCTCCTCACAAACTTCTTGACACACTGTGACGTTGGGATGTGCGGCAGGTGAGATTATCCATGAAGCGAAGGCAAAATTGACGTTCGTTTAACATTTCGTGATTTCAGAACGCAGAGAAGGCAGATGGAAAGCAAGACAGAGTATGTGATATGACATTGTTCTGTGTTTGTTTTAGTTTTCGTGCTTTCCGAGCTCCTAATGCTGAGGGAGAATAACCTGTGCCGCTTCCAGGATATACGAGGCATCCGAGTTGGAACTTAAATACATCAGAACAGCCCCACAACTCCCCGCGATTTTCCGGAAAGGTTTATTGGAAGGGCTGCGAAAGGATAAAGAGAGGAACTTGCCCTCTGCACGAAGGGGAATGGAAGGACACGGGAGGGGCATGGGAGGGGCATGGGAGGGGCGGAGGCGAGCCAGGAGAAGTCCTCAGCTCGTCTTCCTTATTGTCCAGGTGGTGGACTCGTGGTTGCTGGCGCACGCGGTGCCCCAAAGTGTGGTGCAAGACCAGGGCCACAACACGGCGGTGGTGCGCTGCAACTCCGGCGGCTCAGCCTCCCTCAACGGTTCGGGCGTCTCCCCGCCCATGCGCAAGATATCGGCATGCGAGTTCGACCGGGGCAATCCCCTGCGCCCCATCGTGCAGACGAGCTTCGACGGCACGCCCACTTTCCTCGCTTTGCCGGCCGGCGGCGAGGCCCAGGTGAGCGCCTTTTGCCGCAGCGGCTGCCCGGTCTCCTCCTTGCAGCGCCGGACTGTGCTGCCTGGAATGCGTCTCCAACTGGTGGGTTCGGCGTCCTCTCCCACCCACGCATTAAAAGTGGTCTCGAAGTGGCAACAGCCGACGTCGCAGAAGCCGGCGTGTCACGCTGTCGGATGTCGCTATCCTGGCTGTTTAGTGTAGACGTCCCAACAAAAAGTATGAGTGAACGCGAATGTTGTTGTTGTCGCGGCGGTCCGACTCTGGGCTGCAGAGGCTTCCACATAATGTCAAGTTGGAGAGCGGCCTGCAGCGGAACAGGCATTTGCCACACCCACCACCATTGTTGCGACGCCATCAGGATTGCGGCCTGCGGCAATTGCCGCAGGCCGCAATCGCCTCGTTCAGCTACGATGCCTGGAATGAGTGTGTCATCGACGGGTGTGCTTTATGTGTCCTAAACAATGGTCCCTCGATTTCCACCAGTGACAACCTGACAACATCGTAGAAGTGTCATATGTTAACATATGACACTTCTACGATGTTGTCAGGTTGTCACTGGTGGAAATCGAGGGACCATTGTTTAGGACACATAAAGCACACCCGTCGATGACACACTCATTCCAGGCATCGTAGCTGAACGAGGCGTTTCGGTTTCTACACCTAGCTGGCTGGGGCTGCAGTCGCCACGTGTTTGCTGAGGTCAAAGGCAATGAGAAGGCGAGTGTACCGGGTATGTCCGAGAAGACATTCCCACGCCTTGTGTGGTGCATCAGAGTTAACAATGTTTTGCCAAAACCATGGTGCCTAAAATGCCTCTCTGACTGGTGTGTCCAGCGCGGCCTCAAAAGTGGACCCTCAATTTCTGCTTCAGGACGTCGCAGAAGCGTCATACTGTTGCGGGCCATGACCTTGGCATGTCTCAGCAGTGGTGGTGGATGTTGTGGAAGCCTTTTCTGCTGCAGGTCGCTTTCCAGATTGACAGTCTTTGGTAGCCTTGGCAGCCGGGAGTTTGGACGCCATGGCAACTGCGACACTCGCGTCCACTGATACTCTTTCCAGAACCTTTACACCCAACCCTCAGGATTGCGACATCCGTCAGCGTGACACTCCGGCTTTTGTGACATAATTTGTTGCCATTTCGGGACCACTTCCAATGCATGCGTAGACTAGGATGCTAAGCACACCACTCGGAAACGCATTCCAGGCATCATACCTAAAGTCACCGATAGGTAACCCTGGTGATGAAGGCAGTACGTGAAAGTTTCGGCCCGACGCGTTACCTGGCTCAAAAGTTGGAAGTAGTCTCCCGAACGCGTGAGCGGGCCACCGTCTTCTGCCAGTAGCGGACGTCGACCGGTGCTAGTGGTAGCTGGTGGTGCTAGCTGTCCGTTCCACATTGTGGTGGCTGCATGTGGAAAGTATGCTTGAACCGAACCGCCGGCCAGCATAAGTTTTAAGTTTCAATGTCATTTAGCCGGTGAAAGAATTGCGCCTCCAACTCGCTCAATTTGGGCCTCAGCACTGAAACATTTTACTGTCATAGCCGCTACAAAAATGTCTTCGACTGCAGCAGTCGTTCGAGCTCCATTCATAGAGTCGTTGCCTCTTTTTTATTTTACGAACGACTCTGAAAATTGTTTTACGTCGTCCAGTGTAATGCCTCAAGGGGGTCGGGCGGCTGCTTCTTGGTGGGGAGAGATGGTTGACATCCGAGCTGTCTTTTCAGAGAAAAAGTGACTGCCGTCGGATGTTTCTGCAGAACGCCTCCGCGCCGCGGCAGCAGCGACGGAGTCGCCAGGAATTACGAGCACTCAACGAGAGAGAGCTGATCTTTGAACTGGTCAAGGACATCTGCAATGAACTGGACATCCGAATGCTGTGCCACAAGATTCTTCAGAATGTCACGGTCTGTCTGTTCTCTTTTTTCCCCTTGATCTCTTCCTGCAGAACCAAACTTCTCGCTTGTACAGCAACTTGTCCATCGGCCTCCGTTGCCCGCACGGCCGTATTTAGGTCTAGCGACATTTTACAGCGAAGCTGTTATACACTAGGGTCTCGGAAAAAATGCGTCCTCATATGCTGACAGAAAGCTCCCCATTGGTCATGGGAAGTATGAATAAACAAAAATAAAAAGAGTGGGCCACCGCCATGAGTCAGCCTTCCTTGGCATTATTAGATAGTGAAGTCCTGATCCCTTGTTACCATCTCTAGGCATCGTCCTCGAGGTCGTTCTGAAAGTAATCCTTGAGGTCGTTCGAAAGGTCATCCTAGGCGTCGTCCTTTAGGCGTTGTCCTCGAGGTCGTCCTAGAAGTCGTACTCAAGGGCGTCCTAGAAGTCGTCCTTAAGGTCATCCTCTAAGCGTCGTCCTCGAGGTCATCCTAAAGTTGTCCTTGAGGTCGTCCTAGACGTCGTCCTTGAGGTCGTCCCAGACGTCGTCCTTTAGGCGGCGTCCTCGAGGTCATCCTACAAGTCGTCCTTGAGGTCGTCCTAGACGTTGTCCCCTAGGCGTCGACCTCAAGGTCATCCTGGAGGTCGTCCTTGAGGTCGTCCTAGACATAGTCCTATAGGCATCGTCCTAGACGTAAAGATAACAGCTTCGCTGGTCTTCCCCATCTTCACGTGAAGTGGAAGGAATCTACAATTTTTCAGGAGGCATCTTGGGGGGGATTATTTGGTGGCCAAGCAGAACACACGTAGCTGAGGCTCGTGCTGCAGAATTCCCGGGGATCCTGCGTTCGGTCCCCACCCCTGTCTGTATGGTCTGGACGAGCACCGTACCGATGTACAGCCGCGCACCTGCGTGATGCATGTTAGAGACCTCGGGCTAGCAGTTGTCATGCACCGGCTAAATTTATGATCTGCAACGTGAACCATTGTTGCCATAATTTGGCAGACCAACCTCACTCTGTCTAAGCATATGTAACATCTGATTTTGTTGTAGGCATTTGAGCACTGGTGCCTTTTTTCAACTTTAAGGAACTTTTTGAATGGGACCATGAAATGATTTGTTTCAGTTTGACTACAGTCGCCGACCGATTATTCGGACTTCGCAGGGATCGAAAAAACGTCCGAATAATAGAGCAGTCCGAAAAATCAGCAAATTGAAAAACTTGCCTTTATTACTTCCAAGTGGGCTTAAAAATGCTGTGAATAGTGCCTTGCTTCAGGTACGCCTGCGTGCCTTGTTTTAAGTTACGCCTCCGTTTCCGTTCGGCAACTTTCTGTTAGCTTGAGAATCGCTGCCTTCTTTTCTAGCGTTATGGTCGAATACTTTCTGTGCATCGCGACGGCAGAAAACAGGTGGGGCCATGACGTCCAAGCCAGCGTTGTCCGAACAAGATGAGAGGCGCAAATTCACGAGCACAAAATGGCGACTGGCAACACGAAAGTGGGGCGGAGTTTGGGTGAAGATATAGAAGGAAACAAAGCGAAATTGTAATAATAATGATGATGATGACGTGCAGCTAAATGTAAAAAAGGGCTAGCATAGCGTCACCTAGCGGTATGACTCAGGAGTACTCAAGAAGCGCTGCCAAACCAAGCCAATCCATTTGCAGCCAACATAGAATTCAAAATGGCCGCTTCACGGTAGTGTTTCCTGCTGATCGCTTGCGACGATTTTCTCAGAATAATCAAACTTTCAGACTTCAAGCTGTTCGAAACATCAGTCGTAAATATGCACTGTTTCTATGGGGTAAGTCACGGTTCGCCCTTTAGGTCCAAATTATCGGAGTCCGAAAAAACGGTCGGTGACTACCATAAAATACCACAGAAGCACCTACTTCGTTCAAGCGCCCACTATTAAAATTTTCCAAACTTAGGAATTCTGCAAATTATACGTTAAGCACCCGATTTGACCGGACAAGCTCCCATGTTTAGCTTCACCCAATTTTCAGTGAAAGTGTAGTGGGTGCTCCTGCAATATTTTACAGTAGTGCTAATGTGTATGCTATTTTTAGTATGTGTATGCTAATCTGTATGCTAATTTTTCTAAAAGCGAAAATGTTTTAGGCTCGCAGTCCTTTTCGACCTAATTTTTTTCCAGCTGTGCAATCCCGCTTCCTCAGCAAATGAGGAAAGGATCATCTCGTTGATGGATGATCCACTCAGTTGGAGCTGACGGGGGTCGACTTCATTATATGGAGAGATTTTAAAGGGACACTGACACCCCCGCAAATTTTATTATTTTATTTTTTGCCAGGCGATTTATTATGGTGTCAGTAGACTACCCAATCAATATTTTGCCACAGCGTCACATATATTTTTAATAAAGTAAAAAAAAAATGCAACTGCCCGAAACTGAAACTGGTCTGGCGAGGAAGAAGAAGTGTAGACGAGGAGAGAGGTGGCAGAAGTCACGTGGCTGTGATAATGTTTTTTCCCCCGAAACAATACATTTGCAGCTTCTTAAAAGCCCCAAAGAATGGGTATCATATCTCTTTTCTATTTTTAATATTGTGTGCATGCCTTCGATGACCTACGACTTTGATTATATATGGTGGTTGTATCTAAACCTTAGAAAACGGCCCTTGACCAGGTTGAAGAGAGTGAGCGCGACTCTAACTGGCCAGTTGTTGATCGGCGGTTTTAGGGCAGAAAGAAACCGAATTTCGAGCCTCAAATTCTGTTCTGAGAAGTTGGGCTGACATATGTCACATACGACTAAAAACCTCGGCGAGCATAAATACCCTGTCAGCGTCCCTTTAAGCATCGGAATTGGCGAAACAACAAAGACAAGCAAAAACAAAAACGCCGTAGCCTGCAATTGTTTTGGACAACGACATGCTCTGGCAAACGATCCTGCAACGTCCCAACGAGATGATAGCGTGCGGGAGAGAAAAGTCGTGTCCCGCCACGTCTTCCGTTGTACGCTCTCTTTAAAGGGATACTTCAATGAAATTTGAAATATTCCCGTCGTGTTCAAAAATAGGTTGAATATGATCCACAATATCTGTAAATGACAATCGCACGTTTGTATTTTGATCCTGGTGGCTGTATTTTTTGTTATAAACGGCCCACTCCGGCAAGCGCTCGGAGAAGGCCCAGCTTAGAGCACGTGACATCCAATGCAATCGTGATGTAGGTCGTCTCAAGACGAGCAAAGCTACGGCGAGGCTGACGTCGAGAGGATGGTTTAGTCGTTTTAGCCACCGAAGCGGCTGCTTTTGTACGAATTTTGAGTGGCGGGTTAATCTTCTATAATCTTCTAGGGGGACAATAGCGACTTCTGCGACACACAAAAGGGATTCTCGGGAAGAGGGGAGTTCCTCCTTCCCCCCTTCTCTCGTCGTGGCCGGAGACGAGACAACCTCCGTCACTAGCTGTCAAGGTTCCTAGACGAGCATTACAAACGAGGCGTTAGCGACATCCACCAGGTGCTCTTTGCTAATCGTTTAATTTGTTTTACAATTCCTTTTCGAGACTTTTTTTTACAACATATTGGTGTGTTTCATGTGATACTGCTCTTTTGAACACATATAGACCAAAAAAATGAGCGCCGAAATTTCGTTGTAGTATCCCTTTAATCTTTGCTTGCCACCAACCTCACTCGTACGGTTCAGGTAGCTCACCTAAACGTCATGAGTACGCCAACTCTCCGCATGTGCCGAAACCCGGACCAAACTTGTTCTTCGGCCACTGGTCGCGAGCAGTTTCTTGAGTGCAGAACTGGAAGGAACCCGCCTATGGTGCAGGTGATAACGAATGCGGACCGGTGCTCGCTCTTCCTGGTGCACGGGGACAGGGACTCGACCGAGCGGTGCCTGGTGAGCCAGCTCTTCGACGTCTCCTGCCAGTCCACGCTGGAGCAGGTGCGCTACGAGGAGGTGCGGGTGCCCTGGGGCTCGGGCATTGTGGGCTACGTCGCCCAGAGCAAGGAGGCCGTCAACATCCCGGACTGCTACAACGTGAGCTCCCTCCCTGCTCCAGGGACCTCCCCCGAGTGGAACCGTGCACCCTAGTTCTATCGAATCCCCGTCGAGCCGCTGTAGGGTTTTAGTGGTTGACATATACACAATGGCGAAAGGTTGGCTCGAACTTACAGAAACGATTATCTGCCGTGTGCCACACCCGGGTAACTTGAGCAATGTGTGGTTGAATGTGTTAGCACCTCGTCTATCCACACCGTACAGCAACAGTATTTGTGGTGTGTTGCACCCGGATAGCTTGTAGGATAAATTATGGCAGGTAACATTATATTTAATAATTTCCTCAAGTTATCTTTTTTTGCAAGTAATGGTTATTTTGTGTATATGGTGTACAGCCTTTGAAGAAGATTACGTGTACAAAGAAGCGTATTAAATCAAAGTTCTTAGTCAGCTGTTTTATGCTAGCTGTTCCGTCCTTTCTTCGTTCGTTTCTGTAATTTCAACCTGACCCTTCACTAAGGCCATAGGGTGCCCGTAATGCATTTTTGACTCGCATATTTAGCGTCACATACCGCTGTCCGAGTGGCCCCGAAATGGCGATTGGATAGAGCCGTCGGGCAAGAGTATGGCTGTTTTCATGGTCTCGGTGGTCGGTCATAAAGTTTCCAGCCAAGAAGATGTGAAGCGGGTGTCTCTGCCCTCATGGCGCTCCTACCCACGGCTGCCAGAGGTTTCATAGGCCAGTTGGGTGCGGGGCGAGTGCAGGCAGGTAAGAACAGCTGCAGAATGCAGCAGATTGTAGGTGCTGACATTCGTGGTTTCGAGAGAAAGAATGAGAAAGAGACTGACGGAAGAGCACGAAAAGAAAGTGGATGATGGGACGTTATAGACATGTTTGTTTTGCTGCGATGAGTTGAAGTTGTTCCAATGCTTGTCAACTTTATCTATTTTTGAACAATGCGCGATACTGCCGTTTTTTTGCAAAGTAAGCTAGAGCTAGGTACAGACCTTATAGGTGGTGTTTTCCTGCTTCTTTGTGTATATTAGGTGTCGCAAGAGGTATGTCTGCATCTATGCCATTCCGAACCGGCCGGCATGCGTGGGACCTTTTCCTCTAAATTATTATATTAACTGTATGGTTAAGTGGCGGCGGGACAGGCGACTGCCCCGGCTGCCCTCTTTGCCGAGATTATGACGACCCGTGGGAATGTCGGTCGGGCGGAAATTGGGGGAATGCGATAAACATTGAGTGCCGTCCCAAAGAACGACGTAGGGGCGGGCAACGCTGTCAATGGTTGTGGTCTCGCCCCCAGGACTCCCGGTTCAACAAGAGCATAGATCTGAGGACGGGCTACAGGACGCGGTGCATGCTGTGCATGCCCGTGTTCGACCGCGACGGGGAGGTGATCGGCGTGGCCCAGGTGATCAACAAGAAGGACCACAACGGCCACGACGTCTTCAACCGCAACGACGAAAAGGTGCCAGCCCCTCTCTGTGTCTTACTTTCGGCCCCGGTACAACTTCAGAAGGCTGACTTCTAGCAGATGAGAACTGAGCCGAGCTGTGTTAGTCCAACATTTAAAGTGTTCAACTCTATTATTCTTCTAATTTTGAGAAATGTGCTGCGTTTGTTGTCGTGTATCTTAATTACATAGCACGCTTACGGTGTGTATATTTTTTCTGCTTTGCTGCTCAGGTCTTCTCGGAGTACCTTCAGTTCTGCGGCTTAGTGCTGAGGAATGCGCAGTTGTACGAGCGTTCAGAACTGGAAAACACAAGAAATCAGGTGAGCCAGCATGAAGTCAAACTGTCAATTGTCTCTTTATATCGCTCCTGATTTCGATTACACCAGTAGTTGTGACTAGTATTGTTACATCAGTGTGCTAGCAATGCCATGTTGGACAACTGGTGATTTGTAATGGAAGGGAAAATTGGTCCAGTTGTCATGTATTGATATTTAACTGGCTCAATTAGACACAAATGCAGTAAGAAACTAAACGAAACCAATGCTGTTTAAAATTTAAAAAAAATAAACGACACTGCTTAGTTAGACATCAGTAGCGGCAGTTGGAATCTTTAGCTGCCGCAACAATTGTTTGACACGTGTTTGTTTTGATCAGTTTAGCAGACTGGTATTGAACCAAAAGGGTGAGATATGTATGAAGTAATTTTTTGTCCTGTAGATTAGTGTGATTCATTACGTACAGCTTCTGCTCTTATGGCATTCTGCAGATGGATTAAACCCAAAATAGCCGATTAATATTAGTTCTCTTATGGAGGGCAGGCGACACTACCGTAAATTATGCAGAGAGGGCCCACTCCACTTTCACTGAAAATTGGGTTAATCTAGACATGGGTGTTTGTCCCGTCTAATCGGGCACTTAACTTATAATTTGCAGAATTCGCAAATTTGGAAAATTTTAATAATGGGCGCTTGAACGAAGTGGGTGCTTCTGCAATATTTTACGGTAATTCGGCCATTTTTCTTTCAAGCATATGAAGTGCAGTAAAATGTTAGCAGATTCTTACTTACCCATAAATGCCCCAAATAATTTTTGACACTTTCATACAATGCAGTAATATTTAAATTCTATTGCATAGTGCTGCTAAGAGCATAACTGGAATATCCATTATTTTCTTTTTTCCTTAGTAATTCTATTCTTATTTTTGCACATAGATGTTTCTACTACTAGGAATTTGCAATTAAACGTAAAACAGCTATCATAGATAATCAAAACGATCCATTGAATCTATTCATCTTTTTTGCAGTATTATTAAAATAACCGACGATCGAATGGGTAAAAGGTGCCACGAAAAATGTACTTATTACTACGTCACTCCGCATCATATTTCAGTTTTGAAATGTATTATCTAAATGAATGAGAAAAACATATGGCTTCCATTCACCAGGAAAAGAGGCAAAGAAACTGAACAATGGCGCAAAAGTTCTGCCTCCCCATGAAGGGTGAATGGCTGTGCGTGCATATGGAGGCGGTGTGCTCCCTGGCAGGCATACCTCAGCAAGACTCACTCATGAACGCACTCACTCACCTCACTCGTTCTCACCAATCAAGCATTAGCTCGGGGAGTGAGTTCGTAAGCCTCGGAAAATGTCGAGTTTGGGGTCGAGCTAGGGCGTGAGTTCGGTGACTAGTTTAGAGAGTCCATGAGTTTGTAAGCAAGGAATTGGAGGTGAGGGCATCCGTGAAGGTAAGGGTGAGTGAGTTTGGAACTTTTTTCTAGTTGTGAGTTTGAGGTTAGGACTATTGCTTTTGAATTAATTGTTAGTGAGCTTGCGAGCAAAAATTACTACTTCTGCTGGCAGGTACTGCTGGACCTGGCCCGCATGGTGTTTGAGGAGCAGAGCACCATAGAGCAGGTGGTGTACCGCATCATGGTGCACATGCAGGCGCTGCTCGAGTGCGAGCGCTGCCAAGTTCTCCTCGTCGACCACAAGACCAAGGTGACCACTCCTGCCGGGCAAATGGGCCTTGCTTTGTGGAAAGCAATCGAACACGCAATGCGCTCGATGTTGTGCATGGAACGTGTCTCCGACCCGTGTGTTTAGCGTCCCATTCCGCCCACGCATAAAAAGTAATCCCCAAGTGGCAATGGAGGAGGCCACAAAGGCCGGGGTGTCACGCCTGTCGGATGTCGGGATTCCTGCGGTTTTGTGTACAAGTTCTGGAAAAGAAAGCTCCAAAGAATGCGTGAGTCGCTGCCGTCGTTGCGATCTCCCAACTCCTGGCTGCAACTTCCACGAACTGTCAAGCTTGAGAGCGACTTGCTGCAGAATGGGTGCCTTGCGGCATCCACCGCCGCCGCTGTGACACCACCAGGGTCGCGGCTGGGGACAGTGTGACACTTCTATAACGTGTGACACTTCTATAACGTCGTCCGACAGAAATCGAGGGACCACTTTTTAGGACGCAGTATTTACGCATTGGTCGGAGATGCGTTCCAGGCACCGTGGTGCTCAGGTTTCACCCGGTTCGCACATTCTCCCTTGAGTGTGCTGCATGTATTGCGGTCTTTCGTAACCGCCGGCACACTGGTGCCACTTATCGGGTACGTCAGGAATGCCTCCAACCCGCATATACGTAGACCGAAAGTTTTGCAGTATTTTCGAGATCAAATCTACGCACTATGTATGAGAGATGGTCACTTATAACATTGTCGGAATTATTTTGAGCCCACGGTGGACAAATTGTGGACAGAAAATTAGAAAAATATATACGCGTTTCAGAAGTGTTTTTGGGCTGCCCGTTAAATGGTGCCAGTGCTTACGAGAGATTGCAACGTGCACGGCACTCTCGGCACAGTGAAGCGGAACTGTGCGAACCAGCGGAGGCCAGCTAGGTGCTTCTTTTCGAATCCCACAGCCCACGAACAAGCTGATTAATTTCCTCGAATTTTGTTCTGTTTAGGCATAAAGAAGCTCTCAGTTATTTATTACTGAGAAAATTTGTACAGGAGCTAAGCTGCTAAGTACATGATCATTTGTTTGCATTGTCAACGTGTATTACACTAAATATTTTAGCCATATATATATATTGTTTATTCTGTGTCTATCTAAAGATACGGCAGGTCCGTCTGCACTTGGTTCATTAAATGGGACCTGGAAACAAGCTACTTTTGCATAAGTTTGCTATGGACTGTTTGGACATAGCTTGCATTGTGTCTAGACAAGTATGCATGGGCATTTACCCTCTTTTCCTGCATCTCGGCCTAACCTCTTGTACCGACAAGGTAAATGTGTTGTCTAGTTAAATGTTTGGTGCATTTCAACTTAATGTTCACTACAGTTATCAGAAGTTCTGCGACGAGAGTATGGGCTCGAGATAATGCGAGATATCGCTAAAATGGCGTAGAATGAACAGGGTCTGATATTACCATATTTCCTGGACTAAAAGTTGCACCCTTCTCTACAAGTTGCACTTCCATATATTGACCGGTTTTTGCAGAAAAGTTGATATATAAGTCGTGCACTCTTCGCAGGGTTCACGCTATGAATTTCTTTCTTTCTTTTTTTTACGCGCTTCGGTATTGTGGGGTTAGAATTTTGCACAATTGTCTAGTTCACACGTAGCGTTTGACGCGCAAAAAACTTTCACGTTTCGACTCATGAGAAATGCCCGTAGCAAGCTACTGTCTGGCAGGAGCAATCGAGTGTTTTGCAGTAAAAGGACGTAAAAGGTGCGAAATGAGAGGATAGTCGGCTTTATGCATGTGTACACGCACTGAACAGACGAAAGGTTAACGTGCCAGATGCTTGTGAACCTGACCACTAGGCCCAGCCTAGGCCAAGTCATGGAGACGACACAAGTATCAACGCATGGGCAGATAGATAAATCTTAATACACTTTGGGTTCCGCTAAAAGATGGCTAGCCACGATCCTTCCTTTTTACACGTAGCAACACTGCTGGAGTATGGCAGATAAAAACTGCTCATCAAACAGAAACTAAAAAAATACATTAAAAATTTTCTGCAATGCATGTATATCGGCCCACTTACCTTTTAGTGTTACTGGACTGAAACAAAAAAATGTGAAACCATGGCAGAATTAGGCTATGTTGATGACATGCTGTAAAAGCTTTATTCTTGTTGCCTTGCCTATTTGCACTCAGCCGCTTTGAGGAAATCGTCAAATTCCTCACTTTCTGAGTCTGTTATGAAAAGTCTAGAAGAGTGGTGACAGCAGTGCCTCCTGAAAGGAGTGACACCACCTATGGCTACATAGTTACAGCGTTCTGTTAAAAATGGTGCGCGGTGCATAAAAAAATAATGTTTCGCCGTGAATTAAAAAAAAAAAAAAAAGCTTGCATATAAGTGGTGTTGTTGTATAAGACGCACCAAGAAAAATTTCTGAACAAAACCGTGACTTATACGCCGGAAAATATGGCGTCTTTTCCCTCTTCAGTCTTGCATTAGAAGAATTGGTTTGCTGTACATTGTTAGCAGGCTTTAACATTATTCTGGCGGGCTGGACAACATATTAGTCACTGACGGCACAAGACTCGCAGGAAGTCTCTTTCAGATGCCTCTAGCACATGCTCACTGCCCTCTGTCGTTGCTTTGGCTGCGCATGCCTGCTTGAGGCTCTCGAGATACTGAAGCATTTTTGACGGTAGGAATCTCCCGCCGCAGGTGGGACAGCTGAAGGATGTTCCTGCTGTTCTTACCTTGTCGGCGACTATACATGCCTGAAAGTTGCATATCAAAAATCATTTCGTGACTTTTAAATATGTTCGTTTTTGTGCCCCGCAGACAACTTTTCACCGTGTGTTCGATCTCGAAGCCAAGGATGTTCTCAAGGACGACATGTCCTGCTGCACTAGGTGAGCAGATTGGCTGATGTTGTCTCGGCGTCTCCTAAAAATGACTTGCAGTGCAGAGTATGTCTGCTCCATATTATCGCAGTGATATTAAATATATGGGGTGTTTAATCTAATACTTTACAAAAGTGTTCTAAAAAACCGTGAAAGCTACACTAATGCAGTCTGTGCAGGTGGGTTATACGGCCAGGGGGACGTAATATTGGAGGATAAAGGTTGGTTCACACACTTGCGTCGAGTCCGACGGAGTGCAACTGCAACGCCTTGCGACGTACAGGTTGCTATGGCAACAGCTGTGTTGCAGCTGTTGCCATAGCAACCTGTACGTCGCAAGGTATTGCAGTTATACTCGGTTTGACTCGACGCACGTCTGTGTGAATTGGCCTTAATCGTCACGACAAGTCGGTAAGGGAACTAAAGTTTGTTAAACAAGTTTTTGATTATTCAATAGATATGGTTCCAATCAGATACTTGATGAGCGCCATCGAAAACCAATAAATAAGTAAATTTTGGAAAGAATTTGGGGCACATGGGAAGCACGATAGTGTGCTAAAATTACCATTCTTGCAGCAAGCGCGATGCTGGCGATAGGAAAACACGGGCGATAAAAGGCGGAAAAACCGCATGGGCATTTTTTTGCAACCCTAGCGTTGTGCCAGTTGCACGAGTTTTGAGTTAGTGCACCACCCAAGCTCGCACCTTAAATCTTTTTAAAATTTACTTATTTAGTAGTTTTTGATGACACTCAGTAAGTTTCTAATCGAGAGCATACATTTATTTTCTTTAGCTAAAACGTTAATTGACAAATTTTAGGTAATTTTCAGACTTATTGTAACAATTTGTGTTCTATCCGGTGTCCCCCTGGCCATATAACTCACCTGCACAGGCACATTAGTAGCTTTCACAACCTTTTTAAGACAGATCTGTAAGGCTAGAAAAGCGTAGATCTGTTAAAAAGCTTCTAGGTGAGCTGAATGGCTATTCTCTTTTAATTCATTCTAGTCATGTGTGAATCGTGGATTTTCAGTTAAAAGCTAATTCAGAGTGAATAGTGGTTTTGGCCGAATATTTTCAAATTGAGTATTAAATAGTCTTTCACTACCGTGCACCATGAAAATTCAGCTGAACTTGTGAAGACCTTGTTCCCAGCCTTCCACTTTTACACTTCTAAGCTCAGTTTTAATATAACTACCGTAATATCCCGAGTCATCGCCCACCCCCCTACCGCCTGAAATTCGTTAAAAAAGTGGGGTGGGCCATGTCTCGGTGGGTGAGCACAAACACTTGAAAAAAAGCGGAAAAACCGCCTATTTTTCTCTGCGTATTTAGCGCTGATGCACAAGAGATACATCGAACTCAAAACTCGATTTAGTTTCATTGTTTTATAGAAAAAAATGCTCACGAAAGAATATTTTACTATAGCGAAGTCCGTTGCTTGCATACGCGCTAGAAACACCGCCGATCTGCATATAGCGCGAACGTTTGTTCCGTGAAAGAATGTCACCATTATGTTCTCCTAGTTAGTAAAAAAAAAAAAAAAGAAAGGAAAGTCTACAAGAAAATAGAAAAACCGACCAGGCGCAACAAGCGAGCGAGCGAGCGGACCAAAGAAGCGACCAAGAGCAATGCTGGGAAAGCGGGAAAGCCGGCGGTCGCGTTGGCAAATACTTTGGCGTCGGGCCAAGTCGGGCGCCTTGTCAATTGCAAGCTCTTGCGCAACTTGTTTGGTGCGTACATACGTGCGTCCGTGCACGGCGGGCTATCAATGCACGGTTGGGACGCTCTGCAAACGTCTGTGTAGGACGTTCCAGCAAAGCTTTATTTACGCTTTGGCTTTGCCTAAAATATTGCACAACCGTGGTCGCGAGGGGCGGGAAGAAGGAGCGGGTTCGCGGTGACCATACTTCGGCGGAGACAGACTTTGACCTAACACTCCGCGGTTACGTTAACAAACTCTTATTTTGTTATCTCCATCGTTTTCTTTTCGCACGGATACACGACCACTTTGGGGTCGCTCACGGAGGAAATGCGTAAACAAAAAGAAGTGTCTTTCCCTCCTTCGTTTTACTTTGTCACGGACGTCCTCCAACTGTAAGGTCCGCGGCCGCGTCATTCGGGTAGGATGAGTGTTCGCGGATCGCAGAGTCCGCGCTGGGGTATTTGAAGGGGTGGGCGATGACTCGGTGTTTTTTCGGAAATCGATATTGGCCCAAAAAATGGGGTGGGCGATGGCTCGGGGATGGGCGATGACTCGGGATATTACGGTATATGAACTGTGGCATGTAAATTACCGATATTTTGCTGCTATCCTAATCAGGGGATTTTATGAATTTGCTTACTATGTGCAAATATGCTTCCTATTTCAAATTTGGCAAGAAAGAAAAAAAACAAAAACACAAATGATGAACGCGGGCTGACAAGACATCGCTCTCTAACATATACTCTCGCATAATCGCGGTGTGTTGGCCCCGTCAAGTGCACTTCTCACCAAGCACCTGTGCACTTCAGGGCTGCAATACCTGCGGGGCCCAGGAGCTCTGTGGGTATTACTTCCCCGCAGTGCACATGTGCACAATGAGAAGCGCACTCAATGGGGTTAACCCACCACGATCAACAGTTAAAAAAGTATGAATATCGCTGTTCACCTTGAAGCAAGTATCGAATAACCTATTATTAGAAAATTTTAGTATTCGCACAATACTAACCCATGCTTATTGGATGTGTAGAAAAGCAATGTCAAAGTATGCTGGTGCTTGTAGAACATCATCTTATGCTTCTTCTATTATTTTCTTTTGTAGCCCCTATGAAGGAAGGTTTCCCATCAACACAGGCATCACAGGGTGTGTTGTGGCCACGGGTCAGGTGTGTATAACAGATTCCATAGTAAATCGGCCTCGTGTCGATTTTTTACGAAAATAATCCCTGGAGAAGGGGGACAAAGGACAAACACAAGTCTCCAAACAGAACTAGGTGACTGGTGCATGACCGAAAAAATCCGCGTGGTCCTTTCCATTTCCAGTGGAGCGCTCTACCAACTGACCTAACTAGGAGCTAGATGTCAGTAGAGCAAACGGGTTTTATCAGCTGCCACCAGTCTAACACCAACAAGGGTGAATGCCTGCATTTTAAGGTTATGACGGTAATCCAATTGATGCGGAGGTGCAAGCGAGCTGGACAAGAATGACTAAAATAATCCCTGGAACCAGTCACATCTGTGTTTGGGATTTGTGTTTGTCACTTGCACCTTTGCATTAATTGCATTATCACAATTAATCAGTATTTATTTTGATGAGGAGAGTCACCCTCATTGAAACTGTCTTTGGAAAGGGCCTTCAGGCCAGGTTTAGAGGGAGGGGGGGTGACCCTACTACTCCCTCCTCAAGGATGAATTTTGTATGAATGCCTCACTTTTTCTGAAATAGCGGTTATTTGGTCAACGACACATGTCTGTGCAGCCAAAGTGAAATATTGGGATTTGGCCTTCTTTTAATCCAGAACTGCATTCTTTAGGAAACCAACCTGTTTTTCTCAGTGCTCGTCGCGGTGCCCCATGCCAGAGTGGAAGTTGGCCAATTGCAAAAATGTTGTTTACAAAAAGAAAACAAAATGCTGTTGTATTTTTATTTGTTGATCATATGCAGAATTGCGTTTTGTAAGAAGGAACTATGCAGATGATGACTTCAGTCTCGGCCTTCCAGGCATGCAAAACCGTGTCAGCGTCTCCACGTGCTGCTTTTGTACCGTTTCTTTTTTTTACAGCAGTACCTGTTAATGCCCTTTCTCAGCAAAAGACGCTCATGTACGAACACAAAATCCTACACTTAGCAGAGGTGCCCTCCCGCTCCCTGTCGTTCCTCACAGATACACGCCAACTGCAGCAAGGCTCCCTCTTCCTCCCCTTCCCCACCCGCATAGGCCGCCACTGTTTCGAAAAACCTATGTGATCATGGGGAAAGTGCTTTTATCGTTCCTGCTACATCCACATACCTTTTCCTCCATTCACATGTGATTAATGCAGGTTTTCAGGGCATCTTTGCTTAACAGATACTGATGCACAAGCCAGTTTGATTTTCAAAATTTGACTGCAATGTAGTTATCGACATTCACAAAGTTCCCATTTCTTTTTACATGCTCCAGATACTGCGTGTACTATCCCACTTCGAAAGTGTGCGTTCCTCCTAAGCACGCGGCTGCAATATTGGTACTTTTCAAAGTGTTGATCACTGTGTTCTAGCCCCATTGGGCTTCGCAGTTGTTGCTTCTCCGCAGTGCACCAGAGCTCTGTAAGAAGCGCGCTCAACGGGGCTAACCTGCTGTGATCAACACTTGGAGAAATATGAATATCACACTTCACGTGGAGGCCAATACCGAATGGCGTAGTTATTCGAAACTGATATTAGAAATTTTGAATATTCGGACAAGACTAGAAATGTGCTTAACCTTAAAAACCCCATGTGTCGATTTATCCTTCTCACTTTCTCTCCAGATTTTTTTTCTTCAAGTACAAGCCCCCTTGTTTGGGCGCTGGTGATATGCTACTCATAGATGTGAAGCAAAGCAGTAGGGCAAAACTTTAGGATTGCAAACTGACTTTACACATTATTCGTTATGAATTATCTTGCATTTCACGCCACTGCGTTGAAAGAAACACTATTGGAAAATTGAAATTTTTTGCATTAGATGAAAGTTTGACGTTTTCTTTCTGAATTCCAAGGGAATGATGCAATAATATAAGTCAAAATTTCTGCTAAAAGAATGTTTAAACTCCTACCAAACTCTTCTGAATAGAAAATCTGTCTCTGTTTGATGCCCCAACAGAAGCATTGCCTGTCACACTGCCGCGCTCCATCCTAGCTTTATTTTGTCGTATAAGCGAGCCCACAGACGTTGTGCAATGATAACACTAAACATGTAGTGATGTCATGTGTATTGTTATCACTCTAAATTTAGTGGTAAAACTTGCCAGCAAAATTGAGCAGAAAAAGGATGAGTGGTCTGTTTGTGATGTTACATCTCTCTTTGATATTGCATCTCTTCAGCATCACCCCCAGCCAAAAACATTTCCTCCTTTAAAACAGTTAATTATGCTCTTCCTCTGAGCTGGAGTAAGAGCCAGCCGACATAATTTGATGAAAAGCATAAATAAATTTTCCACTGTCACCCCCCCCCCCCCCCCCCCCTTCCCTTCAAACTTTATTCATAAATCCACCCCTATTTTGCTAGCGTAAATGAGATGTTAGGAGACAAAGCTTTGATCAATAATGGAGTTATAGTTGCACAGCTACCCAGGTGCAGTTTAGTGAAGTTCCAAATAAAATTTTACTTGTACCGATGTATCTACTTAAGGCCCGTTCACACTCTTGCAACCGAGTACGACCGAAAGAGACCAGACCGGTTTTTAAGCCTCTTGCGACCTCTTAGGACCGGACGCTCTGCAGCGGAGCTGGTCCTTAGACGTCGCAAGAGGATTAAAAACCGGTCTGGTCTCTCACGGTCGTACTCGGTTGCAAGAGTGTGAACGGACCTTTACAGCCATAGACATCTACTTGCTTGCAAAGAAGCAACCAATTATGCTCCACTTATCTGTTGACGGGGAGGCGTTGCGATTGCTGATAATTTTTTTGCAGATTAATGATGTTTTTATTATATTATTAGGGTGGTGCAAATATTTAAATTTATGAAGAGTTGTTTCGAATAATATGCGATTCAATATTTGCTTCGAGATAAACTGCAGTATTAATATTTTTCTAAGTGTTGATTGCGGGGCAGTTTGTTACTTTAGACCCATGTTACGGATAAAAAAAACAGGAAGCGGGATGGCCAAAGAAAACATGCTTTTTGTTTAAGGCTCTTCAAATTATGAGGCGCGGAAGAAATGCACCCTTCTGCGTTAAGTCCTTATTTCAAACTCTTTTTTGTTCGCCTTCTGCGTATTGAAAAGCATGCGGGAAGGGCCTTAGAACGCACCTGATATCGCTGCGGCGGAGCGATACCAGGTGTTATACTATAGTTATATTAAAAGTAACTGAGCTTAGAAGTGGACAAGTGGACCTTCATGAGTTCAGCTGAATCTTCATTTAAGCGTGGCATAGAGTAGTGAAAGGCCCGAAGAAATAATTCGATATTCACTTAAACTCTATTCAGACAAAACTTCTATTTGCTTCAAACTCAAAGTCCACTATTCGCACATGCCTACAGTCTCACAATGAAGTCGTTTGAAAGATAACAAACTTTGTCAACATTCTACACAGGCCAAGGAGTGCTTGACTCAGAAGCATGCATTGATGCGTGGCTTACTTCTGCTTGATTTAAGCTGTACTCAAGCTAGAAACAAACTCTGCTCTTTGTACAGTTACCCTAGAGAATGGTGCCTGAAGAACCGCTGGGCGTAGCCTGGACAGCATTTGGGTTTCCAGGAATCCAGTTTGAAAAGCCATGTTGCATCAAAATCTTCTATGTCCAGCTAGAAAAATAGCCTGTATCTCCTTTATTTAACTTGGCAAATAAACTGCGCAAGAGCTTTCGAGAGAAAGCCGACGAGATATCTGAAGCAAGTTTTGCAGCACCTCTCAATGATATAAATTTGTCCCCTCCTTACAACTATGCGGTCATGATGACGTTGTCACAAACACTTCTCACAAACCCCAGCACTGTCTTCTTGGGTTTGGTACACGGTAGTGAAAAGCTTGGAACTATTCAATATTCGGTTAAGAAATGTTCGGCCAAAACCACTTTTCATTTTAAACTCGCTTCGAACTCAAAAATTCACTATTCGCACATGCCTAGTATACTCATATTATTATTATTGTTATTGTTCATTATTTTATTGACTTGTTGCATTGGCCATCTCTCTGCACAGCCAGTTACCAACATTAAGACACTTTTTTTTTCTGCTTGTTTCATCTTCAGATTGCAAATATTCCCGATGCATACAAAGATGAGCGGTTTGATTCAAAGGTATGTATTGTAAGATTTTTACGGAATTAACGTGAAGTTTGCTTTGATGTCTCCTTCTGCTTGTTTGCTTATATTTTTCCAAACAGTGCAAAACAAATATTTTTAGCAGGAGCTGCATGTTTTGTCTTGACTTGGCTTCTTTTAGCAGCTTCTTTTGAGTTGATTTGTCCTGATTCGTCAACTTCCTCGGTGGTTGTCTCGTCTTTCTTGTCGCAACAGCTTGTCGCGATGGGGCTTGCCTCACCTGGCATGTCTTGACTCTTCTCCCGACGATTGACCGGTCTCGATGCAGGTTGACGAAGGAGGCGTGTTCAAACACAAGTCGATTCTGTGCATTCCAATCTACAACGCCGGTCGCTTGGTCTTGGGAGTCGCCCAGCTCATCAACAAGCTCAACGGCGAACCTTTCAACAAGAATGACGAGCAGCTTCTCGAAGTGAGCGTGGCTTCCTTCCTAGAGCTGCAGAAATCCTGAGAAGTAATTAAGCTACACTTATGGTTACTCGAGCCAGAATGTATTCAAGTTACAAATACAGTTTTAGCATATTTTGCACATCTCAAGGGTACTGAGGCCCTGTCGTTGAAGATGTATCGAGACAATGACTGTTTGTATTAGTGTTTTGTTGGGTAAAAATCTCCATCGTTGCAACGAGATGGACTTGTTTAGGTACATGCAGTCAAAGTCCTCCTAAAATCTCTTATAAAAAGCAGCAATGGCACCGCACAAGTGGGACATCTGTGCTGTCTGGGTTAACCTTGAAGCGAAAGATTTAAACGAAAAATTGTGAGAAGGGATTAACATAATTGAGTGTGCACGAAAGTGTGTGTACCATTGTCGTCGCATACATTTTGCGAGTCCCGCCTCGTTTTTTAGTCCTTCATCTCGAAGCTTGAAACTACGCTTATTGAGAAATTTCCGAGTGGTCAGCAGGCTCGGGCTGTGTAGTGTTGCCCCTGGCAGTTTCGGCACCCATGTGTTTCCCTTCAGGCATTTGCCATCTTCTGCGGGCTGGGCATCCAGAACACCCAAATGTACGAGAAGGTGGTCAAGGCCATGGCCAAGCAAAGGGTCACCCTGGAGGTGCTCTCCTACCACGCCACGGCACCCCTCGACGAAGCCAGGAAACTCAGCGTGAGTCGCTCCTCTCTTTGTTGCGGACAGATGCCCGGGGGAATCGAACGTCGGTCGATTTGGGCCAAAACAATCGTGCATTCTTGTCCGTGTTTTTTTTTTTTTAAGTGAATCCACAACCATGACACTCTCGTACCATAACACCGTGCGTTGGGAGTTGTTGCGTTTGTCTGCCTAGGTTATTTCTCAGTGGACCCATTCTTTTGGTGAGCTGTAACTGCACGTGCATTCTTTCCGAAGCAAATATGAGAAAATTATGCATTCATGGGAAAGTGACTGCATAACTGGTCTTATGATCCTTGTGCCTCTCGGAACGCATTAAATCTGCAACAAAGCTGACATACTTCATTTGTGAACGGCGTTCATGCAGTATACGCTGTCTAGGTTGGCAACCACCAAGAGCATATTGGTTCCGTGCAGTTGTAGAAGAAAATGGTGAAGCTTAGTAACCAGAAATGATGTGCAGCTTTCGAGTCGGTGGTACGGGCTTGCATTGCGACATTGGGAAACGGGAAGTTAGAAGTTTGAATGCTCTTGTGATATGAGTTTTGAGCTCCGGATGCAGTCGACTTTTTCGCCGTGCTCGAACCACGACGGGTGGATTGTCCACGCTGAAACCATGCTCGAACACGTTGCAGGAGTGCATGCTTCCATCGACGCAGTCGCTGAAGCTGCAGGACTTCAAGTTCAACGACTTCAGCCTAGACGATGACGGAATGCTGACGGCCTGTCTGCGGATTTTTCTAGAGCTGGATTTCCTGAACAGGTTTCACATCGAGTACACCGTGAGTAACATTGCACGGTACAGTCGTGAACACGATCGTTTGTTTGGGGGAGAAGTGGGCAGTTGAAGAGGAAAAGCTCGAGTTAGGCTGAGGGGAAAAATGGTTTCCTTCAAAGGATACTATAGCTCACCTAATGCCCAATGTTACCATTCTCATTTGTAAGACTTAGAGTGTGAATGTTAACCTCCTGCATTTTTCTCTATCCCCCTATGGTAATGCCCTCAAGGCATAGTAGGAGAACTCCGTAAATAAATAAATAAACAATCAGCTGTGCCTTGAAAGCATCAAAAACTCGTCTTCTTTTCCTAATACGACGACTTACAAAAAGTTTTTTTGGTCCTAGGACAGTCGCTCATTTGATCCCAATGTTACCGAATTGGCTGTCCAGCAGTCACAGTTATCGGTAGCGTGCTCTTGTTCTCGTTTTGTGCCGTTGACAATCCAGGAATCTCGAACTGGTTGCGACGTTTTGTCCGGCGCTTTTCAGGTGCTCTGCCGCTGGCTGCTGAGCGTCAAGAAAAACTACCGCGGCGTGTCGTACCACAACTGGCGGCACGCCTTCAACGTGGGACAAATGATGTTTGCCATTCTGACGGTACGTGAGGATGGGTCGCCGCACCGTGCAGCAGGGTTACGGGCGGGGATCATGACCCGTCTCACCTCCTTTCCCCATGGAACAGAACACCAAGCTGCATGAGGTCCTCGGGGACCTGGAGACCTTTGGCCTGATCGTGGCCTGCTTCTGCCACGACCTGGACCACCGGGGCACCAACAACTCCTTCCAAATCAAGTGGGTCCCACGACACTGTCCCTCTACGCTGCTTGGAACGCGTCTCCGACTGAAGTGCTTACCGTCTTGTCCCTCCCATGCGTCCAAAGTGGTCCCCCCCCGGGCCACCCCCCTGGCTGCATGCCTGGCCCAAGTGCTTCCCACTTTTCTAAATATTTTGCGGGAAGTCTACAAAGGCTTCCCGCAAAAATTGTCTGCATACAGCATAGTGGTGAAGTTGATTACATTAATTGTGAGATTTAGGGTGCTTCAGTGAAGCAGTGTTGGTGCAGCGTGTCACAATCCTCAGTTCTATTGATATTATTCGTAGAATTTTCATCTGAGCGTAAACCTCTTTGTGCCTAAACAAACAACGTAATAATATTTTTTTTTGTCTATCTTGATGTAGATTATTACAAGGACCAAACAGATTTCTGGCAGAGCTATGTGTGGAGCTTATTCCAGAGCTTTTTTCTCACCTTATGTATTTGTCGAACAGGTCATCATCTCCATTGGCTCAGCTGTATTCAACATCCACTATGGAACATCACCACTTTGACCAGTGCATCATGATACTCAACAGTCAGGTAATGCTTTTGTCTAAGTCTGTGATCCTAGCTGTAAAATTGAATTACCCAATTAGAAAGTGATTACAGCTCAGTTTAGTTTTTTCTGAAATGTAAGCTCTCCTCAAAAAGAATTTACAGGGTTTTTTCACCGCAAAAATAAACTGCGTCGCCGAACGCTTACTTTGCATACTTTATACAAAAACAATATGGCCGACGCTCCGCAAAAACGACCATTATTTGCATTATTAAAAGGCCTAGAATCCGTAAGCATGTACCGTGAATAATTAAATATGAAATCTCTGTTTCTTCAAACGTTTTTGAGTGATCCATTTTACACCGGCCCTGTAGTTGTTTCGTGATAAGTTTAAGCTTTTTATTGGCATTGGGTGTTTGACTTTTGCATGGATGTGCGGTCATTCCTGCATGCCCCTCCCCATGAACTCCCGCACGGAATGAAGCATATTCCAGCCGTGGAACGATCTCTGGGAGTGAATTTGTTTTCCCCGTTGTGGCTTCCTTGACCTACAGGGCAACCAGATCCTCAGTCACGTTTCTCCAGCTGAGTACACCACCATCATCCGCGTGGTTGAGGAGTCCATCTTGGCCACAGACCTGGCGGTCTACTTCAGGTGGGAACTGCCGCCCAGAGGCCGACCGGGGCCACGCCATAACGCTCGAAATGAGGTGTTTTTGCGGGTATCCTCGCGCGTCGGAGCTATACTAAGTAGGGCCGGGCAATTGATTGTTTAACCTTTTGATTAGTGAATGATGCTTTAATTGTGGTTAATTATTTTAACAGCTTAATCGATTTGGTTCTGAGCTAAAATTTCGAGAAGAAAATAGAAATGCCTGCCTCACGTTGTTTGAAAGGAATTTATTTATTTTAGCGGGCTGCACTCTTGTATTCCACAGTAATGCACTTTAACATTTTCTATGATTACAGTCGAGAGTGAATATAAAGTTTAAATCAAAATGTTAAAAGTTTGTTTCTAAAAATGCTTGCTTGTGTTTCATTCCTAAAATTGCTTGCTTGTGTTTTTTTTTTCTGCTTTTATGGTACCACAGCATCCGTTTTCAAAGGAGGCTGTATATTCCGCCATTTATGACATTGCAAGAAATAGTTTCAAGAACTGGAGGGCTTGAAAGATGCCCTGTTGTTCTCACTTTGTCAGTGGCTGTCGTCGATATGAAGAGCCCTAGCGGAAACTGACACCCCCCTCGCCTTCCGTCTTGCCATAAGTCTTGCCATAATCCACTGACTGTTCAGAGCTTGATCCGCGTGTGTGGTTTACGTGCATCTTTTCACTCGGTAACAAGACGACTGGCATGAACCACCGAGAAGGTTCAATAATTGGCTCGTCTTGTTTGTCTCCCAAATCACTTTTCTTTCTTTTTTTGATTAATCTTTCTAGCACAGAGTGAAAGTGGGCTCATCAGCAACATGAACTGACGCATCCTCTCAATTTCCCTTTCCGCTCAGGAAGAGGGGTCTGTTTTTCAAGCTCGTCGAGAACAAGGAGTACCAGTGGAACAACGGTGACCATCGTGAGTTGCTCAGGTACTGACACTTCCATTGTGTCACCGCACTAGTAATCGGTCCGTAATGTACATCTGCTGAAGCAGGGGGATTGCTAGGAAGCTGACAGGTGCTTAGTGCAAATGTGTTACACGCAAAATGACAGCCATGCCACCATCTATCTGCTCGCAAACGGGCAGCACACAAAAGGGCTTTATCGAGAGAGCCTCCCAATTTACTCAGTTCCCGAGAAGCAGCTTTGGGTTTGCAGTTTTGAGTTCTAAGTGAATGTCGAGCTCTACGACAGGCTTGGTGCCTGCTTTACTGCTAGTGGGTTCATTTTTTTCCCAGGAACATGCTCATGACGGCATGCGACATTGGAGCCATCACAAAGCCCTGGGAGGTTCAAAGAGTGGTATGTTCTCCTCATATTCCGCTGCACTTATCTTTGTTTTGGATCAAGCTTGAAACACTCGCATTTTTCTTTTTCCTATGCCTATGCGGAACACAAGTTCATCTGCTTTTCTTCCAATGGTTGTGGTGACGTCAGAACAGTGAGCTCTGATTGGCTCTGATTCAAGGGTAGCGGGAGACCTCAAAGCAAGCTGCCTTGAGGTTTACCCACTATTCTTCAATCAGAACCAATCACAGCTTGGCGTTCTGACGTCACCACAACCCCTTGCAAAAGAAGCAGACGAACTTGCGCTCCAGATTTGCACATTTTACCGTAAAAAAATGTGCCTCTCTCGATTTGGGGAGGTTCAGAATAGTGGGCAATTGCTCACTACTCTGAACTTCCCCAAGTATGTATGTCCTGCTGTATGCCCTGCTGCGTAGACATAAATGCATCTGATCCACTTTGCATTTAATCGCAAAAATGAAGTTCACTTGTTGTGGCACTAATTTACTGCAAGGGTGGGACTAGGTGGTGCATTCTTTTTGCCAAAGTATTGAAGGAAAGGCTCATCTGAATCAAAGGTTACCAATAAAATACAGGATTATTTTTTGGACCAATAGAGATTTATGCCTTTTTTATGTCAAGGTGTAAAAAAAAAAAGCAACTAGTAGTCATTTTGATCATTGGGACATTGTTGAGACCTGGTAAGGGAGGAAAGAAATTTATCCCTATTTTGCACTTGTTTTGTCCTTTCAAATGACAGTGTGTGTTCACTTTGACTCGAACATAGGTTAAGCAATCCATAAAGAAATTTGGGTTTTAAGTTGTTACTCTTGATCGTTGCAAATTTTTTCTAATTTGCGGTGTTTTGGCATGCTAAACGATCTTGGGATTCTTTTAAGAATTACACCCATTTGACTCGCTGAGTACGATATCTTTTGCATGTAAATTACATTTTGGCAAAGAAGTGCTTTGTCATGTAAAGGGGGTACTGAGTTATAGGCATCAACGTTCAAAGGCTGTTTTAAATTTAGTTTTTTTTTTTTAAATCAGGTGGCTGATCTTGTGACAATGGAGTTCTTCCAGCAAGGGGACATGGAAAGACAGGAGCTGAAGATCCAGCCCATTGTAAGTCTGCGACAAAACACATACCTGCCTTTATCTTGAGAAAAGTTGTAAAATTTCCTTCCTGTCAAACTGCAGTGCAAGACCTACATTTCGCAAATGCAAAGTGAAAAATATTTTCCACCCCAAGCCCAATGCTCTTTAAAGCAGCTTCCCCTCAAGCGCTGTAGTCAAATTTTGGTGCATGTGACCCTTTCTCTGCCAAGGAGGAGTTGGCAGCGAAAAGAAAAGGAAGGCAATAAATACTCTTACTCTGCCATTTGTTACCCTGTACAAGCCTAGAGCATTATCTGAGAGTGCCTCACGAGGGGTCAAAGGGGTTAGAAAATGTCAAACCTTTTTGAACCTAATAGCTTCTAACAAAACTTCAGTGGTTAGAGGCTTGTCAAGACTAAGTCTGGCTGGTTAAAACAGATGATGATGATGATGATAATGCATATATGTAGTACAATCTTTCTGTAAGGGTTTTTAATTGAGGGCCATGGTTTTTGCTCCAGGACATGATGAACCGCGACAAACAAGACCAGCTCCCAGCGATGCAGCTGGGCTTCATCGATTCTATCTGCCTTCCTCTCTACAGGGTATGTCATCTGCCGTATCGTTTCTGCCTGCACACTTTCAGTGTACATGCAAGTAATTGTCACCATCACTTGAAGAAGAGCGTCCACCTGAAACGTTGTGTATACGTTCCTGTCCACGTCTTTTTTCGTGTAGCACAACCATATATTTGCAATTTCGTGTTTAAACTCATTGTGCTCGGCAGCACCCCTATTCTCTTCAATATTCCAAGGTTGTATCGTGGGTCTTTGCCCTGGTAGATCAACCTAGTTTTAACCTGGATTTTCAAGGATTTTTTCAAGTCGGGGGGGGGGGGGGGGGGGGGGGTTTTCTTTCTCACAAATTTGGTGTTTTTTGGTGTCTGTCTTTCTATAGGACCATTAACAGATCTCTGTAGGACCAATAGAGATCTTTAATGGTCCAACAAAAAAATCTATCGGTCGAATATAAATGTCTGTAGTTCCGTGATAGAGATTTCTATTGGTCCAACAGAGATGGCTGTTGGTCCTGTAGAGCAGTGGTTCTCAAATGGGGTCTGTGGACCCTTTGGAGTCCCTGAAGCCCTTGACTGTCAGTGAAGTAGATCAATAAAACAATTTTGTTATAATGATGCCACAAAGATAAATTGGCCAATCCATGTGCACTGAGTGAGTAGGCTTGATTATCATCTGTGTCAAAGCTTCAAAGTTTGTTTGTGCACATTCAGTTTCCTTCATTTAGTCTTCTGTCATTGTAGTCATCCAATATTCCCCCCTTCCCTGCCTAGTGATCGGGAGTCTTTTATCACTACCGCTGATCCAGAAGGGGCCCCTGAAACATCACTGGTTGAGAACCACTGCTGTAGAGATTTCTATTGGGCCGATAGAAAATCCTATTGGTCAGACTGAAAGCTCTATTTGTTCAATAGTAAGGCCTGTTAGACTGCTAGGAGCTTCTGTTTGTCTAATATTCCATGCACACAATCATAAAGGTAGTATCTATCTAAGGGACCTTAAAGGCCAGTTCAGACATAGAGCGGAGCACTCAGTTAACGCTTCATGAGCGCTGGAGGCAGCACTCATGTTGCACCGACTTGCGTGTGACGTAGAGCTCGGTTAGCGCTTCAGAAGCACTCCAGTACGTGCTCAGTTAGCGCTCCAGAAGCGCTTCAGCAGTGCAGTGTAAGCGCTCTCACCCTCCTTGTGCCGTGCTTACTGCTGCGGAACAGCGATTTCGTTGTTTTTCCTTTGGCATTGAATTAGAAGAGGAAGTAAAAGAGCTGCTCTCCAAGCAAAGGGTCGGGCAGACAATCCAGAGTCATGGACTCTGAGCGACTAATTGATTGGGTATGACCTCATTGGTTTCTATTCGGTATGCGTGACCCTGGTTTGAAACACATGCAGTTAAAAAATAATCACCTTCGAAAGAGCTTTGTGTCTCCGTCCCTCAACCTGTTAACAAGGTTCGCTGGATACCTGTCGGTATCTCGGTGGCGAAATATTTCGCGCACCCAGAAGGCTCTTCTGGGCGTTAAGTCGTCCACACACATATGCGCTAATTGCGTATGTAAGAGCATTTGTCGCGTTTTTTTTATTTCAGCGTCCCTCATGTCCGCCATGGTACTGTTGATGCACTCCCAACAACAGTAACCGGAACCGCAGTGCATGCGCTAATCCGCAGCACCCGCAAACAAGAAGTGCTAACAAGGCACTATTGAAGCGCTAACAAGGTGCTAGGAAGTGCTAACAAGGCGCTACTCAAGCGCTAACGAGGCGCTACTGGAGCGCTAGCAAGGTGCTACTGGAGCGCTAATCACGGGCTATACTAAAACGAAGTCACGTGCTAGGAAGCGCCACATAAGCGCTCATGTAGCGCTAACTTAGCACTCCGCTGTATGTGTGAACAGGCCTTAATCGTTTCACGATCTTATGCGTGTTGCACGTGTTTGCGATCCAAGACACGGACCATGCAATCTGCTGACTCGCCGATTGCAAAGGGACCTATGTTAAAAGTACCTTTATGCTGGCCGTGTGAATGTGGCATAATAGGAGCTTTTATTGGTTTTAGTAGAAATTTCCATCGGTCCACGTGGACATTTGTGTTCGAGTAGCAGAGATGTCTTGTGTTGTGGAAATACTATTCAACATTTCAAATCGTAATTTCGAATAATACACTATTCGATATTCGCTTGCAGGTGAACTGCGATTTTTATATTTTTAAAAGCGTTGATCGCGGCAGGTTAGCCTCGCTGATCGTGCACATGTGTGCTGCGGAGAAGCCACACCCGTAAAGGCGAGCTCCGCGGGCATTGCTTCTCCGCAGTACGCCGGTGCTTGGTAAGAAGCGCACTTAACGAAGTAACCCACCCCGATCAGCACTTGGAGAAGTATGAATATTGTAAGTGCGTTCGGGGAGAAAATCACAATTTCGAAAGTGGGATAGTGCATGCATGTGCCTGGTATATTTAAAAAGAAGTGGAAATTTTGTAAATATTGATATCTACATTGCTGTTAAATTTTCAAAATTAAACCTATGTCTTATATGCTAGAGTATATGTTAGGAAGAGATGCCCTGACAACCTGCATTCATCACTCATGATTTTTTTCTTTACAAATTCGAGATTGAAGAAAGTGTCAAATAGCAAGATTTGTTAATTTACTCAATTAGATACATCTGGGCATCTCTGTAGGTTACATTTTATGTCAAATCTGTCGCTTACTTGCCATCCCAAGGCATCAAACTTTATGAGGTCAAAGTCCAGGAGATAGATTAAAATTAGCTTATACATAGACAAGTGGAAGCATGGGAACAACCTTCATGAGTTGGTTGGTTGGGGTTTTATGGTGCAAAAGCATCTTAGGCTATGATGCGCCAGGTACAACCTTCATGAGTTTAGCTGGGTTTTTGTTTGAGCATGGTGCAACAGTAATGAAAGGCTTTGAAAAACTATTTAGATATTCGACTAAAAAATATTTGGTCAAAACACTATTTGCTTCGAATGCGCTTCAAACTCAAAATCCACTATTGATACATGACGAGATGTGTATTAGACCAGAAGAGATATTGATGGAACTGACTGCATCAATCTATTAGAGCAATGCGAGGGCAGTTTTAGAGCAAAGGACAGAGGCGGGGATCTGGTGCAAGTGCTGGAAGGAGGGCCTTTTTGCCCAGGCCTTCTCTCGGATCCACGAGCGTCTCGGTGCCCTGCTGGAGGGGGTGGAGCACAACCGGCACGAGTGGCAGCGCCTGGCGGAGGCACGGCTGGCCGCCGTCAACGGCGACCAGAACGGCCCCGGGGACGGGGAGGCCGACAAGCGCAGGGCAGGTAACACACGCCTGTGTAACACCGTTCCATCCATGCTGGTACACGGGCTAAGAGGCTCGTTTTGGCCGCCCTAGCCGCGGTTAGATTTCGCCCTAAAATAGCTCGAAATGCAGCGCTCTTTACCAACTCTCATCATTGTACTACTGTTCCTAAAAGAGGTCACAACGCGAATGTTTAAGAAATGTTGACTGATTCTCGTTACAAAATCTTTCCACACTCTAAGACAGTTTTTTTTTATGTCTGTACATATTATGAGCCCTGTCATTGGCTGAGCTCTTTCCGTGCACTGCAGTGGTTGGTTCTCCCAAGTGCTTTGTGGGAGAGCAGACGCTCCAGATTTCTTTGAGTGTAGTTTAAGGGGAGGCACTGGCTTAAAAAATATTTTTTAACCACTCAGAATGAAATTTGGAGGGGACATTGAGGTCAGATAAGGGGGTACTGTGCAAACTTTGACTTCTCTAGGAAATTTTCTTAGAAGCTAGACATTTGTGTATGAAGCTGTGGCACTCTTCTCTAAGGAATATATGGTATACAAATTAAGCCAATAAACCACAATTTTATTGCTTGAAGATAAAGTAGGGAGGTAGGACTTAGAGCTATCTAGCCTGTATTATAAAAATGTAAATATTGGTGAAAGGAAAACTACTCCCTTTAATGAGGGGCATTTTCTTTGTATACTGATTTATCAATACATCACTTTAACTTCATTGACTTTGACTTAATGTCAAGTAAAGTGGATAGCCAAACTTCTAGTAAATTTCAGTTCATAAACGCCTGGAACAAGGCATAGGAATACTTTTACAGTCAAGCAAAAGATTCCTTCATACGAAGTTTATAGCAAAAAAAATGAAACTGAGAAAAATGGAATCATACATTGAGACTCTTTACTTTATTAATTTCTCACACTGTGCATCTTCTGAAAGGCCCCAGCAGAGTAGGTCTGTCCTTCGACTGCCCTTTTCTTTTGTGTCTTGAGGATTGCCTGCAGCGTCCTTGGATTGCACGTCCTTGTCAAAGTGCTGCATCGGGTCACTCCTAGGCTTTATCTCCATTTCGAAAAGGTCCCCCTTAAGGCCCTTAGGGCCCAAGGTGACGTTAAGCACTTCAAGTAGAACAGCCGTTTCTACCGTTCTTTGAGACACAAAGTCCCTCTTCAAACACCACCTCTAGTCAAAAGCATTGAATAACTCGTTGACATTCTGGGCCTTCATTTTAGTGCGTCTCTCGAGAAGGTTATGCAGGGTAAATGGTAGTACAGAGGAACCAATTCCTTTGCAATTTCCCTAGACTAGGCAGGGCTGTGCATCTGGGGCTTTCCCATTGTCTCCAGTGATGCATGGTGGTTGTGATGGCACCATGAATCTTTTTCTTGAAGGCAGGCCTGATACTGGAGCTCTTCATCAGTGGGGTGAGAGTGCAGGAGGCTCCTAAGCACACTTTTCTGCATCGCCTGAACTTTTGAAGTATTCAGCTTCAGCGCACATGCATGACAGTTTGTCAATTTTTTCATCACAACATTGGTCAACTTGCACCGTCAACCGAGTCCTTTCTTTCTCTTTCTTGAGAGTCTCTGTTCAAGAGTTCATCCATACACCGAGCACGGAGAGGTTGGTGGATGAAAACGGTCAATAATGGTTGGCTGATAGCTCAATAGAATGGTTCCGTCCGGGATGTGACACGCGTTGCCGTCCCGTCGAAAATATTTTGTATCAACGTAAATGTTCAATATATGCTTTAGAAATTTTCTGGAAGAGTGTGTTGTTAGTTTATAGGACTTAAAAAGTAAAACTTAAAAAAAAACTGCACTTTTTTAAAACATATTTGACATTTACGTTAGTGTCCCCGCTCAAGTACGAAAGGGGCATCCGACACGCCCATAAATACAGGTTTTCTCTCGTAAAGTGCATTAAAAAGCATTACCCGTTTTTACGTCTTTCATTTTCCCGCACCATACATTTTTTTACTGTGGTCCCCTGAAAAACGATACATGGGGCTCTACCTTATATATGCCAAGACAGAAAAGCAAAGTGAAGTTGAAATCGGAGAACCAATGCAGAATAATGTGATGTCAGCAGGATATTGAAGTGAACTGGAACAAAGCCGAAGAAGAAATGCTGTTTTTCTGCAAACTGGAACTGACATCAGGTTACAAGTATAAATCACTAATTAGCAAATTATTAGGCATGGGCGAATAGAGGATTTTGGGTCCGAATCGAATTCAAAGCAAATAGTGATTTTGGTCGAATAACTTCGAATCGAATAGTTTGAACAGTGCAAGCAAAAAATACCACAAGATATGTTTAAACTATATATAGTTTTATATTTGCCCTTATTCGGTATTAGATATACTGTAATTGTTAATTTCAAGTGTATTGAGTTTGGTAGCATGAAATGGTCGAAACGGTCGGAAGCTTGCGCCACCTGGTCGTAAATCCAAGCCAGAGTAAGTGAAACCCGTTTATATCGAACTCGCAAAAAAACTTCTACCAGTTAGGTATGATGGGTAATTCGATATAAAAGTTTTAATGAATTTAACTCTCAAAAATCCACTTTCTGCTGAAATATTACACAATGAAGTAGTCTTGCATCTTCTGCTGCTTGTTCTTCGTTGCATCCGCAATAATGATATTTTTCCACGCTATCGACGGACTCCAAAATGCTGAGGCCGCTGCCTTCTATATTCGTGCATTAGCGCCGAACTATGCCGAGAGCACGGAGCACGTCCCACGGGAGTACCCTCTCCTGCAGAGCGCCGTTTTGCTCTGCAAGTTGGCTTTCCCCTAAAAGAGGTGGCCGCGTTGGGGGAAGCCAACTATGCTTCGTTTCAGCTTCGATCCGAGCGCGGCCGATGTTATGAGCCAAAGGGCCAATCAAAGAGCGCAAAAAGCGCAGCATCATGGCGTGCTTTCTGTGTTTGATAGGACTAGCCGGCGGAGGAGCACGCACAGAGAGACGGCGAATACCGGCTGGTCCTATAAGCTGCACAGAGCACGCCATGACGTTGTGCCTCTTTCGCTGTTTGATTGGCCCTTCGGCTCACAACATCGGCCGCGCTCGGACCGAAGCTGAAACGAAGTATAGTAAAACAAGCTGGTTTTTTTTCTTTTTTTTTTCTGGGCGGCCGCGTTAATTTGGAAGGAAAAATAATCTCTTTTGCAGACGGAGCGGGGAGAGGGAGCACGAAGCACCCTCTGTCCACAAAAGAGTTTCTTCTCTTCCGGGCGGTCGACGCGGCCGCCCAGAAAAAAAAGCCATCATGCTCTGCAAGCTGGTTTTCCCCCCAATGCTGCCGCTTGCGTTGGGGGAAAACCAGCCTGCAGAGCAAAACGGCAGTAGTGGCAGTTCGATATATCGGCCGCTGCAATTTTTGTTCGATGCGACTATAGTTTTTGCTATATATTATCACTGTAACATTACTGTGCACAAAAATTGTTCAATATAAGGTATAATTCAATGTAAACGGATTCGATATAGTCGGGTTTGACTGTATTTAGAAATGTTGAATAATTCTATATTGTCGAATAATTCAATATTGTAGAATAATTCAGTATTGTTGAATAATTCATTATTGTCGAATACATAAATTCGATTCGAAGCGAATGCCGAATAGAACAGAATTCGATTGACTATTTGTAATAACCGAATATTCGCCCATCCCTACAAATTATTAGCAAAACTCAACAAACTTTTAAAATATTCACTTCAGCTGGCACACTCCAATGGTGACAAGCTCTGTTGCCCATCATCAAAATCTGTTTCAGCTCTTGTCGGATCTTAGAAAACTAAATTCTGCTACACATTATTTTCCGACAAATGTAAGTTGTGAGGAGACAGCGGTATCGAAACAAAAATGAAAACAGCGAAGGATGTTGTACCCCAGAGCGATGTCGGCCGCGACAGCGGGCAGCACATAATTGTGACCCGATATGGCAGCAGCACATTACCTCTGCATTTTTTTTCGGTAGCTCGTACTATATATGTTGCCTTGCGGAAAAAATTGGTATCAATTTAACTTGCAGGCCCCGTTGCCGTGCTGTGACCATCGAGCCCAGCCCCCGGTCAATGCAGTCTGACACACTGACCCGCGAGCAGTTCAAGCAGAAAAGTGAATTTGGAGACCGCCTGTTGCTGCCACAACTAGCAGAAGGATTTCTGCCATCCTCCTGGCAGTCTCTCACGGGATAGTTTCTTGACGCGCCGGTCCCGCACCTCAGCGTGGCAACAGTCTTCCGCAACTCCTTCCTTTACGGAAGCGTCCGGTCGACGGGCAGAGGAGCGTGACGCACTGCAAGAGGGAAAGCATCCGAGGAGCCTTCCATCACTTGCATCCCCCGTCGCGCTCGGCACTCGTTGGATCGGCCCTCGACGAGAACGACTCGGATTTACGAAAGCTTTTACGTGCCGCACGACGCGCTATAAATTTATGCGCGAGGTTGTATATAGTCGCGCATGACCTTACATCTGAGATTTGTACATGTCTATTGTGCACGGTGCAAATTTTGTTTCGTCTCGCGTAGTTGTCCCGATGCCGTGGGGCGAGAAAGCGGAGCTCAGTTTGGTTTCCACGCCGGGTGCAAATTTAGGGCGGTTTGCTTTACGAACTGGCTTCGAAGCGATCTCGCGCCCTTGACTGAACTCGGCGTGGCCAGCGTGCATTTTGCCGTTTGTGCACGGACGTGCCGGGAAGCACTGGTCTGGTGCAGTGCACTGTGTGTGGGCTGGGACACTATGGGTGTCTCTTGTCGAGTGCGTAGTGTTGTCGTGTACAGTTGCAAGGTTGCACTTGAGATCGGGAGCTCTTCCCTTCCTTTGTGTCGATCATTCGCGTGCTGTGAATTCCACGCCATGTTGAGCGGTAATGTCCGACGGGCGTGTTGCAGTACACCGTAAGCATCTCCTAGGAGAAGTCTAGTGCGGCTGTACAGTTCCTGTTGGCAAACTGCGAGTGTGAATAGTTTCAAAAACCAATACCAAAAAAGTTGTCGTTGGACCCGCCGAGAGAAGAGTATTACGATTTGAAAGCTGTCCGAGGTGTTGGTTTCGTGTGACTCGGAATTTTTATTCTGTCATGGGAGGAAAGAAGAACCGACGAGAAAAGACACCCCACACTTTACGTGGAAGCCATTTAGTAAGTTGCAAACGTTGGCGGTCTTGATCGATGTCAGGATTCAGTAAAGCCCATGCGCATTGCCCCTGCATTGTCTGTAGTTCCCCATATTCCTAATTTATTTTTATTTTCTGCGGATTTAGTCGGAGGCCAGAGGATTTCTTCTGAAATCCTGGCTCAATGCCTCGTGTTTGTGCACGTGTGTCCATACCCATCTGTACATAAGGCATACGTGCCAGTTCACCGGCACGCTACCTCATTTCACTCCATTTTGTTCACACCAATTCGATTATGCTCGTAGATTAGCCGTTGCATTCAACCCGGAATGCCAGTGCAATGTTTTCGACAGTCGACTGTACTTCCACACCAAAATGAGTTGCGGCTGAAGCCAACTTCAGCTTTCTCCAACACCTTCTGTCATTTTGTGGCTCTAAGAGAAAATATGGGATTGTGAATGCGTCGCGCAATCATCCTTAGTTGGTACTCAAATTATGGTAGACACTTGTACTGTTTGTTTGCACTTGGCGAGCGAGCAAAACTGGTACGACTTAACTAAAGCATAATTACCTCCTACATTTATTGAGGCTAGTATATCTGAAAAAGAGCATTGTCGTTTATCAATTTTCACATTTTTTTCCTGCTCTGGTAGAACATGCAGGGAACTAGGTTACCTTTGTACATCTGATGATGCCTAGATTAAACAACTGAAACGTTTGTTAATCTGTTGCCACTATTTATTTTAACTCATTAGTTTCACGGAGCAATTTTGTTTTGTTTTGCAACTGTATGGATTATTTTCACTTTGTTTTTCAAATGTAATAAGAATGCTGATAGAGTCCAGCTTTAGTGTGGTGCGTGTCATGTAATTTTAACGCCGTCATGCAATAATTGAAGTTGAAAAGTTAGGTAGTTGCCCTAAGTTAACAGATGCACTTTTTGAACAGATTTTAAATATTTATATGGAATCGAGATGCAATTGATGTTGTAATTTTCTCAAATTAATTGAATTGTATTTTTGACTTTTATAAAGAATGCCATCTTAAACCTCCTGGTGTGTACACTTCTGCAACTTTTTTGTTGCTACAGTTGGAGTACATTTTGTAATGTTGGTTATATCCTGAGAGCTAACTCATCTAAAATAAAAAAAAGGGCAAGAAAAGCTTGCTTTGAAGAAAGGAATTAGTGGCCACATCCTTGGTTCTTTTACATCACTTTAGATTTGTGATCATTTAAAAGTTGTGGCAATAGCTTCTGCACGCATCATTCAAATTGTTAAGCTAACGGCCACTGCCACTCTATGTGGAAAAAAAAAAATCTTCAATTTGCAGTTCCTGAGCCCTCCCAATTGGTAGTTTATTCTACTGTTTTCCCTAAAGAAGTAATTGAGCCCAAAATGGGTTGGGTTGCTTCTCAAAATAGTGCACTACTATATATTTCTGTGTGCTGTAGATGTGTAAATTGTGTGTGTGTCATCTGCATTTGCAAGCATCAAACATTCTGCACTCTCCTTTGATCTTTCGACCAATACTTCATATATATAGTATATATAGTCTCGTATGTATGTACAGCTCTGAAGATACATTGAAAACACTGTTGTATGGATCTATTGGGTATTTATTAAAAATCTATATTGTCATTTGCTATGGGCTGTTCAGTGTTGCCTATTTGCTTGCTCAAATTGTGGATGTGCTACATTTAGCAGAACTTGCATTGTCTAGGGATGATTCTCATTTAAAACAGAAATGTTTTATGAAACCACATCTTTGAGAGCCTTTGTTTACACACAAGACAGTATGCAAGTCTTCTAGTCCAATAACAGATGAGTTTGTCCAATTATCAAAGAGTGGCATGCTACAAACCAAGAAACCAAATTTGACGTTTGTGTTTCTACAGCGTTAGGTCCGTCTGCCTTCAAGGTACAAAAATATTCCAAAAGCCAAGATTCGTGATGAAAAAGCAAATATCTCCGACTTATATAACATTAATATCAACAATTTATAAGTAGATGTTTCATCAACTGCACTGATGATGTCTCCCACACAGGAGATGAAACATCACTTATAAATTGTTGATATTGTTATACAAGTCGGAGGTATTTGCTTTTTAATCTTTAACATGTGGCGACACTGGTTTACGCTGTAGATGAGAAATTTAACCAGTGTAGTACCACTGCTAGCCTGGGTTCTTTAACGAGCATCACGCAGGAGTGATACACGACCGCACGCTGGTACAATGCTTGTCCAGAGCTCGAAACTGGCAGGGGTGAGGACTGAACCCAGGATCCCTGGGTTCTGTAGCATGAGCTTTCACTCCACATGCTCCGAGCTGGTGTGCTCTAAACACACTCGGCCATTGATCCCCCGTGGCGCGCTGCATTTTCTAAATGTGTACACAAACTTTATAAAGAATCAATACGTAAAAAAAAAAAAAAAACTATGTTGTAGGTTATTTTTTGTTGTTTTTTGTGGTCTCCAGAGAGAAAATAAGGGAAACATGCAGATGAATGAACCATATTGAGCAACTAGAAATAAAGGTTAGGACAGAAAGACTAAATTTAGAAATCAGAAAGACTAAATTTAGCCGTGCCAAGATTTAAACACCGAGCCTCCTCATTACCAGTGAGGTATGCTAAGCACCTCAGCACCCTGCCTTGTCTTTTCGCGTAGACTGTGCATCTTCCCCATCCAGGCAGCAAGGCAAAACGGCCCCAGAAAATGAGCTCTCAACATACTTCTAGTCAACTAGTCATCAGAAGGGGCAGTTTCAGAAAATTCTTCTTTGCATCTGCCCAAGCCCACTAATTCTGCCATATCTGAAAAACTAGAAATCCTGGTAATGATTAGTCAATCCCTTTTGCGCAGTTGCAACGGTACATGCTTCTGTGCCACTGTGAGGAGCTCCCGTGACTGCAAGTTTTATTTTTGTTTTGGCAACGCGAGTAGAGACGCGATAGACAATCTAGCTTATCGAAGAGTTCATCCACCTATTCTACAAATTCTGCTATTCGTGGGCCTGTGATTTTGGCACCACTCTAGATTGGAACACGAGTAGGTTGGTTGAAATGAATTTGATGAATATTCAAAGAGATTTCTGTCGCCATTAGTATGGTTAAGTACTCAGTGCTTTGAACTGGCTGAAACAGCCACTGGAGACAACCATGAAAGTTCCCGGGTTGTGCAAATGCGAAGTCGGAAAATGCCACAGAAAGTTGTCAGCAAAAGATTGAGGTACACGTAAGCACTTCTTATGAGTTGTGAATGCAAAAGCATGTACAATATTATTATAATGCAATTAAATGCAAAGGTGCAAGTGGGCTGGACAAGAATGATGAAAATAATCCCCGGAGAAGGGGAACATGTATGTTGGCATGCTGACTGTCGCTGACCTGGCGCTGACGGACACACAGCGCCATGAAGGGGTCAGTCATTGAAACTGACACGCAGTGTTAGTTTCAACGACCGGCCACCCTATGGTGCTGCGTGTCCGGCAAATGGGATCATGGTCGACGCGCGCTAGTCAATGGGATTGAAGCGGTGTAAAAGGTGCCGTGGCTAACCGGTGAATGGGAGCTGGCTTGACATGGAGAAGGATTTAGGAGCCATTTGGCATGGTTTCAAAGCTGATGACGTCGGCTCGCTCCATGAGACCCCCCCCCCCCCCAGTTAAAGCTTTCTCATTAAAAACACGGACAACGCGACTGAAAGATCTGTGACTTGCCACATCGATTTACTATTCTATTGTATTTTGTAATATTTACTACCAAGCTACCATTACCTCCAAGATTCTTGGCGAGCAAACCTCTCCTTTGGCCCTTCCAAGTGCTCAATTGCTTAGCAGAAGGAGAGTATAGCACTGCTTCTCTGGCGCTCAGCAAGTCGGTACTGATGGGGAGCCGGCATTAGCACCTCAAAAGTCAAATGTGCATGTGGTATGGAGCTTGTATTTCCATTAAAACCACAAAGGCTGGTGGCAATCAGTTCGTTGAACGACTTTTCATGGACATTGTTTCGTAGACACTGCAACGTTCATCAAGTTTGTTTCATCAAAAGGTTCTTGCGATTGTTTCACCGACACATCTTGCACCATTTTCTGGAAAGCTTCTTTCTGTGTACGTCGTCTTGATTGCCGGCATTCGGATGTTAGCCTAACTTGCTCAGCCCTTTGCGGTTCCGATGAGGCCTGGTGGGAGCATTTGTCGGGAAGCAACAAAGGTGACCTTTGTCGCAGTGTTAGGGGTTTGTTTTAGTGAATTACATCTTGGTCGGTGCTGCACAGTGGTACGTAAATATGCTATGTCTAGAGTGCTGTCCGAGTGAACACTTGCGGAGAGTGCAAGTGCCATCCGACAGCACTGCATGTGCAAACTTCAATCGTGAGGAGCTCACGACGATGACATCGCGCTTTTTTCGCCTACGTCCAGTCGGCGTGCTCTACGGACTTTCGGCTCCAACTTTGTGTTTGACAAAGTGGCATTCTCTCAAAGGTTGCGATTTAAAATAAATTTGGGCTTAAACCTCGTGCACTCCTGCAACAACCTCCTCTACCAAAAAAAAAAAAATTTTTTTTGTTGAGGCATGGAGAATTTAAATTGAGCCCTAAACATTCTACTAAGACTACCAGCCAGGCATGCTAACCGTTGCGCTATTGAAACGAGGTAGGAATGTAACTCATAAGTAGTGAATTTAACAGAAAGTAAAGTGAAAGTATGCATACTAATTTCTACCACAATATGTCAATAACGTGCAGTTCTTCATTAACCCCTTAACCAAGGACTTTCAGGACACTGGCAAAATAGGGACTTTTTTTGTCTCCCTTTTGCCAATATTTTTTTGTACCGTGCATCTTATCAAACTTTTCTTGTGCTGCCACCTAGGCATTGGTTTCTAAAGCATCATTATTTCTGATGTTTGGGGATTGATGGCGCTTCCTCCCGTGCTATAAAAAAAAGAGAGCGTTCAAAGACGTGCCCCCCCAAGATCAACTGAAGAGCAGCGCGTCTATAGACCCCCAAGCTGCCGCGCATCTAAAGACGTGTTGCCTCATTAAGGGGTTATTGGAACAGTATCAACAGCATTTACTTGGTAGTACTAACATAGGATGGCACTCCGATGCAGGCATAAAGTGCTGTCGGCTGCCACTTTAGACACTGCATTCTTTCACAGCGAAGCTGTTATGAACTAGAATATGGCAAAAAATGTGTCCGCGAATGTTGACAGAGGTCGTCCTCGAGGTCGTTCTCTGGGCGTCACCCTTGAGGTCGTCCTAGACGTCGTCCTTGAGGTCGTCATGAGGTCATCCTAGACGTCGTCCCCGGTTGTCCAAAAAGTCGTCCTTGAGGTCGTCCTAGACGTCGTCCTCTAGGCATCGTCCTAGACGTCGTAAAAATAACAGCTTCGCTGGTCCTCCACCTTCACATGAAGTGGAAAGGCTCTACAATTCTTTTTCACCAATCAATAATAAGTTCATTCTTTACTGTAAGGCATTGTATCAAACAGTCCGAGGGCAGAGTCATCGGAAGTCTTGCAGGCCATGCTAACTGTGCACTAAACCCAACTTTGACTAAATCTGCTGAACCAACCTCAAGAATCTAAGAGAATAAGAGAAGCACCTTAAAACACTTAACTTTTGCCAAATGCTGACATCTCTGCCATTTTACTGCCCAAGTGCTTTTCGTTTCTCAAAGTCTGTGCAATTTTGCTTGACACACGTTGCGGCTAATGCGTTCATGCCATGTTGCCAGCTAAATTTGGCTTCTTGACAGCATTGCATCGTGGCGGCAGGGTGATGACATTTCAGCTAGCAAGGCAAGCGAGCTGGTTATAGTTCATAACAGATCCAGAGACGGAGGACAAAAGTGTGCAGTCTCTTGGCAAAAGCTCATAACATGGACTGACTGACGGCTACAAGCACGAGCAGGTAGCTTTCACGGTGCTCACTGCACGAGCACTCGTGTAGCCAAGGCGCAATCATACACCGGGAGCTCGCACTTGTAGCTTTTCACATTAGTTCATGTTAAGGTGAGACAAAGTACTATACGGTGCTTCTATGGCCAAGGTTTATTTGTACGTTAACTTTGAAATGTGCTGCCGGCACTCGATCCATCAAAGGCAGTGTCCATGCTGGCACAGACACTCAACGAGGCACCCTAAAGAGAACCAAAGAAAACGAGTGCGAAATACTATTGTTCTTGTCCGGAGAGGAACACATCCGCAATAGCAGTTCAGAAGCAGCCACAAGATGCAAAAGAGGTGGCACTACAATCAACTTCTGACCAATGATGTGGAAAGATGGGCTCAGAAAACGTTTATGGGAGTTTAATAATGTAATCTGTATGGAAGACAGCGGGAAGTTAGCCTGCCCCGAGGGTTGTCTCATGTCTTCACTGTAGATGAAAAACCTAGCCAGTACAGTATGGACCACCAACCTGTGGTCTTTAACATGCATCATGCAGTAGTGATACACAAATGCACACCGGTACATATGATGGTCATCGAAATGGAAACGAGCAGGAGTGGGGATCAAACCCAGGATCCCTAGGTTATGCAGTGCGAGCTTTGGTTCCACATGCTCCGGGATGCAGTGTGCCAATTAACGCGCTCAGTCACCGGACCCTTCGGGAGTTTGCCAACTGACAAAAGCTAATACCAAAGAAAAATTTCTCCACAGTAACGGGAAGATTCTAGTGGCAGCTACAATAAAAAAAAAAGATTGTCTTCTTTTTTTTATACATTGTGATGTTGGAGAAGCTGTTAGGTCTTTACAAATATATGCTTCCTGAGCATGCGTCTAAACTGGTCCCTGCCATTAGCAGGTCATTTAGGCTGAAAGTACAAATCAGTGCTAAAGAAATAAAGAAGCAGATATCGACTATGCGCTCATTTAAAAACACAAAAAACATTTCAAGGCAGTTTATTGCAAAACTTCATGTCAGATGCAGCCCTTTTGGAGCACTCCCTCAATATTAGCCAAAACATTCACTCCAAAAAGGTAGTCAAATACACAAGCACTTATACTACACACACACACAAAAAAAAAAAACCCATGTGATATACAGTCCACTTTGACCAGTCCTTTCTATACAAGTTACAACACAAAAAGCATTTCACAGAATGACTAAAATGAGCTCAAATATGAGCTATGACTCCTCCGTAAAAGCACAAAATGATCCACTCATGGCAAAGAATCTCTCCACCAACACGCTGCTTGAAATACATTGTTCTTCATGATTTCTCCAAGGGCAGTTCATCGTACAGGGTGCAGCCGTAAAAACTTTCAAATTTGGGACGCCTAGCAAAAAACGAATTTCAAACGTACATACCTGAAATTGGGCACACGAACGTCGTTTACTCCAAAGTTTTTTGTCTATTTTTTTCAGACGTCAACTCTGGACTAGCGAATTATTAGAAAGATAGCAAAAATGGCAGACGTGCATTTCTTATGGCCTATACCCGCCCGTTCGCCGTCTGCTATCTAATTCGCGACGCCGCTCCCAGATGGCGCACTGAACGCAAAAACGAGGGAAACGCCGCACGAAAGGCTGGTGTTGGGCGAGATAATCGCGATAAAAAGTGATTTTACCGAAATATGTGAACGATTATGCCCTTTTACTTGAAATTTAGAAACTGGCGGACGCCCTCGTTTTAATAAAAATATGTTCTAAAGCAGACGAACGTGTGTCTTCCTTTGTCGTCTGCTTATCTGTTGACACGTCCGTTCCCGGTGAAAGCTCAACTTTGGAATCAAGAGTGCCGCTGCTGAGGCATCTTGATTGTTCCTATTTATTGTTTTTGTTGCACTACCTTCTGCAGTTATTATCAAAATATTTTCCGCGCCGCCCTGCGATGCCGCAATACTCGGCAAGTGAGTGTGCCCAGGCAGTCAAGTGGTACGTGGAGCGGAACTCGATGGCCACAGCACAACGAAAATTTCGCACTGCATTTCATCAACGCTCGCCTTCACGCCCGACTGTTTTGAGTTGGGCGGATCATTTTGTGAGTGGAGAAGACTTTAAAAAGAAGAATCCAGTCAGTGAACGTGAGAGCCTGCTGAAAAATGAGGAGCTCATTGAAGCGGTGCTTGCTGTCCTCGAGAGCGACCCGCAATTGTCAACAAGACGAGCAGCTGTAAATAAATGATCTCGTCGCATCATGGTGTCTTCTTGCTTGCATGACGATCTGTCAGAACTTGACTCGAAACAGGTAATTTCAACGATCGTTCATATATTTCGTTCAAATACCTTTCTATCGCGATTATCTCGAACGACACCAGCCTTTCGTGCGGCGTTTCCCGCGTTTTAGTGTTCAGTGCGCCACCTGGGAGCGGCGTCGCGAACCAGATAGCAGACGGCGAACGGGCGGGTATAGGCCATAGGAAATGCACGTCTGCCATTTTTGTTATCTTTCTAATAATTCGCTACTCCAGAGTTGACGTCTGAAAAAAATAGGCAAAAAACTTTGGAATAAACGACGTTCGTGTGCCCAATTTCAGGTATGTATGTTTGAAATTCGATTTTCGCTAGGCGTGCCAAATGTGAAAGTTTTTACGGCCGCACCCTGTAGAAAGGCAGAGACCATCTGCTAGGGTTAAGCCTAATGGCTACAGTTAGGCTTAGTGGTCTTCGACATACAAAAACCTGATACAGAGGCTAAAAACTAAGACAAACACAACGTTTTAAACACGGCTACTAAATTTTATTCACCACACTTTCTTTATACAGTCATTTCTGCACTAGTGCCCTCTCAACAATTTCCACACGCTTCACGTCGTCTGCAAAGTTCAATCGGGCCACTCCCAGGTAACCTTTTCATCTCCGACTGAGCGCTTGTTGACAGACATTCATTTGGGGTTTTTGTGCGGGGGTCTGAAAGGTTCAGTTGGAGATTACATGAGATTGACTGATTGAACTTTGCAGACGATGTGGAACATTTGCAAATTGTTGAGAGGGTGCCAGGGTGGAGACGACAGTATAAGGGAAGTGTACGTGAATAAAATTTAGTAGCTGTGCTTGAGGCATTGCGTATGTCCTCACATTTTGCCTCCGTCTCAGGTTTTAGTATGTCGATTAACAACCAGCCTGCCTATCTAGTAATGTTGTCTTCAATCAGTGGTCTTGTCCCCTTGGTCTGGACCTGTCCTCCGCCTTTTCGCTGCGACTTCTTCTGCTGTCAATGCTCTTCCGAGAGTGAGAGCTCCTCCCGCTTCTGGTAGGGTCTCTGGGCGATTCCCGACGAGTGCTTCTAGATGAGTCCCTTGACCTGCTGTGGCCTGCCGGAGAATCTGCTCTGGGTCGTCTGCTGCTCGAAGGACCCCGCTGGTGCGACTCCCTGGAGCCAGGCACCCGCTGCTTCAGGCTCCTCTCCAGGACCCTCCTCTGGTGGCTCAGCTGAGGGAACAACTCTGCCCAGCAGATGACGAGTTCCAATATATTATTTGAATCTAATGCCCACACGAGAGCCTTCTTAGCTTATCTGGGTATTACATACCGTAATATTCTGAGAGATAGCCAACCAAAAATCGAGAGCGAATTGGGTGAAAATGAGGAGTGGCCTAACTTTCAGTGTGCAATCGCGAAAAGTAAAAAAATGCTATCTTTAGCTGATGCGTCCTTGACAAACTTGTTATCGCAACAAGGGGCAATGAATCAACGATGACTTCTCGGTCAGCAATGTTAGCTCATATTCCGCCATAGCTAACTAGCCCAATTTGCGCCAAGGTCGTCATTGATCCAAACGCTACAACTACTAGGAGTGGGCTATCTTTCGGTGCTTAAAAGAAAATAGCAAATCAAGCTAAAAATAGGGGGCGGGTTATCTTTCGGGGTGGGGCATCTCCCGGGACATTACAATAAACCGTAAAATGTAAAAAAAAAAAAAAAAAAGTAATAAATTGTATGGTATTGTAAAGGCACGTTCACACCTTCGGTCATCCCACACATGCGACCGCTTACGACCGAGTGTTAAAACCTCTTGTGATCTTTAATGACAGGAGGCACCTATTGGGTAGCCTCGGAACACTTACAATTTTCGTCCTACTTTTCTGACCCTACCAAAGCGTAACCCTAAGGAAATTTCAATAAATGCTCTTCCACCCCACTCCACCCCTACTTTTTTAAACAACCATTTTTCATAAGTACTATGTGCATTTGACCTTGCAAATGCTGAAAAATCTTTGCTCTCATGAAATGCAGTTTCAGGGCTACATCATAGATGGTGCCAGTGTGTTCTCATAAAAGATCACAAGAACTCGCTCGTAAACAAACGCAAGTAAGTGAACCAGCCTAAACTGGGGAACTTGTCTTTAGATGCACCTCTATTTTCACCCTGAGATGGAGTGCATGTCTAAAGACGCACGAGACTTCTTTAGAACGGAGAGCGCGCGCCGTGAATCTCGTGGCAATTTTTGCCAGAGGTTGTAAAATGCTGCCATCTATCGAACACAATACCTAACACGTTTAGGTTTATTTCCGTTCGCTGGCTCGCGAAATAATTTAATTGCCTTAGTAAGAAATATCACTTTTTGTTCTCGTTCTCGATTATACTCCGTTTCACGATAACTTGGTGAACTGTGGAGGCTGCGGCCCTCGCGCCCACTAGGAGTGCCGGAGAAAGTCACGTGCTAACGCTCCATAATCGAGGTCACCTAGGCCTCGTTATCGCCACAGCAACAGCGTCGTCCATGACAAAAAGTAGTTCTAAGTTTCTTTTTCTTTTAACGGCAATTGAAGTCGCGCGTTTCCTTCTCTATGAGAATAGTATATATGAAAGAATAAGGCATAAATGTTGACAAACGTTTGAGTTTCAATTGCATTTGAAACAAAAAAAAAAAGTGACGCCACATCCGTATCCGCTCTCGATATTTTTCTCTTTGCAACCCCGTGGCCGTTTGCGATTGCAGCCGTGTATTCGATCGCTTCCGCTCAAAACATCGCCCTGGTATATTAGCATCCACTGCAGATTCGCAAGTAAATTGAGCGTATGGTTGTCTCATGAATTCTTCCCGAAAAGCTAACTACTCTAGTGGACGGCAATGTTGCGGCAGTGGACGTTCATCCGAAGCTGGTTGGCTTCGCAGCAGACGACTCTTGGCCACCAGCAGACGACAGTTGGTTCCTTGGCGCAGCGACACACGTTCCCATGACGTGGTGTCACGTGCCTCGCTCCAACACTCTTATTGGGTGGGGGGGGCCGTAGCCTCCACGGTTTGCCAAGTTAAAGTGAAACGGAGTACAGGGATGCTCGGTAGAGGTGCAAAGTTTGGACAGACATACAAATCACGGCGTTGCTTCAGTGGTGACCTAAAAAGGTCACATGGAGGTAAATGGTGTTTGCTACAGATAACAAAAAACTGCCGTCCTCTTGCTAACAAAATTTATAAAATTGCTTCTAACTTTTGGTGAAACATTTAAGGGTTTTCCATAATTACTGCCAAGTTTTCAAGCTAAAATACATCTCTACACAGCATAATTTGTTTAAGCAATGCAAAACCCTCCAAATTTTTCTTTAAATACACAGCAGCAGAAGTACAAACTGTTTTCATACAATAATTAAAAGCTTAATTATGAAAGGCTGACAAAAAACTTTCAGCCTTTCCACTCTGGCGAAGAAGGAAGACCAGAGAGGCTGTGCTGTGGTGGGAATGAAGTAATGGCCGGCCGCAAGTCGGCAAGCAAGAGTGGAAAGACTGAAAAGGTTGCCGCCATCTATGAGCGACGGCGGAAACCTTAGTGTTGTGTCGACCTTTGTTTGGTACCAGACACGATCCTGGGGAACCTGGCCCTTAACAGCTCCGCTGTAAAAATACTTGCATGCTATAAGTACAGAGTCAAACACCTTTATAAGAAACCCCATGGGACCAACAAAGAAATTTTGGTTATACAAGTCACTTCACTTTATAAAGATTAAAGCAAAGCCTCAAACTTGTGAAAGCACTAAAAGTCTACCATGTATTGAACAAATCTAGTAGTATGATGGCACCAAATCTAGTATGTTGATCTATTTTTATCCCGAAGTCCGATATTTCGCAACATCGCTTAACTCGAGCGTTTTCATATCACCAAACAGATCACGGCACCATTTGATTGTTGCTTATATTTAGGGTTCTGCGTTGGCTGCATAAACCAATAAGTCCTGGCAAGTAACCCCACAGCCAGTTTTCTCGGAATCGAGAAATAACAAAAAAACCTAATTAAAAGCTGTCTTTGAATAAAAAAGAAAGAGAAAAAAAAAATTCACGCTTTGTGGGAGATTTTTTATGTACGCTTTCTTTTTTGTGGACCCAGGAGATAGACATGCACTGAACTGCCCACGAAACTGCATTTTACTAGGGGATCCACAATTCTGTCTTGCCTCACCGTTAGCCTCACTGTCATTTTTCGAATGTTTGGGTCGCATGCCATGGAGGTTGGAGAATCCACATGTTGTTTCCTTCATCATTACAAATGCAAATTTTTTGCCCACACTGAAACTAGGCTTTAAAAAACATTGCATCAGTGAAAAAAAAATATATAATAAAAAAACACTCAAATTAAAGGAAAAATAAACCCTAAAAGCATGAAACCCCATTTACACCAAATGGCACTCAAAGTGGAGTCCAGTCTTAAAATCAAAACTGCTCGAGAAAGCTAAAAAAAAAAAAAAGAAATTCAAAAACTAAAAATAACATTTAAAAAAATCTTGAGGAAATAAGATAAGGAAAGAAAAGGAGGTACCGCCATCAAAGAACCATGGCACTGCAAAACAATTGAGGACACACTCCTCAGGCTGTAAAAAAAAAAAACTCTTGTTTTTGTTTTGCTTTTTTTTTTTTTTTTTGTACTTCGTTTCTCCTTTTAGCTGGGAGAATGTTGCAAAGCTGTCCCTCTGCCTTCTTCCTTGTCTCCGAGGAGCACAATGTTTGTTGAACACACAAAAAACAAACAAAGATGCGCAGCACCGACTTAAACTGACTGTTGTTGAAGTTCTCTTAAATGGGATTTATTTACAAAAACAACCTGCAGTGTCAAAGCATTAGAACAAATACAACCTGGCATAAAAAAAAAAAAAAAAAATTTGTGGATTATGAGCAGGCAATATATTAGTAAAGGCTGTTAATTAGAAACAAAATCAAGTAAAAAAACAAACAAGAAAGTTAAAAACCGGAATCACTTCCTAAAAGAAGCGACCCCATGTTAATACTTCTATGTACGACAGAATATTTCTTTGATTTTCATTGAATGATCTATGCGACTTGAAAAAGAGTTTGGTAATTATAAATAGGAGTCTGTAATTTCCTGTCAGGGGTTATTAAAATGGAGTGTTTCCACAAAATTTTATGTATAGATAAATGTCTGCTCAGTTGAAAGCAAAGTTCTACAAATCTTGCCGTCTATTTAAAAGGAATGTCGTCAAAAACTTCATACTGTTGCCAAGAGTTCTGTGTCCCACTTGAGCTTGTTACTGCGCATGCGACTCGGAAGGCGGTCTAAATGTTGACGGGTATCACACACTTCAATCAGTTCTTCACTTTAAAAGTGACATAGACTACCAACTCCGCAATTATTGGGCAAGAGGCCAAAAATAGTTCCACGGTTGGGGTACTCTGGCGTTTTATTTATGGTGCCCGATTTGCTTCAAAAATTACCAAACATACCAACAAATATTGCTGAACCAGTATACCCATATATTAGGCCAAAATATTTTTTTCTCGAGAAATTAGTGAATTTACATTTTTGGTCCTCACCTTTTGTTTGCTTCAAACTGAAAGTCTCTACTGGCAACGATAAAGAGGTGATCTCAGCGGCATGTAGGGATTCATTCTCTGGATTGTAGAATTTCTTCCCAACTGATTGCAAGCAGTTTCATGGTGTCAAATGAATGCTTTGGCATTCCTCCTGCAGCCACACAAAACAGATACTTGGTATCGTCCCTTTTTAGACTGCCTGCTCGACCTGCAAGCCTGCCTGCCAGCGACCTCATGGCACTGCAGAGCGCAAGCATATTTGGATCTTGGTTTTGGCATCATTTTTTTTAGAATGACTATTCCGATTTTTGCGATACTAAATAGCAGGTCGGAAAGGATAAAGGCCTGGCATTCAGAAAATATAGTTTGTTGGAGCAGCTCCAAAAATTGCTGGAGTACCCTTATGGCAACAAACTCATCTGTCTGCGTTCTACAGACCTTTTCCGCTTACTCCCGCCCCTGACCGCCAAGTAGGCATATCCGGTATGGGCGACAAAAAAATATCAAGATGTTTCAACCTGCAAATAGTAAAAAAATAGAGGGGAGGCAAAACGAGAATGTGTGACGGTTATGTTTATGTCTGAAATGCCTTCTATTGGCGCGGCGACGGCAAAACCATGTTTTCGCCCATACTGGAAGTGACGACAATTCAAGATGCCTGCGACCTTGTGAGAAAGGTCTATAGTCCGCTTCTTTAGATACAGGCCCCGTTATGAGGGGCACACAAGGCAGGCCCAGGTTGTACACTGCCGTGTAATGCGTGAAGACAGAGCGCTCGTACCTTTGGACGCTTCCAAGGCCTTCGAAGCAGCGGCCATCTCTGCCTGCTGAATACTGAAAAGACAAAAAAGCAGCGCTTTAAAAGCAAAAAAAATACATGAATACGCTTTTTGTTTTTTTTTATTTTTGGCTTCCTCAAGGTTGAAACGAGAAAAGGATGCAAAGTGGAGTGCAGAATCTTCGAAACCATGCAGAACGGAAAACGCACCTGTGACCAGAGCCAGTAGCCAGCCTTTTTCTTCTGAAGTACACCGCAACAGTGTAGACCCGTGTGTTTGTGGGACCCTTACATTCTATTACCCTGCAAACACAAATAATGCAAGAGTTTAACATTGAAAGAAAAAAAAAAGTGTAAAACACAGGATTGTGTGCTTTCTTTAGGCGGCACGAGGATCATTGAAGCTCTTGAATCGAGCCTCAAACGATGACAATGTGTTTGAGTTTATCTACCAATTAAAAATCAGTAATTAAAAACTTGTTTGCAGATTTAGACAGCAGGGACACCAGAGCAGCATCCCTGCTGTAAATGGGCAATTGAGTCGATGCAATACATCTGCAAACCCGGGGCCTTAATGTGCACTATGCAGTGGTGATTACACGAATGCATACCGCTACAAAAGCTAATCCAAACGACCAGAGGCTGTTATGAATGATTTAGAAATTTGTGGTTTTGAAAAGATGGCTACACCGTTGAGTATGCTTTCTCTCGCGACACGACTGCACACCAGGGAAGCCACTCTCCCTGCCGGGTGAAGCAGCCTGTGGCACAGTCCGCGTGAACGGTTTTGTGGTGCCCGTTTGCCCCTCCACCAAAACGCAAATATTAAAAATATCATCCACGTTTTCACATTGCCAGTCTTGTGCCTGGTGCACGAGTAAAAATTTTAACCCACCCCCATGTTTCTATTCATCCTAAAATTCACTGATATAGGGTTTTTTAATGACGCTCAGCAAGTTTCTAATCAGAACCATATGTTTCTTTTTGCTAATTATAAAGTTTATTAGTAAATTTTAGGTAATTATTTTGCTGATTAGTATGTTCATTGCAATCCCTGACGTCTGCCATGGCTGGCAGTTTGTTCCCCAAAAAGTTATTTTCTCATACATCCTAGTTTTAGGGATGCTTGAAAGTCTTAGCAGAAACACCTGGTATAGCCTACTTCATTTTTGTTTTTAAAGAAAACAATGCAGTCCTTTTCAGTATCATCTAGGAGGACCACACATCAAATATTACAACCTAGTTCTATCTAAATGTTTCTTAGAACGGTTCGGCAGTCCTTGGAATGCGCCAAGTTGCCGAAATCGGCCGACTCTAGCGGGCGAATAGTGCAGTCAAGGCTACAGTGTTGGCGTAGCCAATATTGAGCTAAATGTCATTACCATTGCTACTTTTTGTTTGTTTATACTTCTCCGGGCAAGCGTAACAGGTGACATAACCAACGTCTCCTTTCGGCATTGGCCAATTGCGTTAGCTCCATGGTGTCCCCGTATAATTTGTGCAACGTGCCCAACGTGCCTGCTCAGCACGCTTTTCAGCTTTAAGAGCCGTCTGGTCATCTCCTACGTCCCAACTGCCATCGTCGTCTCGCCGGCAGCGATTGTCTCTTGGAGTTTCATTCACACTACATGCGCCGGCCCAGGCTCCAATTTCTAGCTACAATACGTAGCAAAAGAACGAGAGGCACACAATGTTGTGCCTCTGCCTGCAGTAAGTATTAATTGTACAGTCCAGGAGTTATTTTAAAGCGGGAGTTTTATGGGGCCAACCAACCTCAGGAGTCGTGTAAGCACAAAATGTGTAGGCCAGTCGGTCTGTAATCACTAAACGATTTTTAAGAAAAACTAGTGCCAGAGATTGAACCCTAGTTACCAGCGTGGAAGCCAAGTGCACTGCTGACTGAGCTACAAACCTAGCATGCAGGCATGGGAGGAGCAGGAGCAGGTGGTGTGAAAAAGCGCACGAGCAGAGAGGTGGAAAGGGCAAAAAAGAAAGGAACAGAAGCAGGTGTTGTAAAAAGAGAACCCAGAATGAGGAGTGAAAAGGGCAGGAAAGTGCATTTCCCCTCTCTTGGTGATGCAGAAAATTCAATGCAAAGGCTTCGTATCCTTGTGGTGCTGACGGGAAGCACGTCAGCATCACGAAAAGACAATCGTGTCACGTAATCTGTTTCCATACAAAACCCTGCTCTTGGCACCACCTGAACTGAAAGCACCACTCACGCCAGGCAGTGAAAAACTAAGTTTCATCCCGCTCCAGGCACCATTGAAACTAAGAGCTCCACCCACCCTATAAAGCTACCACAATTAAACATGTTATGACCAAACATCCAGCCAATATTTTTTTCCCTTGTTTCCAGCTAACAGTGCGTGACGAAATGTCTGGGAGAACACTGTGCGTCAAATCCTGGAAACCTCTTCACGCCAATTGACCGGACATTGATCTGTTCCGATCACTTCTTACCAGACTGCTACGGACAAAATTTGCACGTCAGCTGACGCTGGCCTCTCAAAAAGTACAAGCGTCTGAGGCTGGACGCTCTGCCGTCGATCCTCGCTGGCGGGACCAATTCCGAAACAGCGGCAGACGGCTCATGCGTGAAACGTCATCAGATCCGAGCATGTATTTTCCTCTCTCGTCGCATGCCCGTCCCAACAATGGCCCGCCTCGATCCCGTTCATCGTCGAGTAAAGGATCATGCGAACACTTGTACCACATGGTTGCCATCTTTTTGGCAGCCTGAGGCCAATGTTGCCCAATGGTGCCAAAGGTTTGGTTTCGGTTTCTACTCATGTTTAAAGTTCATGCTCATGTCTCGAAGCAAATGACATAGTGCCTATCCTTAGTGCTTTTTTATGTGAAATCACCTCATAATCCCAAATTTTTCGGAATTAAGCAGAGTTGCCCTTTATGTTTTGCATCCTTGGTTTAGACCTTGGCGTGTGTACAGACAGCATACTGCCGAAATTATGGCAAAGTGCCCAAAACGACTGCCTATGCCGCTCCCCTATGTATCACGGTAGGTAGAACTCGCGGCACTCTTTCTGCGTCTCGTTTGATACTTGACACCGAGTAGAACAGCGGCAGGACCCACTTGTAGACGGGAATGTCGGGTTCGCCACCGTCCATGGAGCGCAGTGTAAGGCAGCACTGCTGCAGCTTGCTCTTGGGGTCGTTCCAGTCTTGGTTCAAGATGAAGTCCTGGGACAAGGACCCACACTTACTTCCAGGTTAGAGCCAACTACTACAGTAATCAGCCGTTACCATACTTCAGCTACGCTGCTTCAAAACTCGTTAATTCATTTGCTATCGAGACATTGCGGCACCGATCCGAGTCACGTCGGCAGTGGCACAGCTTTGCAGCACTCGCACAAGAAAACAAGGAACAAATATTACTCCAGCAACTATCCCGCTAACGAGCACCCTAAATATGAGACTCTCAAACTTTGTGACCCTAAAGAATCATATCCATCCTTGCCGCAATGACGCGGAAACAACTTGCCGCAGCAGCACAGTGATGCATGCCTACCATTTCCTTTCCTACATTCGTATATTAGGGCCCAGCTAAGAATGCATGCCACTGGTACAGTAGTCTGCCTGTGGACGGAGATTATCGGGCAAATCTGAGTGCTCGAGGAACCCCTGTCTGCCCGGCGGCAACCCAGTTCGAGAATCCACGCTGCAAAGAACCGTACCACAACTGGGTCGCCACCATGGCCATGATTTGTGCTTGCCATATGTGAGCACAATACAAAACTAGGAAGTAATGTATGATTTAATTACATTTGTCAACCTATCTCTGCGCCAGATGCCTAATTTCTCCACCATGAACAAAATTAGTGTAGTTTTCAAACTTGACTTTAGGGACTCTGTGTTTCCTTGTTCCTTAGAAGTAGCCGTCAGAATTTTGCCAGTAGATTGTATGCAGAACAATATTAAAAGATACCAGTTGCCGATCTTATATCTATATATATATACTAGCAACATTGACTCCTTGCATTGGTATCATTAAAGACTGCCACTAAGTAGATAAAATTTGATTTTTTAAAACAATAATAAAAAGTGTATACCTCTCATACAGCTTTTACATTCTTTCAAAATGATTAAAAATGGTAGCACTACTAGCGCTCGGCTGACTGTTGACCCAATCCCAAAAATTGACATTTCCCTAAATCAGGAACACTCGGGAGAGCGCTGCAATAGAACCATAAAGGAGCTTCACATTTCGATTAAACTGCGCTGCAAAAGAGTAAGAATAATGACAGTTAGACAAAGAAAATGACTTGACATATGTACAGAAATAAATGCCTACTTTCTCATCTCAGAGTCGTTATTTGTAATAATTTGAAGCGCAGTTTAACCGAAGCATGATAAACCAACTGCCCACAGCCCAAGCACTATTAGATGAGCTTCAGCCTAGTCCCACCTGCAGTCGTGGGAAGAAGCAGACTTGGCAGAAGGCATTGCAGTACTCCAGCCCCTTGTCCACAAACAGCGCCCCGAGGAAGGCTGGGCCGACCAGGAAGAAAACACGAGGAATCACAAATAAGCAGCCCCGTTTCGGATTTTGGCCGAAAACGGCACACTCAACCATCGCCGTCTGCACAACATTGTGTTTTTTGTCGGACATTCATTCTTGGATGAAGCACGCACAAAAACCTAGATATTGTGGCAAGCTTTTTAGTATGAGTGCTGCATTCTCAATGTTTGCATTTTCTTGGAACTGGCGAGTGGTGCTCAGCAGTCTTCAGTCTTTATATTTTTCTAGGCCGATAATTTGCCTGCCCTTCACGTAAACAGTTTTTCCACTGAATAAAAATACAAGCTCAAATGTGCGATACGCCTTCCAGGAAAGAAGAGAAGGGAGTCTGAATGATACCGCTTACCAAAGAATCGCTTCCGTTTCTGACACACGTCGTGAGATGGCACTCATGACTGAAAAGGCCACAAAATGCGCCAGTTCATTCACACGCCGCGCATATGAGCTCGCCCTTGCGGAGTCCGTACCACTGACCCAGGATAGCTCAAATGTGAATGTCACCAACAGCCGAAACCTCAGCAGAAAAACTGAAGACACTGACCTATGCACCAATTCAGTTTCCCCACTAAATTTTGCGTAAGAATTGACAGCCCATGACCTATCCACCAATTCAGTTTGCCTGCTAAATTTGGTGCGAAAATTAATGTCATGTGACCTATGTACTAATTCAATTTCTCCACTAAAATTAGCGGAAAAATTGACATCACGTGATGTACTCAATAATTCAGTTTCCTCGCTACATTTAACGGAAAAATTGATATTCTGTGACCTTTGCACCAATTCAGTTTCCTTGCTACATTTGGTGGGAAACACATTACAACCTTAAAGCCATTTATTCACCAAGAATGTATACATGCTAAATCAACGCAACATTGATTTAGCGTTATGTCCCATACGTTGCATTAGAGGTCATCCTTGAGGCTGCCCTAAAGGTTGTCCTAGAGGTCGTCTTTGACGCGTCCTAAATGTCGTTCTTAACGTCGTCTTCTAGGACGTCATCTTCTAGGACGTCGTCCTTGACGTTGTCCTAGACGCCGTCCTTGATGTCGTCCATGTCCTCGTAACAAAAGACAGAGGTAAACGTGACAAATGCTATCGCAATTCATAGAAAACCAACAATAGTGGTTTCTGCAGCCATTTTTTTTCCTAATGCATCGCCTAATATTTTAACGAACCTTTCACAAAAAGCACGCATTAAGCTCAAATATTGGGCGAGTTTTTTTTTTTGTTTTTTTACAGCAACATGGGGCTAAACTACTGATGTGCAGAATGTAAGGGCATGAGTGAGACGTGCCCATCCATCCCTGCCCCAGAGAAAGCGGTGTGTCCTCACCTTCGAGGATGTCTGCCCTGTCCTTGGTCTTGAGCTCTCCCTTGGGGTAAGGGTAAATGGTGAACTCCACCATGCCCAAATCATCGCACACCACCGCCTGCGTCCGGTTGTTCACCAGCGAGCTCCGCAGCAGCTGCGACAAACACATGGACCTCCAAGCAACCGCTGTGTTTTTTTTTGGCAATAGACTCGGTAGTACCTCCCGAGTTCTGGGATCTAAAGGCCCATTCAAACATTCGCGTTTGTTTAGGACCGAGCTCTTGAAATTTCTTACGACGAGAGAACACTTTGGCATGCTGGCGCCATCTATGAGGGGACCCTAAAACTGCATTTCACCAGAGAAAAGGTATTGTGGTAGTTGCGAGATCAAATATACATATTATTTATGAGGAATGGTTATTTATAAGATTGTCAAAAGGTTTTCGAGCCAAGAAAGAAAGAATTAACTGTAAGATTCCATAGTTACCCGACAGATGGCACCAGCATGTTCTCAAAAGAGATCACAAGAGGTTTCAAAGCAAACAGTCATAAGCAGTCACAAGTGCATGAACAAGCCTTAAAAGCCACTCAAAGACTGCCAGTGTTTCATAAAGATACAAATTAGATAGGCTAGAAAATTGAAAACATCTCAGAAGTTCCCAGGTCAGCTGCCACAAACCTTTCAAGAGCCGAGTTCAACGAGTCTGAGCATCATTAAAATGTCCGAGTTTGGCAGGTTGAAAATGCAGAGGACTTTTGAGGGTGCACAACAAAGCTTTGAGCACGAAGGTGTCAGACCGAAGAATGTCTTCGGCACCAGAGTTTTTGTACGTTACGGTAGAGCCTTTTAGCAAAAATGTGAGTACAGTGAAGCAAAGTTGAGATACGCTTGTAAGAAAGGTATAGTACAAGCATTTCGGGTACTGCTATAGTGGAGACATTGACAACGATGTTTTATGGAAGAGCTTACTTTATTGTAAAAAAGTTCCACTGTATTACGCAAAACATTACCGCAAAATGCACAAAAAAACAAAATATTTCAACCCTCGAGCGTTTGCAAAAGTTTTCAAATTTGTGAAACCCATCAACTTGGCAAATCAGGAAGTTGGCAGTTTGTGGAACCGATCCAGTTAATTAACTCTAAAAAATATTAGTGAACCAGCTGACTCAGCAAGCTAAAATATTACAATACCCGTACTACCAAACTTTTCTAAGCCCGAAAGTTAATCTCGTAAGCCTCCCATCCGAAAAAGATATTTGGTAGCACCCTTGGTTTGCGATATCGGTAACCCCGCGTAAATCAACGAGAAAAAAAAGTTACCCTCTTATATTTGCCGACACCATTATTAGGTGTCGTGTTCCATGCTCAGTTTCTAGTGACAAATTTTCTCGAGCTCGTTCTTGCTCCCGCCATTGCGTATGAAGACTCTTTTCCTTTCTTTGTACGAAATTATTGCTGCCGTGTTGCTTTCTACGAAGGAAAATGCCGACTTAGAAGAAAGATGCCGTGCCATTCGTTCAACTCAACATACTGACTCTCGCTGTTTTCCCAACAAGACAGCAATTTACCTTGTTCCTCGAACACATGGATCTGCACATCGTAAATAAACATTCCACACTTCAATCAATTCATCCCCAAGCTGAAAATAACTTGAACTTCAGCATTTCTATAGTAGTACTTGTTTGTACAAAGGATCCCACTTTTTTTTTATATGCCTCCTTGCCTTGTAGGCAACGTCCCAATAAAGCGATGTAGAAGCCCGCAGACTCAGAGTAATAACAAACACACAAGAAAATTGCTTGGCTCATAATTGAACATCAATGAAGGGCTCCAATACAGCACTTAGACTGGGAAAACATTTTAAGACGGTTCACAGATTTATGTTTCAGTATAACTGGCTGCGTCGCTTGTAACTGCCTACAACAAGAGAACAAAATGGTGCTACGTATCCGAGAGCCCTGAAACACTTTTAATCTGCATATATTTCCTTATTCTTCACTCATTCACTATGAGCTTGAAATAATTAGGATATTGTTGTAAGCTACCAATTTTCATGGAGGTAGTGCGTAAATTTCATTTCACGAATACCGAAAAACCTTGGGTATAGTTGAAGACCGGAAGCATTCAGGAACTGTTTGCACACTGTCGCCAGGGCTACCGGATAGATGGCGCCAGTGTTATCTCATAGTAAGCAGTTCCAAGCAGTCGTAACACAGTCAGTCATAGTCAAATGCAAAATGTTTCAAAGAAAGGGTGACAACAACCACGCAATATCTGAGAACAATCCACACAATAATGCGTGAGGTTTTTTAAGAGTGTTCAGCAGAGATCTTCTTGTAGCTTTCGAATAAAAGTAAGAACAGCCTTGGACTACCGCGGGATGTGGCGTGAAAAATACCCGAGGGTGAATTCTCTGGTTGACTACACCGTACGGCCACACACTCCAAAACTCACACCATGTCACGTAACATATTTTAACGCACAAAAAAAAAAAAAAATCCTTTTGCCAGATGGTGATTGACGACCAAGTGTTACCGAAAGGTGGCCCTCATGGTGTTCGGGGAAGTACTTGTAGAGGTACTCCGAGGCCACCAGCTGAAGCACCGTGTCTCCCAGGAACTCTAGCCTCTGGTTCGAACCCCTGGACACAAGAACAGTGGAGCAATGCCTTCAGTTACCAAGAGATCTCCCCGGCAAAAAGTATGTCGGCGGTGACCCTCGTGTCCTCAACGGATAAGAAAGACAGCGTGCAGTTCTACTACGTAACAGAAATGTGTGCCGAGGTCCCCATGACAGCCACCATCGTGCCAAGAGCTACCCCTAAATAGTTTCGGGAGATCCATCTTTCGAGGCTCTGTCTTCTCGCATCAGAGGGACAATAGGCGAATGCATTAGCAGACAACAGCTCAATGCATGAATGATCCAGGGATCAACTGACAGATCAAAGCTGGATCCAATACGGATGGGCATTCAATGCCCAAGTACTGCGAGAAGCAAACATTCTTACTTGGTCGCCATCAACTGCTAGTCGATACTCAGCAATGGACACTTTGAAACATTGTTTGCGTTATAAAATGCCATTACACATAACCCAGTCACACGGAACATTCAAAGGTTGAAGAAGCTTCCAGATCAGCACACTTCAGTGTGAGGTTGTCACTTCGTGAGCACCGAGTGCAAAATAGTTTTGCCCCAAAAATCAATGCTCTGCAAGGTCGCTTGCTCACAGTACTGCAAGCGGTTTTTATGTCTGTTAACCACTTTTTGGCCAATAAGAAGCTGGCGGCGAAGGGAAAGGAAATTGGTACTCATGCATTTAGTTAGTGCTCCAGCATCACCGACCTATGGCATGTGCCATACGGGCAAAATGGACAGGCGTAGCGCAACTTATGTAGGGTTCCTGCACGTGGCAACCGTCTCTTGCTCTGGTGCCCGTTTAGAGAGTGAGTGTCCTGCTCACAGGGTGAGGTTGTTGAACCCAATGCTGCGGTGAGTGAAGGCCTTGGCCAGTAGGCGGATGTGGGTGAACTCGATGCCCGTGAGCTCTTCAAACTCGTGCAGCTTCTGCAAGCGCAGTGGCAAAACGGTCGGTACATCCCGGAGGCAGCCTAGAAGTGCGCCACGTAATGTCACAGTAAAAGCAAAGACCGGCCCCTTTGATGGGAACACCCGTGCACAGTCCCGAGCTGTAATGTAACTAATGAAGAATATTGAAAATACAACATTCAGTACCAATATTAGTAACCAAGTTATACATAAAAAATTAAAATTAAATTGCAGCAACAATACCCGAGTTAATGTTTTTGGAGTAACTTGAAACCTGGTTCATTTATTGCCACTTGTCGGAACAAGATTGACAAGCGTGCACAGTGATTTAGTTTCCACATTGGCACTACATATTGTCATTGCCTCAAAATCTATTCTAAGTAGGGTGCCAAACCGAAAAAGAACCGTGAAAATATCTTTTCCACGCTGAAAACTTGACCGTTGGTTGGCCACTGCAGCACACGTCAATGTCGTGGAATATATCTACGGTGATCAGAACATACCTTCATTGATTTTTGCATACAACTCCATCTGTAGTTGGTGACAAGTTAAGAAACAGTTGCTATCTCACATCTGTGAGAAAGTAACTGCACTCGCAACCAAATTACATTCTTTTGCAAATGACAGGAACTGTAGCTCAATGTTCGCAGACCCACCTTGAGGAGCGGCACAGAGTCGATCCACTTGCGGTCACCTTCCGGGACTTGCTCCTGAAAGTTAGGGAACATTTAGAAGAAGAGAGCGCGGAGCGTTCAGCAGCAAAACGTCCGAGTCATCCAACTCGAGGGAGATATAAAGCATTGTAAGTATAGTTCTCTGGGTGTTCTTTTTTCTAGATTAGCAATGGGCCAGAACCAGACATGTAAACATCACTGAAATAAAGTAACTAAAATACCGTTACTCATTACTTCATCAAAAAGCAATGAAAATAAGTTACTCATTCCCTCTCCTAATCAGAAACAATGAAGGTCATTACTTCGTTGTACATACTGAAGTAAAATAGTCCAAACACTAAGATAGGAAGAAGAATGGGACAAGACAGAGCGCTAACTCACAACTAGAGATCTTGCTACAAGCGAGGAAGGAAAAGAAAAAGAAGAAAACACTGCATTCCACAGCTTCGCACGTTCATTCAACACCCTGCCTCCTGATGGAATCCCCTTTGCAGATGAGTAGGCCCCATAGTCAACATCAAGAAATCTATTCCCTTTCTTGACAATCTCACTGATGGTGCACTGACCTCAGTGAACCATCAGTGACGTTGACTGGACGGTCCAGCAGAACCGTCCAGTCAGGGGAAATACAGACAGTTGAGGAGGAAAAGGGATGCAACCCTCCTAATTGCACCTTTTTAGAAAAAAAAAAAAAAAGGTGCATGAAAACGAACACTGTTGCCTCTTTCACTCTCTACGACTGTGAAGTGTTTGTCCCGAGGATAAGATGGCCAAAACAAACTGACTCGTGGTCCCTTTCAAGACGACTTCCAATGAATGCAGACATCTGTGGCGGCAGTACCTGTAGTGGGTGGAGCGGGTAGTTGACCCAGACCCCGAGCAGGTCCGGCTCCGAGAAGAGGGTGGTGGAAAACACCTGGTCGGCCACCCTGATGCCGCTGTCCAGGAACAGGGCCCCTGCACGCCGGATGCAGATGGTCTCTCGGTTGGTTGTCCCCAAACACTCTGCGCTTCAGCGCGACTCCCGCCGCTCTGTCACTCAGATTGTGCAATAGCGTGCGACCACATTTCACATTGCTCAAGGTCACCAGTAATATCTGATGGCGAATTCCACTGGGTGTTTTGGAGCGCGCCAGGATCAGTCGACCAGATTCGGATTGGAGCACAAGATCTGAACGGGGTCGCGCCGCCTACGGATCCCCAGTGGAACATGACCACTGCTCCGGGATCGGCGGATGCCTTCCCGTCATTCAACTGCCCGGGAATCCCCTTTTCGCGGCCGCCGCGATCGTTTCGAAGACGTTTTCGCAATCGCGGCGCTAACACGTGTTCGATGCACGAGTGGCAGGAATGGCTCAGGCGCCTCTAGCAAAGATTGCCGGAATGCCCGTAGCGCGGCAAATACCTTCTCTTCTCCTTCCTGGAAAACGAACCGGCTGTCGAGCCAATGGGTAAGCAAGCGGCCATTACGAATTCTTTTGATGTCGAGACAATCTAGGAGCCCAGCCCGCGACGTGCTTCTTCTTCTTCTGAGGCGAGATGCCCCACGAGAAAAGAAGTCACGTGTGTGCGCCGAGGGCTGGCCCGGCTGGCTTCCGGTTAATTAAAATTAACTTTTGGGCTAGTTGGTTAAACATCTTAATTACAAAAGCGCAAAGGACAAGGACAGGACAAAGAATGAACATGACAAGCGCTTCCGGTTAAATCTGCCAAAATCGTGGGAGCGACTTTTCTCGTGGCGAATTCCACGGGTCGTTTTGGAGCGCGCCGGGATCGACTTTTCCGGAGCGAGCCTATTTCACTGGGCAATTGGGATCGAGACGAACGTGTTCCACTGGTCGTTTTGGATTACCTCCCGCTCCAGATCTCGATCTGGATCCGAGAAAAGTCGCTCCCCCGATTTTGGCGGATTCAACCGGAAGCCAGCCGGGTCAGCCCTCGGCGCACACCATGACTTCCTTTCTCGCGGACATCTCGCCTGATCTCGCCCCAGAAGAAATCGTAATGGCCGCTTGCTTACCTCTTGGCTCGACACGCGGTTCGTTTTCCAGGAAGGAGAAGAGAACAGAAGGTTTTGCCGCGCTACGGGCATTCCGGCAATCTTTGCTAGACTCTCCTGAGCCATTCCTGCCGCTCGTGCGTCGAACACGTGTTAGCGCCGCGATTGCGAAAACGTTGATGCTTGGAACTTGGAACCAGCCGCTACCAGACACCTGATTTGTTTCAAAAATACCCAGGACGTTTTGGGCCAATGAATCGATCACATAGCAGGCGGTAGACAAGTAGACAGCGTTGAAATATATTTATTCCACCGATTGTTATGAAGGCCGATGGTGTCGGTGTCGCAGTTTTGAAGCACTGTCACTTCAGCTCAACACCACGTTACGAAAGACGGTTTGTGGTACTGCCGGTGCTAACGCAATTTCACAGTAGAAATAGGAATTGCATGAAAGAACCGTACAGAAACACTTTATACGGTAGCGTAAATGCCGAACATATATCAGCAATGTCATTTTCCTCGGTTAGGGCTACCTGCTTTGTCAGCGAATGAAGAACATCTCGATAAAATAAAGAGCGGAAAATACTCCCCGTGTCAAGTTTTCTAATCCCAGTCCCTGGTTGATATCGTACCGTGGTAATTCCCTGCCCTTCGAACGCACTAGCACTTTGTAGTCACATTTCCAGCGATTCCGCGCCGCACACGAACGAAGGTAAACAATCAAGATGACGGAGTGTTCCCCGTGTTTTCCTCGCCGTCAGCGCGGTGTGACAGGGTTGTCGGACAACAAATCGGGCAACACTGTTGCCGGGCGGCAGCAACATGTTGCCCGACTGTTGTTGTTGCCGCGATGTGACAGGGTCGCCGGCAACAAGACTTCCTTGTGTTGCCGGATAGAGTTGTCCAACTGTCCCCTCAGTGTGACAGGGCCTTTACCCCTTGGCTCGACAGCCGGTTCGTTTTCCAGGAAGGAGAAGAGAAGGTTTTGGCCGCGCTACGGGCATTCCGGCAATCTTTGCTAGAAGCTCCGGAGCCATTCCTGCCGCTCGTGCATCGAGCACGTGTTAGCGCCGCGATTGCGAAAACGTCTTCGAAACGACCGCGGCGGCCGCGGAAAGGGGATTCCCCGGCAGTTGAATGACATGAAGGCAAATATTGATCCCAGAGCTGTGGTCATGTCCCACGGGGGATCCATCGCCGGCGCGACCCCCGTTCGGATTGTGAGCTCCATTCCGGATCTGGTTAACTGATCCCGGCGCGCTCCAAAACACCCAGTGGAATTCGCCATCGGATCCAGATCGAGATCTGGAGCGGGAGCTAATCCAAAACGACCAGTGAAACATGTCGGTCTCAATCTCGATCGCCCAGTGAAATAGGCCCGCTCCCGAAAAGTCGATCCCGGCGCGCTCCAAAACGACCAGTGGAATTCGCCATGAGAAGTAAAAGATGCCCTTACACGACCGGAGTGGAGCAAGCTGTTGAGCAGATAATATAGCAGGACCGAGGGCAATGGCAAGAAACCCCGAAAAAGCGCCCTCTGTTTCAATCATAATTTTTAATTTTTCTAAAAGATTGGCATATGGCAGAGCGTAACCGAGAAACAAAGATTGTGTAGCAGCTTCTCTATGATTTTAATTGTAATAGCATACAGTGACCCTCAGGCAAGACGTGCTACCCACAGTCCTAGACACCCCCGACCCTTTGTTAGTGTCGCAATAGTGTGAATGCTGTGGCTGACTCGAGCTTTTTAAAGCAACTCGAGTCCTTGCAAAGTTACAAAATAAAAACTGCACAAGCACTACGCATCCTATAACTCTACGGACGTTTCAACCTCCACCGCACCTTCTATTTTGCAAACGTCCAGACTCCGTGACATGTTTAAGCCGAGACTGCAAAACTCAGGTCACTACAATCTGTTTAGGAATACCTTCAATATATGGAGGATCTCCTCCCAAGGCAGAGATCCCGTGTAATCGTCTGCGACGTCGGACGCCATCTTGACTCAATCTCCCCGTTCCTTTGCACGCACCCCCCACCCCACCTCAACTTCGTACACTGCATCGAAGATGAGCAAGAAATTCAAAAGCAGCTGAAATGCATGAGTGGTATTCTACCCCAAAACATGCAAACAAAATCAGAAAACTTGCATATGTTTAGCGGTGCCATATTTCCTGCCAAACATGTAGTAATAAAAATGTCACTCCGGTGAAACAACCTGCAAAGAGTCTCATTACCCTGGAGAGAGGATGCTAGCTACTCATCGAGGCACCCTAGCCTACCCCAGTGGGTAAAAAGCAAGCTACAACTGCCGAAACCAGCTACAACTGTCACTGTTGGCTGCATGCCTTCACTTCCAACCTCGCTGACGCACAAAAGCAGGATGTTTTGGTTCTCCGAGTCCCTCTGAGCGGCCTGGAGCAAGAAGCAACTGACCCATGAGAGCTTCGAAGCAGTTTGCCATGGCGTGCCGCAGCTCCAGGTCGTGGCACAGATCCGACCCGTGGGCGTACAGCATGTACTTCTCCAGCTCCAGTTTCTGCATCCGAGACGGCAGAGTGGTAGGTCAGTTTAGTGTTGTGCGAATATATGAATTTTCAAATAGTAGTTTCGAATCATATGCTATTCGATATTCGCTTCGAGATGACCTGCAATATTCATATTTTTCTAAGTGTTGATTGTGGCAGGTTAGCTCCGTTGAGTGTGCTTCTCAACGAGCCCGTGTGCACTGCGCGAAAGTAATAACCGCGGAGCTCGCGGCCTCCGCGAGTATATCTTTTCCGCAGTGCACAGATGTTCGAAGAGAAGCGCACTCAACGCGGCTAACTTGCCGCGATTATGCGAGATTATATTTTAGGCAGCGAAGTCTTGACAACCTGCATTCATCATTTGTGCCTGTTTTCTTTTTGCCAAACTTGAAATTAAAGAAAGAATGTTTGCCTAAAGCAAAAAGATTTATAAATCGACTCGATTAGGATAGCTGCAAAAAAACTTGTCATTTACATGCCACAGTTCATAAATAGTCATATTAAAATTAATTGAGTTTAGAAGTGGACAAGTAGAAGGTTGGGAACAACCTTCATGTGTCCAGCTGAATCTTCATTTAAGCATAACACACAGTAGTGAAAGGCTTGAGAAAATGATCCGATATTCGATTAAAAATATTCTGACAAAACTTTTATTCGCTTCAAACTCAAAATCCACTATTCGCATATGCCTAGAGTCTCACAATGAAGTCATTCGAAAGCTAACAAACTTTGTAAACACAGGCTAGGGAGTATCTGACTCAGAATCCTGCACCGATGCATGGCTCACTTCTGCTTAATTTAAGCTGTACTCAAGCTAGAAAGAACACTGGTCTTTGCACAGTCACTTTAAAGAATGATGCTTGAGGAACCGCTGGGCATAGCCTGGACAGCATCCGGGGTTTCCAAGAATTCAGTTTGAAAAGCCATGTTGTGGCAAATTGTTCTTCAATGAATTTCAATCTAGAAAAATAGCCTGTATCTCCTCTATTCAAATCGACAACTAAACTGTGCAAGAGCTCTTGATAGAAAGCTGACGAGATATCTGAAGAAGTTTTGCGACGCCTCTCAACCATAAAAATGTTTCCCCTCCTTACAACTAATGTTGTCATGATGACATTGTCACAAACACCCCTCACAAACCCCAGCACTGTTGCACACTACTTTCACTCAGGGAGGATGACACCGAGTGAAACAAAAAGCCAAGAAGTTTCCTCCAACATGCCTATCACAAAGGCATGTCACGCGGGCAGAGAGAAGGAAATGTGTGGCGAAATTGGCAGCTCTTCTACATGAGTGAACTCCTCCGAATGGAGTATCACCTTGGCAAGGACGGCCAGGTGCTGGTTTTGCACGATGGCTGCCCGGTAGGTTGCCAGACCACCTTCCTCCAAGTCCGGGAACATGAAGAACAGGTGGATGCTTGACAGGAACTCCACCACCGCGTCCCCGAGGAACTCCAGCCGCTCGTTGTGGCTGATGCTCGACGCCGTCTCCTCCTGGCGCCCAAAGCGGGACATGATGTTGATCAGCGTGTTGATGCCTGCAAATCCAATCAAATACCTCAGCCCCACTTTGCACTGGCAGAGCTACACTTATAAAAAGAGACTAGTTTACAGAAGAACATCTTTACAAAAAAGTCAGTTTTTATAAAAACATTTTTAGCTAGTTACTATTTTTAGTGGTGGTTACATGAATAGCCCACAGCAGCTATTCATGTAAAAAATTGAGCAGTCCCGTATTAACCCACAGTACAGTCACAGCGATAGCTGCAACAAGTCACAGCTAAGTCGTCGGGCATCGGCATCGCGTTCACGGATTGTGGGGTGCGTGAACAAAAGCATTTGGAACAAAATAGACATCTGACCCTTTTGTTCCAAACTTTTGTAGCGTAAGCTACACTGGCCGAGGTTGAGCAGTTTCGCGTGGCTCCTGGAGAGCCGTGCTGCGCATGCGCGAGGAGCAGTGACGGAACGGGCAGGAGTGGTAGGGCGCCTAGGTCAGTCCACGACGCACGCGCCGCACGCATGCACCCGCTCGAGATCATGGCTTGCGCTGTCCAGTTGTTCTGGGCGGCACCTTGGTTGCTTGATACATAACAACATGGCGCACAGCTGGCCAAACCAACGACGGGCATCTGGCACGCCCCAGTGGAGGATTAATTTGGACCACCTGGGGATCTTTTGACGTGCAACCGAAAGCTCGGTTACACCGCGCCTCCTCCGCAATAAGAAGAGCGGAGAAGCTTAACTCATCGGATCCCACAGTTGTCACATAATGCATATACCGTGTGTGTCATTGAAGCAGCAGTAAGCATGATAATCAAGCTAATCCTAGACAACCAGGAAAGCCAAGAATAACCAGCTGAACCTAAGCTTACGCTACGTATATCCTGGCATAGCCGAGCTAAGCCACTGTTTGGTTTTTTGTTTCTTTTTTTGTTCTGGAGCACGTGAAAGCGAGTCTCCCAGCCCCAGCTTTCGGCACTGACAGTGCTACAATGGCATCTTGTTATCAGTTTTCTTTCCTTTCAGAGAGCATGTGCATTGGGCATTGGGTACTACAAAACCCCTAAGTTAACTTCTTACTCTTCCAGCTCTGCCCGAACGTTCCGAAAATACAAGTATGATTCCATTCAGTTTCAAAACCAAGAGCTCTGTCCCAAACAAACCTGACCGCCTTTGGAAAGAAAAAAAAATCCGAGGACACTTAAGCACTTCTTATTAACCGTGAATGCGAAAGCGTGAATGTCGTTCTTCTGTTCCCTTAGTTCGTCTGCGGCGTAGCGGCGTCGACGGCCACGTTTCACCGACCGACGGCCCAGAGCGCGCTCTTATGAAGTGCCTGCGCCACACTCAGCTGTACACCCACTCCGGAGCTTGCTTGAATGGGCTCTGGCGCCACCGCCGGCCACCGCTCTTTTTTATTGGCGCCAAAATCGCTGCGTGCGCTGCGCCACCATGGAGAAGGCTTCTCTGGTTTCTGAGAAATCATCAGATTTCTGCTACATACGACATTGGGACAGAGGAGGGTGCCGTTTGGCACGGCTTCAATGCTGATGACGTCGGTTTGCTCCATGGGACAATTAATGCTTTCGCATATAAAAAGAGCCTAAAGGGGACAAGAAGGAAGTGGCAGACAAAAAGGGGGGCCCACCTCTCTTCCTGGTGTTGAGGTAGTGGATCCTGCGGTCTCCATACTCGGGCTGCCTGATGCCGCAGTTGGTCAGCGAGTTGCGGGCGTGGTCCGGGTTCGTGCCAAAGTTCTCCCGGTACGAGGGGTGGGTCAGGGCCAGCTGAAAGAGGTCAGCAGTGCCCCATGGTAAGGAGAGAGTCAACAAACAACACCACACCTCACTTACATAATAAGCCTGTAAAGGGGTACCGACTCCACTCAGTACCTTCAGACTCCCCGAAGTCCGGCCCAAGATCAGCCGTCCCTACCAAGGCCGGCCTTATACCATAAAGCGCCCAGGGCAAACTTTGACCCTGATGCACCCCCGTTTTTATACGCCCATATCTACTAGGTACGATTTTTGTTAACCAACAACGCATTCTAAAAACAAACAACGATCGAGCATATAGCATCGTGTCAAGCGCTGTGTTCACAAGTAAATAATAAAAATAAAATTCAATAAGGGCCCCCCCTATTGATCGCGCCCAGGTTGCCCACCCCAAGGGCCAGTACTGGTCCTCACCTGCAGTAGGTATCGGTCCTTGAACTCTGTCCCGATGATGCTCTCGAGGAAGTCCAGAGACTTGTGGAACCTCAGGTGGCACACAAGAACCGGAAGTAGCAGAGCATGCTGCAGGCACCAGACAGACTGCTATTTACCATGCTTAAGCATGAACACTACCGCTGAGAGCTAGCAGCACCCACACACTCTTTTCATAAACTGCCTGCTAGTACCTATACGTACTGGCATGTATGGCTTGTCTACTATACCGTCTTGAAACTCTTGCCCAAAGAAACACAAGGTTTATGTAAAGAACGCCACCACAAAGTAGAGCATTCACGGTGTAACAACCACCTGAAAAGGAAGGCAAGTGGGACTGTGGGAACTCAAGCCAGAAGTCAAAAGCTTCGCTAACAATGGCACTTTTTCGCGCTTTCTGAAGCTCCCAAGAAGCCGCACTGTAGCTTGGAGGTCGTCATGTGCAACGTCCGTAATATAGCAACTTCAAAGCATGCCACTGTTTCCTTCGTGAATTTGGGGATTAGCAAAGCTAGGCTTCGCGAATCCCCAAATTCACTAGGTTGCCGTCAAAGCTAGGCTGCCGCCTAGCTTCGACGGCAGCTGCGTCGCGTTAAAAACTACCGCAGAATCTGCACTTGGGTTTCATGCTAAGCACAATGGCCCTTCAAGCTGTTTACAGCAATGCTCTGAAGACAGACACGAGTGGGATCCTTCACCTACACCTCTTGCCTTAGGCCCCCCAGCAGAAAACGCAGACATAAAAGAGAAGAAAGGGAACGGCGCACCTGAACAATGTCGCACATGATTCCCGTTCTGAAGAAGTTCTCGCTGCTCACCACCACCGTCACATCTCTCTTCAGGTTGCTGAAAGCCAGGAAAGAAATGAAAGGATTGGTTATAGAGTATAATATAATACAAATTGGTTATAGAGTTGATTGGTTATAGAGTATAATATAATACAAATTAAAGATTAAGGCACCTTTCGTTTAGTGACAACATATATAAGACAAATATATGTAATGAATCCCAAAACACTGCAGCCAGTGGATCCATGAGAAAAAACAGTGACGTCATCATCATACCCATTATTTTTCTTGCTCCCATTTAATTTTTTCCACCCTCCCCACCTTTATCATTTTTGCACGACCGGCCAGCTACAGGGTCACGCAATTTAATACTATTTGTCAATTCGTAAAAGGCCGCAGTACTTTGCAAGGGAAACAAGCAACAACACCTTGGTTCAGTTTTTTCGACGTAGTTACAGAACGGATGTACTTACAGCTATAATTCTAAAATAATTGAATTCCGTGTTAAATTCTGCAGATATTCCACCAGACACATTTGTAGTTCAAAATTCACAGGTTTTTACAAACGCGTTTTAACGTAAACATGTTAAAACAGCCGATTCCGACCGATTTCACAATTTAAAATGAAATATAATACATTTTTTATGAAAAATATGCTCGGAGGGATAGTTGGGCGAAGAATCAATCTTTTTATAGCAAAAAAGTTTGAAAAAATGGGAGTAACGGTTATTAAGTGAGAATTTTTGTAAAATGACAGAAAATCGCGTGTATTCTCTATGGGGCTTAGAAAAGCGCTCCCTCTTAAACACTTTCGTTTGCTTACGACCGACTTCTTGACCTCCTACGACGAGAAAACACACTGGCTCGCTGGCATCACCTATGAGGTAACCCCAAAAGTGTGTTACACTAGAGTGAAGGCTTTGCAGTATTTGTGAGATAAAATATACACACTACCTGAGAGAAATGGTCGTTTATAACATAGTCAAAAGCTTAATGAGACAGTAAAGAAAGAATGATGCGCGAAAAAAAGTAGGAAATATAGGGAAATGCCGAATGTTCCACGCAATAGATGGCACCAGCGTGTCCTCTCGTCGTAAGAGATCAGAAGAAGGTTTAATGCACTCAATCGTGAGCAGTCGCGAGTCTGTGAACCAGGCTCTATTTTTTTGCTTTGAAACTCCCTGAGGAGTGGCGAAAGCCGCCATTGCTCGTACTGCACGAGCCCACACTGCCCCGCCCCGAGCAGGCTTCGGCTAGGGAGCCCATATTTCAGAAAGTTTCCAACTGCTTGATCAAGATCACGTGGTAAATGGGCCGCATTTGCAATATGAGCTGCAAGGTGACAAAAGCATTGATTGCCTGCAAATGTCTTTCTGCCCGTTTTCCCCCTCGTCACCCGACGACGCGGCGCATGCGCACTTGCGACCGACAATTGGAAACGCTTCCCATGGTTTGAGTTGGACCCTCTCTTCGATCTAGGCTCTCTAATTTCCATGTGTCCTGGCGTGAGGCCCCTAACCTCTTGAGCCGCATCTCTTGCAGCTTGGCCTCCTTCTGGAGCAGCTTGTGGCGGTCCGTGTACAGCACCTTGGGCTTGTTGGCCAGCAGGTGCCGGAACTTGACGTAGTCCCGCCAGGCCTTCTGGTACCTGGGGGCGGGAAGGCGCGTGCCGCTCGCATTAACCTCTGGTCTGGACCGAGAGGGCAGTACAACGAGATACTGTATTCTCTGGATCATAGTCCGAGCGCATACTGACGGGACCTTTCATAGTTCTTTTGTAACGTGCTTTCCACACCATCAAGATTGCCGGTCTTAACAGCCTATTAATGTGAGCTCCTTACGAGCATGCACTCTAAACAGCGCCCTCAAATATGGCATCCAATTAATTAAGATATGTCATTATGACGTGCAACAAAATGGTGAGTTGGGCCAGCTGGTTCATAATGGAAAAAGACAAGCGCCGAAAGACCAGGTCAAGGTAAGAAGACGACGACACAAGGTGCACTCGCAACTGAAGATTTATTTATGGAAAAACAGTCCTATATACACTTTTTAAAAAACACCCATGTCACTTTCCACTTGCCCACTCTTTATCCAAGAATAGACACTCTTTTTCTGACAGAGTCACTGAAGGCTCGCTTATGCACTTATCTGCACCCTTCCTTATTGCATACGCCTCATGAATTTCCCTTGTAATCTTTTTGCTGTATCGCCCAGGATTGCCACGTCATTGAAAACTGGTGTGCACTCACATCGATTGCAATGCACAGCCAGGTGCCCCGAAGGTGACTGTTTTAAGGAAGCAGCATGCTCTCTTGCGCGATCATTTACACAACGCCCAGTTTGGCCTACGTAAGACCTACCGCAAGAAAGCGGAATGTCATACACAACACCAGTGTGACATTCTACAAACTTATTCTGGTGTTTTTTCTTACACTCGCCACTCTTCCCTTCGGGATTATTGATTTTCCTGCATAACGCAGAAAGCTTTTTAGGGGCTGAAAAAACGACAGGAACGTCGTAACGTTCCGTCACCTTTTTTAAGTTATGAGACACTGCGTGAATGTAAGGCATTACAGCGGTTCTTACTTTTTGGCGTTCAGGAACGTTTCTTTTGGCACCCCTAAATTTCTTTTTGAGGCCCTCTGCAGCTTCAACAATGGATCTCAGCGGAAAACCCGCACTTGCGAGCCGATCTACCTGTAGAAGGAAACTCCTTCCCATTTCCTCAGGACAGGATTTGTTCAGAGCGGCTCCGAGGCACGAAGAAGCAATACCTCTTTTCACTAACTTGGAGTGGGAAGAATTAAAAGGGAGTACAGCTTTCTTGGAGCGAGGTTCGTAAGTCCAGCACACATGGTCATCTAAGAATTTTAGTTTTAAATCCAAAAATTGTAACGAGCCCTCCGTGGTCCTCTCATGAGTGAATTTTAACCCATGAGAGCAGGACGTGAAAACTCACTGATAACAAGGTGGCTGACGTAATCAGCACGTTCACGTCCTGCTCTCTTCTTAGATGACCATGTGTGGTGGGCTTACGAACCTCGCTCCAAGAAAGCTGTACTCCCTTTTAATTCTTCCCACTCCAAGTTAGTGAAAAGAGGTATTGCTTCTTCGTGCCTCGGAGCCGCTCTGAACAAATCCTGTCCTGAGGAAATGGGAAGGAGTTTCCTTCTACAGGCAGATCGGCTCGCAAGTGCGGGTTTTCCGCTGAGATCCATTGTTGAAGCTGCAGAGGGCCTCAAAAAGAAATTTAGGGGTGCGGAAAGAAACGTTCCTGAACGCCAAAAAGTAAGAACCGCTGTAATGCCTTACATTCACGCAGTGTCTCATAACTTAAAAAAGGTGACGGAACGTTACGACGTTCCTGTCGTTTTTTCAGCCCCAAAAAAGCTTTCTGCGTTATGCAGGAAAATCAATGATCCTGAAGGGAAGAGTGACGAGTGTAAGAAAAAACACCAGAATAAGTTTGTAGAATGTCACACTGGTGTTGTGTATGACATTCCGCTTTCTTGCGGTAGGTCTTACGTAGGCCAAACTGGGCGTTGTGTAAATGATCGCGCAAGAGAGCATGCTGCTTCCTTAAAACAGTCACCTTCGGGTCACCTGGCTGTGCATTGCAACCGATGTGAGTGCACACCAGTTTTCAATGACGTGGCAATCCTGGGGCGATACAGCAAAAAGATTACAAGGGAAATTCATGAGGCGTATGCAATAAGGAAGGGTGCAGATAAGTGCATAAGCGAGCCTTCAGTGACTCTGTCAGAAAAAGAGTGTCTATTCTTGGATAAAGAGTGGGCAAGTGGAAAGTGATGTGGGTGTTTTTTAAAAAGTGTATATAGGACTGTTTTTCCATAAATAAATCTTCAGTTGCGAGTGCACCTTGTGTTGTCGTCTTCTTACCTTGTCCTGGTCTTTCGGCGCTTGTCTTTTTCCATTTTTTCCGTCATTATGACGAAATGCGATGAATTTAGTGAATGACAGATATTATGTTAATTATGGTAGCTATAATTTACGAGCTTTTTCCGCTAATAAAGCGGGTGCTTTTTAAGGTGTGCTGCGTATGAAAATATTTTACATTAGAAATATGCACCGGGAAAGGACTACACACCATCATCTAAAGAGAAGCTTTTTTCTTTCAGGCGAAATTTGTTTTTTCAAACAATGCACTGGATGTGAACCGAAAAATATGGTAGACACTTCTACAAACACACAGCCACAGTTTCGTATAGGCTCCCACCCGAGTGGCGGCTAGCACGTGTCCAAAAGCCACTCTCTCACCAAGCAGGCAGGCAAATGAGCAGACAAGCGGGTGTGCAACTCACATGGGGTTGCCGGCGTAACTGAGCTGGGGCGGCCGTATCCCAAAGTGGACGATCTCAGGGAAGACTCCGCCCTGCGTCCCGCACAGCTCTCGGTCTAACTGGTCTACCCGCAGGGCACAGGGCTTCATGCCGGGATTCACCACTATCATGCCCTTCACCTGCACGCCACAGAAACCCACGTTCGGGGTCGATCCACGGCACAATCCCTCGACATTAAACGCTAGAGTTCACGTACCAAATCTAGAGAAAAAGGTTTACCATCTTTTCGTGCATTTCGGTCCGAGTTAGTCTTGAGATGGTTTGAGTTGAACCCTCTCTTTGATCTAGGCTCTCTAGAGAACACACTAGCATGCTGGCACCATCTATGAGGTGACCTCAAAACGGCATTTCACTAGAGCGAAGGTTTTGCAATAGTTGCGAGACCAAATCTATGTATTATCTATGAGATACGGTCGTTTATTATTCTCAAACTCTTCGATCTTGAGGAACCCCTATCCGCCTTGAACGGCAGCAAAGGAACCCCTCCCGATTTCGGCATTGGTGCAGAAAAGTGGTACACGAGACTATGGACCCTGTAAACAATAATGTTCATACTAGGAAGTGTTTGACTTATAGTTGGGTATCAGTGAGTGGCTCAGATTTGCTAAAATAGTACTCAAACTGGAAGAACGCTTTATTTAGGGGCAGAAACGGTCGAGAAAATCTGAGAGCTCAGGGGACCCTCGAGGGTGCTCCAGAAACTTGTCTGAGAATCCATGGTTTATAACAAAATAAAAAGTTAAAAAAAAAGGTGATTGCAAGCGTTTAATAGATGGGGCCAGTTTGTTCTCTCGTGGCAAGAGTAGAGGTTTTAAGGCACATGGTCGCAAGCAGTCGTAAGTGTGTGAACCAACCTAATTTGTTCCGGCAACACAGAGTAGGGTGCCCAAACAGACCTGGTCAGCAAAGCCCTGCCACTTGCTCTGGGACATCTTGCAGAGGCGGGGCAGCTCGGGGGCAGCCACCAGAGGCACGCTGCTCGTCAGAAGGTACTGCAGCACCACGTTCAGAGACAGCAGCTCCTTGCCGTTGTCTGCCGCGAGAGACCAGAGGGCACTCATCATTACGCGGCCGGCTACGACAGTCGTTCGGTTTCGACAAGCTCTCCTGTAGGCACTGGCAATAAATCCGACCAGAACAGGAAAAACCAAGAACTGAGGGCATTTGTTTCTGTTTTAGTCTAATAAGATTATTAATGCGAAAGCATGAACTGTCTCATGGAGTGAGCTGACGTCATCAGTCTGAAGAGCGAAAACGGCAGATAGTTTACTTCGGTTCCATTGGCTGGCGCGCCTCGATGGGGCTCCCATTGGCCGGCGCGCGTCGATGGGGCTCCCATTGGCCGGCGCGCGTCGATGGGGCTCCCATTGGCCGCTGCGCTCGTCAGTTTCCACGACCGCTCACCTCTTGGCACTGCCTGTCCATCAGCACGAAGCGTCCAAGCTCACCAGGGGAGCACACGCGCCGACCGGCGACGAAAAGTGCGCAGCAGACGAAAAAGGGAGAGGACGAGCAGCTTGCATGCTTTTGCATTCACAACTCGTAAGGAATGCTTAGGTGTACCTCGATCTTTTTTCCTAGCACCCTCTTATTCGTGGTCATCTGTCTCTTGAAGCGTTTTATCAATGGCAAAAGATTGCTTCACCCAAAGTTTTGCGAATGGGACGAGGATGCATGTACAGGCTGGTTGACGCAGCACCATTTGGTTATGTTGCATTATGTTGCAGAAGCTTACGTGTGAAGGAGCCTTATAGTGACTATGACAAGGTTGAGATTATAAATGATGCAGTAGCAAAGCTTTGAGTCAGAACAAATTTGACTGCCACTTTTCGAAAGTTCAATCGCCACTTTACAGCTCCACAATACAGACTTAGTAGTATCCCACTTCTTCCAATAAGCAGCTAGCTTATTTATTCACTCGGTGCAAACAGCTCTACTGTTCAGAGAAGTGCCACACCTGTAGAAAGCAGGATCCGAGCACAGATGCAGGTGCTGGCACTCAATGGGTTGTGCAAACTCTGGTAATATGATTTTTGAACGCATCTGTGCAGCTCGTGGCGACCCGAAGTCTGCCCAAAATGGAAGTGCAAAACACTTCCCCCGCATGGTCAATTCAAGTGTGTAGTGTTTTCAAACAATTAGCATTTGCGCTTATTGACAAGGAATTTGCCAGCACACCTCGAACTAACCATCACTGCGCCATGCGAGCAAAGAACAGCGGACCTACATGGGGCACCTGCTGACCTGCAGTGTATTATCTAGAAATCCGAGATTCAGATAAAAGCACCAAGGGACGCAAGCAACACAGGTGCCACCACCCGTGCAGCCCATTAGTCCCAGAGACAGCACCCACACCAATCATGTCCTTCGGCCCCATCTTCGGGACGTGGGAAGACACACGCGGAGCTACAGCAGCAACATTTGTAGATTGACGAGTTTGTATGTTTTACAAGGACAATAAAACAACGCAAAAAGACACAGGGATAAGTAGAAGAAATATACAGGCACAAAGCTGGCCAGCGACTGTTGATTTCTTTTACTCTGTCTAAAGTGTTGTTGCATTCCTTTTACCTGTCTCCGTGTCTTTCCTGCATCGTTTTATTTTTCTCGTCAAACGTGGAAGGAAAACGCTCCCAAATGTCAGCGACGATCGAGGCGTGCAGCGCACCGACCTTCGAGCTTGCGTGCGAAGCGGGGCATGAAGTGGAAGCGGGGGCAGCCCTCCGGGTCCCCGTGGGCCCTCCAGTCCAGGTCGAGCATCTCAAGCACCTCCGTGAACAGGTAGCGGGAGAGCAGCTCCAGCCCGCACACTGTGAAGTTCTCGGGGAACTTCTCCTCCAGGTAGAGCACCGCATACTCGATGTTGAAGCGGATCACCCGGCAGGTGGGCAGCTTGGGCAGCGCCCAGTGAGACAGCATCGAGAAGCCCTCAAAGACAAACTCGTGCCCGTCGTGCCGGATGGTCGTCGGGCACTTCATCTGCGTGGGAGGACAGACGGATGCTCGTCACTCCGAATCGGGAAAGCCGTTTGCTTCGCTTGCCTTCATGCTCTCGAGTCGGAGTCTCCCACCACAAGAAACACGTCTCGCTGAGGCTTCCACGGATTCGCGGCTGTGTTTCCGTTGCTAAACTGAAGCGCCCCTTTAATCTGCACCCCTTTGCGAGCAGAAAAGCAGGCGACGTGTCCCAAAAACTGCAGCTGCTCTGACCAACCCGGCATCGAGGGGTAATTTGAAGGTGAAGAGGGAGTAGGGCAGACAGTTTTCTGCGGGAGAATGCAGTGCTTCACAGATACTTTTATATTCCTAGCAGCCGTTTTCTCCGAGTAATCTTTAGTCTTTAAGGGGGGACAGTGGCTAGACATTTAACTTCTGAACTACTCAAGCTAGAGGTTTAGCTTCTGAACTGCCCATGTGATCAGATTGAAATTTGTGGAGGAGATTTAACATCAAATGTATGTATATTGTGGAAACTTTCAGCTCTCTAATAAAATATTACATACCTGCATAAGATGATGTGTCATTCTTTGTTAAGAAATCTAAGATACGCAACTATGAGCGGTTAAATATTAGGTGGGGGATGTCGGACTTCGTGCTATCTAGTTTTTAGAACTCAAATGTAAATGTCAGAAAGAGTTATTACCTCAAAATATGAGATGCATATCGGTCCTATGTAAATTTTTGAAAACATAGTATTTTCTAAATGAGGACATCAACTTAGAACAAAATAAAGTAGATAGCCCGATTGCTTAGTAAATTTCAGTTCAGAAACATCTTGATTGTGATATCAGAATACTTTTACCTTTGACCAAAAGATTCCTCCGTATGAAATTTGCAGGAAAAAGTGGAACTGAGAAAACTGCGTTCAAACATTAAACTCCTTTACTTTGTTACTGCCTCACAATGTGTCAAAAATATTTTATATCAACGTAACTATTTGGCGTATGGTTATCAACCATAGTGTAAGGGTGTACAATTAGCTTTTAAAACTAAAAACCTCAAATGTGAAAAATGAATTTTTTCAAAAAGTTTGAAATTCAGGCCCATATCCACTCTTAAGGTGCTAATTTGGTCTTTAGAAAGCTATATTCTTTAAGTAAGTTTTATAGTCACTGACGGAATGAAAACAGGTGGGAGCGTCTTTCAAACACCTGGCTTCCAGCACGCACTCTGTGCCTTCCGCCGAGCTTTGGCCGAGAGTGCAGGCTCAAAGTATGTGAGACGCCGAAGCCTTCTCGAAGGTGGGCAGCTCGTGCTGGGAGAACTCAAGTTGCCTCCTGCTATTCCCACCTTGTTAGTGACGTCTCTATGCGGTGGCACAGTGTGAACGTCTAGGAACGCAATATATTCCGACGACCTTGGCATTATTTAATGCACTCGACACGTCGGTCTGGCAGAGAAAAGAAGGCATCGAGACCCCTGCACCGAAACACCTGCTGCGACTCCCCTTTGGGGTAGTTAGCTCAAAAGCCAGTCGTGTGGCAACTACATCACCAGAAACTGCGAGATGGCAATGGCCTTTATGTTGCACTCTTTCCAAGTGTTGTTAAGGGTACGGCAATTCCCCGGTTGCCCCATGACAATTCTTTTCGACTGATATGGACAGAGTCAAACAAAATCGAACGAATGTTTTGAAAAGGATTTGGCCCCGAGTGACACTGTCCGCTTCCACGCGTGCAATGACTGAGTGGCGGCCACCCACCATAAACATTACGAAGATTGAAAAGCACGAAAGACAAGGACAAGAGGGAGACTACACAGGACAAGTGCTGCGTCAGTTGCGAGTAAGTGTCAGCTGCGAGTAAGCGCTTGTCCTGTGTAGTCTCCCTCTTGTCCTTGTCTTTCGCACTTTTAAATTTTCGTAATGTTTAACCAACTAGGCCAACAAATCCCTTTGCCCACCATAAAGTTGGTCCTGGGCGTGACGGCGATGCGGTAGTGGTGCAGGCGCCCCACGTTGTTGGTGTTGGGGTCGCAGGGGGCCAGGGGTCCCTCGCCTGGGTAGATGCCGTGCCGGATGCCCGACCGCTGGGCACGGGCGCTGCACCGGCACAGCGGGCCGTCGTTCATCTGCAATTGGGACGACTGGCTCGTCAGCGGGAGGCGCAATGACCAGCGTGCAAAATGCAACTGTGGTTGAGAGAGGGGAGAAACGATGTCTCATTTGTCAACATACTCCACCAATTGAAATGTTATCATTATCTGTGAAAGGGAACATTTCTTAAAGGGGTCATGACAGAAATTTCAACAAGTTAGATTATTCCTGATTCAAAATATGTTACTTGAGACATATAAGCACCAAATTTCACGATCTTAGAGGTTTAGTTGATCCATAAAATAAATTTCTTAATTAATGTTCAGAATCTGGATATGGTGACCACTAGGCATGTGCGAATTGTGGATGTTGAGTTCGAAGCGAATTTGAAATGAATAGAGAGTTTGGCCAAATATTTTGAAATAGGATAGTGAATAGAAGTCTTAACTGTTTCTCCAAGTCTTTCGCTACTGCACAATGCTTGAACGAAAACCCAGCTGAACCTGTGAAGGTTATTTAGAAGCTTTCACTTGTGCATATGCAATCTAACTAGTATATCTATTGATTGTGGTCCCAGAAAGTTCCATTCCTACATTGGGATGGCTAGTAAACGATGCATTTGACATAAAATAAAACCCATATCTAATCGAGGAGATTTATAAATCTTTTTGCAATATGCAGATAATTTTTCTTCAATCTCAAATTAAAAAAATAGTTGGCAGCGACCTAATTTCTAAAGTTCTATAATGCATAAAATGCAGTATTCAGGGTGTGATTGTTTAAAATTATTTAAATGACATTAAGCTGTCGTTTTGAGGAGAGAACCCTTTTTTTAATCAATTTGCCCGGTACATTGAGAGGAAAACTGGGTGCACATAGGTCCCATGGCATCAATTTCCTCGCTGAACTTAGTGATGAAACTAAAGTGGTGTATAGACCATCTGACATTAACTTTCCTGCTAGATTTAGTGGGGAAATTGTATTGATCTTTCACGTGTTGTAAAGTCACGTGACATCAATTTCCCGCTAAATTTAGAGAGGGTAATTAAATTTATGGATAGGTCACATGATATTTGGCCTGTACGTCACGTCGGATTACGTGACATCAATTTTCCCCCTGACCTTGGCGGGAAAACTTGTTTGGCGTATAGATCACACCACGTCATGTCATGTGACATCAACAGATGTCATATGACCTGTAAACACCAATTTAGTGTTTCCACATGTACAAACGGACATAATTTTGGGATTGAGTTGGTTCTGATCAAAAACCTTTCATGCTTTAAAAAACAATAATAAAAGAAACTTTCAGCCTTTCCACTTTGGTGAAGAAGGAAGAGCAGCGGAGCTGTTGGTGCGTACGTCGCCGCTCCTTCCGCACTTGTTTCCCCGAAGAAAAAGCATGCGGCCGACCCATCCTAAGTCCAAATCGAAACTGATAAGAGCATAGGAAGCACCGCGCAAAACAGACAAGGACGAAGAAGAAACACACATGACGAGCGCTGCGCTTGTCACGTGTGTTTCTTCTTCGTCCTCGTCTGTTTTGCACGCTGTTTTTTACGATGAATTCCCACCAACTCGCCCGACTATCCATTCTTCAATGATAGCTGGAAAGGATGCCGCCATCTATGAGCGACGGCGGAAACCAGACTGGTTGTCTAGTTGTTGCCGTCGCTTATGGATGGCGGTAGCTGTCCAGAGGTTTGTGTAGGTTTGTGTCGCCATTTCTTCGGTACCGGACACGATCCTGAGGAACGTAGCCCTTAACAGCTCCGCTGTAATTATCAATGCAGATTCTCAAGGCATCTCTGCCTAGCATATCCAGGGGTGTGCATGCACTGTCCTCCTTTGAAAGTGTGCTCTTCTCCTAAGCAAGTGACTGCAATATTTGTTCTTTTCCAAATGCTGATCGCTGCAGGTTAGCCCCGTTGAGCATTTTTCTTACCGAGCGCCGGTGCACTGTGGGGAAACAAGACCTGCAGAACTCATTTCTGCGGGTCTTGCTTCTGCCCAGTGCGCTGGTGCTCGGCCGGAAGCGTACTGCGCTCAACACTCAAGAAGGTACAAACTTTTGACATCAATTGAGCAGTTAGATGCTCTCTTATTCTAGGTTTGTAACTCATGCTCTCCGCGCCACATTTTGGCGCCACTCTCGCTTCTTTGCTCATGGAAAACTGAACTATTGGCCAGCAACCGCAGCCCACCTTGGTGTCATAGGATATCTTAAAAGCGAACGAAATGCAAGTTCGTCACTTTTCTCGACTAAGTTTGTACATTTTTGAACAAGCCTAACTGTATATGTAACTTAATAACATTTCAGTTGAAGTAATTGTTAGCTAAGTACTCCTTAGGAAAAATTCTTACAGCTCCGATTCCTCGCAACGCAAGCAGCGCACGAGATGGGACCCACATCGGCCCGGGGCGGGTAACCCCTAGGCGCAGCACGGGCCGCCCACTTTTCGTAGCTTAGGACGCTGTGCTGCAACAACGGGGCTGTACCTACACTAGACGACCCTCCAAAGCGCTGCCATTCGTGCACACAAAGGTCGCATCTACGCTCCGGGGCACGAGTAGATACCTCTCCGGGGTCGTTGAACCAGAGCTCGGGGTGCAGCCTGTACGGGTGCTTCTTCTTCACCTCCAGCTCCTCCATGGCGTTGTCCTCGTCGGACTCCGACTCATTGCTGGACGAGTCGCTGCTCCCGGGATTGGCAACTGCGGGGAAATGGGAAGCAATGCTCCATCTCACTAGTTGAGTGCAGTGCTGCCAAAGCCACAGGAAAGTCATACAAATTTTAAGTGATGCAATAATCTGAGTGAGAAGGGGGATACACAAAAAGAGGGGGAAGTTCCTCATTTCCCTCTATCCTAACTGCCTGGGTTACACTCTCGCCTCTCTACCTTTGGTAGCAACTAGTGAAAGAGAGTATAGATCCCGATACAAAGGGTTCAGCTGCCACAATCCAATTCAATCCAAAGATCCTGCAGTGGCCTGAGACGGCTTGTCCAACGTTCTTAGATCTGTCAGTTGACAGCCCCATGAAAGAGCAGCATTCGAAATCGGTTCTTCTTTTGCCTGCAAGTGAGCAGGATCGGTCGGATAGCGTCCCTAGCACCACCGACATCAATGCCTCCATGGGCAACGAAGAAGGATTCGAACGAGGCTCTTTTCGCACCGACTTTTTTTCAAACAATATGTTTATCATATAAAAACATGATAGAATCCCTATCCACTGCAAGTAATGCGCTTTCAATGTTCCACCGGTTCCGCCACTTCTGTCCATGGGGCGGGCCGATAGTGTAGCGAGTACCACCGAGTGAATGTGCCACAAAACGGCGCCACACATTCTACAAAGTTTGTCGACTGACATTGATCTAGTAATGTTGGGCTTGTCTGGCCCCGGTTGGCCATAGTTCCGGCCTCGATGTCGGGTCAGGTTTTTTTTTTCCAACGTTCGATGGGGACCAACACCGAGACTCGCATTTTAGCGGGGAAATGCAATCACTAAGCCTTGAGGAGAAAAGTTTTGCAGTACCAAGTTTTGGCGTTTGCTTCAAAGCTCACCAGTTGTGTAGGGAGAGTGGGGGAGATTAATAATTTTGGGGAGAAGAGAGAGAGCGGGAAATGGAACGGGCGTCTATTGCATTCGCCTGCGCCACTGCACCACCGCCCAAATTGTGGCAAACCGCATCATACACCGGCTACGATACCACCACCGAGGACAAAAACCGCCAATTCTAGCGAACATGCCAGTTGGAGACGCGTTCCATACATCCGCTAAAAAACTGCCTTTTAGCAGATGCTACATCTTGTCGCCATCTTCGAAAAGAACCACCTAAGCTTTCCCTCCTCCCAATTTCCCTTGAGGTGCGGCAATGACCAGCCGGGGACAAAAGAGAGTCAGAAGGGGCCCTCACTGGGGTGTGACTTGGGGTTGCAGAGCTTGCTCCTGCGCGGGGGCGGCTGGTAGGGCTCTTGTTTGCTTCTGGCCACAGCTGCCCTCTCCACCAGCTCCAGGCGGAACCGCTCCTGGAGGGCGTGCAGCTTCGCTGTGCCCGTCACCAGCCCCGGCACCTGCGGGTCCCACCGCCCTCTCGTGAACCCCATCCACCCCGCCCCATGCGACTCGGAAACTCGAGCGTCCCTTGAGCATGGTCCGATTAAAACGTTTACGGCGGCGGCGTTTTTTCCTTTCTATTTCTGTCGCACAACGTCGCAGCCGCCACGTCTTCCTGTCGCTTACGACCGAGTCGTTGCGATCTTGTATGAAGGAGAACACACTGACATGCTGCTGCCATCTATAAGGTGGCTCTGGAACTGCGTTTCACTAGAGCGAAGGTTTGCGGTACATTTGCAAAATCAAATGCACATACTATCCGTAAAAAATGGTCGTTTATAACATTGCCAAAAGTTTTTCGAGCCAACAAAGAAAGAATGATGCGTGAAAAAAAAAGGAATTACACGGAAATGCCTAGTGTTTCACGGCTACCTGATAGATGGCCCCAGTGTTCTCTCGTCGGCTTGCCACATAGAATTGCGACAGGGGACTAAAGGCGTTGCCGGCACCTGTGATGTAATAGTATGTTGCCACTTCGCAATCACCCTCCAAGTATGGGCGTCCTCCTTGCAAAGTTGCGTAGCTGCCCGCAAGTGGGCAACCCGTTAAGGCCCGTCCAAACAGGATACTACAAAAATCGTGAGGCGACGCGACTTCGTCAAAAATCGTGAAAATTAAAGCGTCCGGCCGTTCAATGTCTGCTTGGACACCGGCCAAGCGAACATCATGATTCTCCTTCTCGCTTCCTCCACTTTTCGGTGACCTCGGTTCTCGTTCTCGTCAGACTTGATGTCATACGCCACCTGCCAATGCAGTCCATCCGTTCTGACGGGCCCTCGAATCCTTGGCCGTGTAACAAAATTTGCCCTATGTTACTACGGGCTAAGGGTTTTGTAACTTTGCACTGGAAAACCTGCCCGCATCCAGCGTCGCTCTATCTGTGTTATCACGCAACACAACCCGCTGGAGTTGCTTGGATCTATTTGGGTAAGACTTCGAACACAGCCCTTCCCTTTCCCGCTTTTGGGACCTGCAGAGCAGCGAAGGCCTTGAGCGATTGACCAACAACCAACAGAGCTTGTTTGTGGCTGTCCGGACCCACGTGTTCAGCATGTTCAAGGCCCCCGGGAAAGGCACGGGCAACTGACGCAGAAATCTTTTCCCCTTGGCAAAAAAATATGAATGGAACTGGAGCGCCGCACGATTTATGTCAAAGTCGTACCACCTCACGATTTTTGTAGTGTCCTGTTTGGACAGGCCCTTAAACCACCTTGCGCGAGGATCATACTAAGATTAAATGCTTCTTTAAATTAAGTTTAATTAAAATGTTACTACAATGCTCCAAAAGCAAAATTACAAACACTTTGCGCCAAAAGTAGTTAATTATATACGAGTATAATTACTACCGCACAAAAGTAAAGCGCACCACTAACGTAGTGTCATACTAATTGGACAGAAATCTTCGCCCATATTTGTAACGTCGAAAGTGCCTTGAGGAAGTGTTCTGGGACCCTTGTTATTTCTCGTATTTATTAATGACATTCGCGAAAATGTACATTCTGATATTAAACTATTTGCAAATGATTTCATTTTATATATATTTGTCGAAAATGACGGCAATGTTTGTACACTACAAAGGGATCTCGAAATGTTAGAACGCCGGTGCGATCGTTGGGAAATGAGGTCGAATATAAAGAGCAAATACGCGCGTTTTACTCAATCTACAGTTTGCTCAACTAGTATATATGAGCTAGAAAATCGTGACTTTGAACAATTATCTGGGGTGCATTGTTCCGGCAGTTTAAAATAAAACGACCACATAGATAATACCGTGGCTAAGGCGAGCAAAATGTCACAATTTATTCGAAGGAATTTTAAGAATACAGCATGCAGTGTAAAACGAAAGCTGTACTTTTTTTTAATCGGATCGATTTTAGAGTAGGCCAGTGTTATTTGGGATTTGCCTCAAAGTTACCTCGCGAATAAGCTAGAGCAAATTCAGAATCGGGCATGAAGATTTGTTACGAGCGATTACAGCCCGTACTCAAGTTGCACAGAAATGAAGAAGAGACTAGGTTGGGACTTCCATTAATGTCAGAGAAAGTGTTTACGGTTGAAATATTTTTCATAGTACATATTATGGGGAGACACGTACTAGAAGAGATCTTTGCATTCTGAACCCACATCATGTGTCCTCAAGACGGAATCATTCCAAGACAGTGGCAAAATATCTTGTTAAAACAGAAGTTCGGGCGAGTTGGTAGTTCATGACGCACGAGGACACAGCGCACCCGTAACAAACACTCAACGTTCACAGTCACACCAAAAGAAAGGGACACTTACACAGCGCTGACTTCAACTCTTTGTATATTCCCGCCTTTTCTCTTCTTTCACGTCTAATGCTTAACCTAGGCCTCATCTTTTTCTTTCTTTGCTAAAGGTTAACTGTAAAAGTTTTAAGCCAGAAATTGAAAATTAAAAATTAAATGGAAAAATTAAATGAAAATTGAAATTACTGTAGATCAATGATGCAAAGCTAAGTAATCCAGCTCTTTTTGTGACAGCGCTATAGATGGATTACTAATACACCTGCCGTTTTGTCTGGCAATGTTCTCCGCTTCTATTATTTCCCTTGTGAGCTGGTCTCGACTCCTTGCCAACACCACACACTTGTCAAGTTCCGCTGTGCACCCACAGTCCCGAATGTGTATGCCAACATGTCCAGAGTTCTTGTTGATGGTGGACAGGTTGTGTTCTCTAAGGCGGTGGTTTAAACACCTACCCGTCTGTCCGATATATGTTCTTCCACAGGACAGGGGGAAGGAGTATACTACATTTTCAGTGCATCGAACGAACTTATTTCTGTGATTCGTTGTGCAGGACGTCGGTGTTCTTGAAGGAGTGTTTACCCTCTTGCACAGGCTGTAGAGTTTGTTCGGAGCGGAGAAAATAACGTCCGTGCCTACTTTGTTTGCTATTTTCTTGAGGCCATGAGAAAAATGATGGAGATATGGCACAATCACTGGTCTTTTTGCCCTGTCCCGATGACTTTTCTTAATTCGCTCATCATGCTTAAAATCTCTGAAAAGTCCTTCCGCCACTGATATTAACAAGGATGGTGGATATCCAGCGCGTTTTAATCTCGACACTTGCCCATCAAAGCTCCTTTGGATGGAATGGAAGCATGACTTCGTAAGAGAGTTCTTAAGGCATAACCGCGCTATGCCTCTCTTTACGAGTTTTGAATGCGCTGAGTTGAATGGCAGAAGTGGCTTCTTTCCCCTTGGCTCGTAAGTCCAGCACATATGGTACGGTGACGTACAAAGACGAAGATCTAAAAATCTCAAACTTCTTTCACTTGGAAGTTCGTGGGTAATCTCCAATGGGTTCATGCACCTTTTGAAACAGTTGAGAATGTCTGGTACCAAGGCTGTCAGATTTTGGTCATTGGTGGCGAGGACAATTAAATAATCGTCAACATATCGTCAACAAGAGGGTAAACACTCCTTCAAGAACACCGACGTCCTGCACAACGAATCACAGAAATAAGTTCGTTCGATGCACTGAAAATGTAGTATACTCCTTCCCCCTGTCCTGTGGAAGAACATATATCGGACAGACGGGTAGGTGTTTAAACCACCGCCTTAGAGAACACAACCTGTCCACCATCAACAAGAACTCTGGACATGTTGGCATACACATTCGGGACTGTGGGTGCACAGCGGAACTTGACAAGTGTGTGGTGTTGGCAAGGAGTCGAGACCAGCTCACAAGGGAAATAATAGAAGCGGAGAACATTGCCAGACAAAACGGCAGGTGTATTAGTAATCCATCTATAGCGCTGTCACAAAAAGAGCTGGATTACTTAGCTTTGCATCATTGATCTACAGTAATTTCAATTTTCATTTAATTTTTCCATTTAATTTTTAATTTTCAATTTCTGGCTTAAAACTTTTACAGTTAACCTTTAGCAAAGAAAGAAAAAGATGAGGCCTAGGTTAAGCATTAGACGTGAAAGAAGAGAAAAGGCGGGAATATACAAAGAGTTGAAGTCAGCGCTGTGTAAGTGTCCCTTTCTTTTGGTGTGACTGTGAACGTTGAGTGTTTGTTACGGGTGCGCTGTGTCCTCGTGCGGCAAAATATCGTTATTGCGCCGAATCTTTTTTTTATTCGTTTTTTGTGCAAACTGCTGGGGTTGGAATACACTATGAAATGATTTGGTTACTGTTACTGATAATTGTTCTTTATGATAAACTGCAAAGAAACTTTCTTAAATGAAAATGTTTTTGTTTTGTGATGCTTGTATTTTGATTTTCTTCTCCCCCTATATAATGCCAAACGGTGCAGTGGGTGTCTACGTAAATAACAGTAGAAAAAGTAATGAAGTTATTTATAACTCTGCATTACTTTAAGAAAATAATGCAGTAAATATACTTTAGTTGAGCGCACTGATGAAACAGTCAAATACAAGAAAGGATAAAACATGAAGGACGGACAAAACAACTGATTTTTCATATTGTTTTGTCCATCCTTCATGTTTCATTCTCTCTTGTATTTAATGCAGCAACCTTTGCCACACTAGTTTTGTCAAGTTTGCTAATTGTAAGATGCATATGTGAATTGCTTTAATAATTTTCTATATCACTAAAATTGTTAATTTTTTTTATCTTTTGGAAATTTGAAGTAAAATTGAAGCTAAAGTTGAGGCTTGGGCGAGTTGGTACATACTTCAGAATTAAAAACAGCGCGGAAAGACGAGGACCAGACAAAGAAGTGACATGGACGTAGCGCTGGTGAAAGGATGTTTTCCCTCCCTTCAGTAACAAAAGAACAGAGTCAAGTATTGTAAGTCATTATGAAAAGCAATTGTAACCATAATGTAAAGTTTGCAATTAACAATACCAAAAGCAAGTGAAGTACATTTACAAACATTTTTAGTTAAAAGCAAGGAATTCCTGGAACTCTCTAGAGGCAGACAAGGGGACGAGGGATTGATGCCTTTAGGTAGTGAATGCGCCTCAACCCGGATCAAACTTTTGCGAGTAAAGCAATTGTCTCACAAACGGGCAAAACCTGAGAAAAATGCGATTTGCACCGGAACTCGTCGAGCATGCCATCTCACACGCTCAAAATCGCGACGCCAATAACAGCTTCGAGTCTAAATGTTCTCTGGACTTTGACACTTGCCGGAGCACTGACTACAGTGTAGACCGCATATAACGTATGTCGCGGGAGTCACGAAAATCCGCACTATAAGCGGTATCGCGCTATAAGCAAAACATCAATTTTTCAGGCCAAAATATGTGCCATCAGACAACTTACCTTTGTAAAAGAATTTATTTCTATGTTAGATGAAAAATAAAGCGTTCGGGAATGCTAACCCTAATCACTTTTCTCCGGCGATGAAAACGCGTGAAAATTTGCATCCTTTATACGGTACGCGCCAGTAATACCTTCAACTTGAGCGCAGGCACGAAATGCTCCAAATAAGAAATCCGGGCGATGGTCGAAAACACAAATGTTTAGAAAGCACCACTGTAGTCGAAGTAAACAAACACGACGACACGGGCGTTTCTGCCGTCTTGAGAGTGCCGCCACAACATCGCCGCACGAGTAGGTGGATCTTCCCTTCTAGTACGTGCTGGGTTATCATAGCGACACACAAAGAAAATTCACAGTCAAGGATAGCGCTTTTACGCGGAACGATGAACTTCCACCATGCCGTCTACGACGACGAATCGATCACAACCGACGGCATGTTCGCGGATAGAAGCCTGCCCGCGACCGGCATGCAACGCGTGCGAACACTTCTCCTCGACCTGCGATTGGTCTTTTGTTGCGGTTGTTTCCAACACAGCGGAGGGATGCACGCACGCACGCACGTGAACGACACGTGCATGCGTCCCTCCGTCGCTATGGCAACTGAAGCCTCCCTCTTCGCTTTCCCCCGCTTCTTCGAGCAACCTCCTTGCCCAGCGAGTGCCGCTCGCGGCTAGCGCCGTTATCTAGTGTCGCACAGGGAAGCATGCTCTCTGCGTCGGTCAGTCGGCGCGGTCGCCTGGCTGTTCCGGAAACCGCACTATAACCGGTATTTCCCTTCGCGCGCCTGCATTTTAAGCGGTATGTAATTACATGGAGTTCTATGGGAGTCGAACCGGTGGTTTAAAAAAGCCGCGTTATACCCGGTCCTGCACTATAAGCGGTTACGTTGTAAGTGGTCTATACTGTAGTACAGACAGACAAACTCAGAGTAAATTCGGGCAGATGCAGTACGCTAAGCCGAATTAGGAGACACATTTTTGTGGCAGTGCCGCTGCCCATTTGGAAGACGCGCCAGAGCGGCAATGGCATCCGAACCTTCTCGTCCCGTTGGTAGTAGAGGTCGGCTGGGCTGCAGCGGATCCATCGCGCAGACTCCGACAAGAAGTCCTCTTCCTCCTCCTCCTGAGCCACGGGACAGGAGCCCTCGTCCGAGGCATCGCTGCAGATACCACATCGGGGGACGTTGGTCGGACATCCGCAGTGCTCACGGGGACCGGTCTAAAAACCCACATTTTGTGGCTAGGTCGATGCCCGATACATTTTGCTACGCTATGTGCCTGGACAGTGACTCTGACTCGTGTGCTTACCCAAACGAAAATCAGTCCACTTTCAGCTGGAAATGATGCAGTCCAGCTGGATTCCCGATGCCTTATTTCCAGCTGGAACCAGTTCCATAATCCAGCTGGAAGTGGACTGATTTTTGCCTGGGTATACAGCGTCCAAAAAAGTGGTTCCTCCATTTCTGCCTGATGACGACGTAGAAGTGTTACGTTGTCGCCGACTGCAATCCTGGCGGTGTGGCAGCAGCGGTGGTGGGTGTAGCAGATGCCTGTTCTGCTGCAGGTCGCTCTCGAGAGGCACAGTCCACGAAAGCTTTGACAGTCGAGAGTTGTGACGCCGTGGTGACAGTGACACTCGCATTTGCTCGTGCTTTTTGCCGGAACTCCTACAAACAACCACCAGTATCACGACATGCGACAGCATGACACTCCGGCTTTTGCAACGTGGTTTTTTGCTGCTTCAGGAACACTTTCGATGCATGGGCGGAATGGGACGCTAAACACGCCAGTCGGAGACGCGTTGCAGGCAGCGTAGCTACGCCACCCAGGTAGCACACCAGAGAAACGCCTAACTTGGCACAAGCCTAGCAATTATAGGGGCCTAACTTGCGCATAATCAGGTTTCGCTCCAAGGCATTAATTAGCACCAGACATTTCTTTGGCATTTCTCTGGCTTGCCACGTAAGTGCCAAAGTGCCAGACTTCAGCCAAAGATGCCACCTATGAACCAAAGAACCAGAAGCAAAGCCTAAATTTTCACTTGTTGGTCAATTAAGGCCCAAAGTGGCCACACGAAAACCAAACAACCAAGGGTGAAGCCTACCCATGGCACTTGTTCGCTGATTTAGGGTCGAAGTCACCGGACGACTGCCCGACTACAGCAGTGAACTGTTGACTCTGCTTTGGTTTCTTCAAGCTTTTTAAAGCCCTAACCTCCTGGACAAAAATCAAATTTTGGGCCAAAGAACCGCACTACCTGAGAAATTGTTTAAACTGCGGCCTCCGAGCTAAGTAAAAAAAAACAATAAAAACCGGCAGTCTTTCGGCTGCGCTAAACGGGTCATGCTGCACACCCAGGCCTTGGGGCATTGAGCACAACACGGTTAAGACTGGTTCAAGCACTTGCGAGTGCTTATGACAGAGAGTTTAAAAGTTGTTAGGATTTCGCCAACGAGAGAACATACTGGCACCATCTTTCAGATTACTGTGGAACACTTGGCATTTCCATATATTTTCTCTATTTGTAGAGTACCATTCTTTCTTTCTTGGCTCGGAAAACTTGACTACCGTAAAATCCCGTAAGAATGCCCACAAGAAATGAAGAGATAAATGATGAAAAACATGGGGTGGGCTATCTTTGGAGATGCCATAGCAACGCTTTATCAAAAATAAATGATAAACACCTGGGCACCCTCTGAAAACCACGTAACGCGGCAACTGATACTGCAGATAGCGGACACGGCAAATTTGTGTTTCATGTTGCGATAAACATGCGGGAATTCGCTACAAACTCCTGTGTCACGGGAAAGGACACTGTCGGTTGCGGACGCAGCAGATTCGCATCTCACGGTACAAAGGACCCACGGAAACCTACAGAGAACTCGCATCACACGGGAGCGAATACCGCAGATAGCAGACGCAGCAGATTCAAGCTTCATGGTACAATAAACACGCGGGAACCTGCGACAAATCTGCCTGTCACGGGAACAGATACCGCAGATCGTGGATGTAGCAGAATCGCATTTCACAATGCAATATACAAGCGGGAACAACTTGCGTGTTACGGGAGCCGATATCACATATAAAGATTGCGGACACAAATGCAGGAACCCGCTATAAACTCACTTGTCAGACGTACCGGTACTGCAGATTGCACGGTTGATGAGATTCCTGTCGGACATTGCGCGGCATCCGACGGGAATTGGGGGGTGGGCGACATTTCGGAACTTCTATGTTACAGATGTTTAGCCAGAAAAACGGGATGGGCGATCTCTTGCTAGAGGGCATTCTTACGAAATTTTACGGTATGTTATAAACTACCATTTTTCATAAATAGCATGTACATTTGAGCTTGCAAATACCGCAAAACCTTTGCTCTAGTAGAATGCAGTTCAAGTGTCACCTTGTAGATGGCGCCAGCATGCCATTGTGTTCTTTAGAGGGCCTAGATTGAACAGAGAGCCCGACTGAGACCATGGAAGCATTCCCAATTTAATGGCAGATACTTCCTGCACCAATTGGTCGCAAGTGTGCATACGCCACGTCGACGAGTAACAAGGGGAAAAGAGGGCGGAAAGGCTGAGACATTTGCCTCCTCTCAGCTCACATTGCAAATGTGGCCCATATACCACAGGACCCAGATTGAGCACTTGGAAACTCTCCGTAACATAGGCTCTCTAGTGTCCTCTCGTCATAAGAGGTTGAAAGAACTCAAACGCAAGCAAGCGCAAGTGGGTGGACAGGCCTTTGGGACCCAAAGGGACCGCCGGGAGCGAGACCGACCCTTCAGGCTGAGGCGGCGAAGCGTCCCGGCTGGGGCCCTTGGGTGTCCTCCTGGCGCATCCCTCCCTCCTCCTCTCCTGGGACGGGCGCTCCCTGGGCCGGGCGGGGGGCAGTGGCCTCTCGTCCGGGGATACGGACCCCCTCTCGCCGCTGCCGCGAGACCGTCGGCGCCTCTGGGGTCCCGGCGAGCGCGGGCGCTCTCGGTGCCTCGGGCGGCTCCCGTGCCCGCTCCGGCTCCTCGAGGAGTGGCCGTGACGCTCGCGGGAACTCCGGCGCGGGGAACGGCCCTCTCTGCTCCGGCGGCCCTCCCTCGACCTGGAGGAGTTCAATTATGATTGTGTAGAACGCGTCTCCCACCATTAAGATCGCGACATCCAACAGCGTGACACTCCGGCTTTTGTGATATCATTTGTTGGCACTTTGGTGCCACATTCGATACATGGGCAGAATAGGACACTAAACTTGCCGGTCAAATGCAATTTTAAGGCAGTGTAGTTCTGTCGGTCTGCTGACAACGACCCCTTACGACGACCCGCTCCTATCTCACGCCATCGAGGAATCGAATGGTTCTCTGTCAACCTGTGGTCGAACTCCACTTTGTTTTGCTGCACTCAACAAACATCCGACGCCGTAGATTGGCAAACTGTAAACTGAGCTCTGCATTCGCCACTTAGTCTTATTTTCTCGTGCACTTCGTAAAGTGTGAAGCAGTGTTTTCACTTACTTCGGCCACCCAATAGGCAACTGACAGTGTTGTTAAATTAGCAATAAATGAATAAAAACTGACACACCAGTCGCTGCTAAAAGACACCTACCAGAAAGCCACTGTCACAGGTCCACTTTTTCTATTGTGTTTCTTTGCTGTACTCTAGGGGTGCGAGAAGGCAAATCCATTTAAGTTCCTAGCGCTGCAATAAAACTATGTCTCTTTTCTCATGCAGTTACTCCCTGACATCATTCCCTGTCATTCTAGCCCCTTACAACCATAGCAAATGCTTAAAGGGGGGACACTATCCAGAAAAAAAAATTCTGCAAAAAGCACTGACTTTGAAAAATTAGATGTTTCACATTAAAAACGCGAGACTGAGGTATTGACAGACAACAAGAAAGAGAAGGAGAATGTCTTGATATTATTTATATATAGATATTTACATCCACCAACATCTAGAAGGTATACCCAGAAATTTTCACTAGTTTACCCTGCAAAGTTAATTTTTTATAAATTATTTTCTGTCCACCAAAGCTAAAGAAAAGGTAGGGTTTGGAGCACTTTGAACACATTTTTCTCTATTCCACTTTTTGGTATAAATTCCATTTTAGTCACTCCATCGTTTGATTATGGCAATACAGAGAAGGCTCGTTCTTCACTTTTCTGGACTGAAATTTAATAAGGAATGCGGCTATGGAATGCTTTTGTCACCTTACTGATGTCTTTTATAAAAAATGATGACATTTTGTCGAACACACAGAAGACCAAAAAGTTGACCAATCTTGCAAAAGAGAAAATTGATAAGAATAAACGACTTTTTACAAAAAAACTTTTCATAGCCTCACCTCATAGGCATTCTGCTAGATATATAGCAAATAAAAATCTTGAATGTTGTGATAGTTTTCAAACAATAGATTATTTAAACAATGTAGGCCTGTTGCTGAAACAAGCTACCCCAATTTCCTTCTCACTTAACTTACAGACCTGAAATTTTGTTATGCTCCCTCAAGCATGACCACCAGCCTACCCTGTAAATTTCATTAATTTTAAACCAAGCCTTCAATAGTTGACCCTCCCAGGGGGTGTGTCCCCTTAAAGGGGCACTGACACCCCAAAGGTCGTACTCTTTTTTATTGTCTAAAACGATGCAAGTTATAGTCATAGACACGCAAAAAAAACTGCATCGCGGAAAAAAATTTTCTTGCGCGCGCGCGCGCCTTTTTATTTTTGGCGTTTATATTTCCCGCGCTTACCTCCTTGCTTCTTTTGATCGGTGACGTCAAAAATCAGGAAATTTAGAAGCTTTGTAGGCGACATTTCTATAACATTTAATAACGGCAATCGTAAAACATGTTTTTTAACGCAATGACGAACGCACTACGGCCTTTCTTTTTAAAATACCAAAAATCAGATTTCGGTGTGATGTCGCTTCCTGGATTTGTGTTTTCCCTCGGAAAACTTGGCGGCGCTCGAGCAGAGGCTTATCGCCGAGTCGGGGAAGAAACCGGTTTTTCCCCGCGCCGGCTCCCTTCTATCCCGCCTGCTCACCTCCTCCTCTCTTCGGGTCGCGGTAGCAACGGCGCTTTGCTTCACAGCGTGGTGCGGAGGTCCGAAAGAAAGTCGAGTCGCAGGAGACCGCAAAATTTGACTCACTTCACTGGCACGGATCGTGCGGGAACTTCAAATTCGGCATTTGGAAATTGTTTTTTTAATTCACGAATACTGAATTCCCAAGTTTCGAATTTTGAGGGTAATGTCCCGGCATCAATTTCAATTGTTTTGAATAATAAAATAAATTATGATTTTGATGTGTCAGTGCCCCTTTAAAGGCAGAAGCAGCACCACAAAAGGTACCATCGAGCGGAGCCACATCTTTCTAAACCAATCGGGGGTTGCCGCACTTCGCAACTGTCGGCTAGGAATGGCGATGGACCGGATGTAGCCTGGAAAATATTTCGGGCTTTCTCGGGGCACATTAGTAAACTGAGAGTTGCAGAAAGGAGGAATGTCACTGAAACGTAGCCCCAATGAACAAGGAAGAATGCGAAAAATTCAGCCCAATACATTACCTACTATATTGAAAGTTAGAAGCGATTTAGTTTTTGACAAAAGGTTGTCAACCTATGTCGTCAGCAGACGTGAGCCGGCTACATGACAGCGTGGCTCAAAGACGGCGCCGGTTGTCGTATGCACGTGAAGGTGGTATTTATGGGAAGACTTAGTGTCGAGCTGAGAACTGATGCCATCTACAAGCCACAACGACTAATAGCTGGCCTATGTCTGCTACTGATGGGGAGAATGCTGCTGATCATACAAGATCTTCACGAAATCATTCTTAACTTTCGATTTATTTTAAGTAAAAAGTTGAACCAAGAATTTTGTATCTCGCCTTGACCGCCGGGGCAACTTTCCCGTAAAGTTGTGAGGCTCTTCAAAGCACGGTAGATTTACGTACTGCGAAAGGCTCTTAACTTTTTTTTCGAGTGAACCCGGTACTGTGGTATCAGATTTCAAGTCGATTATCACCTGCTTTTTTTTTCGTCACTTTGCATTCCCTGCAAAGACTTAATTCAAGAAGTAGCTAAAATGACCACTCTTCTTCTCCTTCTGCAATCGATTTACGAGAAAAAATTTGTTTAAATACCTGTCGCGGCATCGACGTGATCCTCTGTCGCGGTCCCGCTCCGAGCTGCTGCTTCCTGTCACGTGCGTCGCTTCCGGCCTCCAGCTGGGCAGCACCGAGGTACACCTGAGTCCACCAGAGGAAGGCAGTGAGGCCTCGAGTTAGTCTCACGTAAAGCAAAGCCCCAGAATGACGTTTACGAGTATGCCGCGCCACGCTCTTCATTCTATTGCTGTCCCACCTTGTAGTTCAGGGACTCTCAAACTTTTCAACCTCGAGGATCACCTTATCCTCTCGACTGAAAGCAGGGGAATCCCTTCCGCTTTTGATGCAATAAAGCGATGCAGAAGTTTACAGACCTGGTAAAAGGCAGTGCACATAGTAGGTGGTTTGGCTCATAACTCAATGGGTGGCTCATTTACACTAAGATAAGAAAGAAAACCTCACTTAGGTGCAAGGGTGGTCAAGGAAATTTGAGGGCTCGGGGAACCCTTTAGTTACTAGGAACCCAGTTTGAAAACCTATGGTGTAGTTCATCTAGTTTGCTACGACTTTTTATTGTTTGCAAACACTGCCAACCTCTCACTCGATTGTCGTTAGGAGGAAGGTCTACCACATAGGAAGACGAAACAAGAGTAAACGAGTTTGTAATAAGCCAACTGAAGAGAAGAAAAATTCTAAAGAAAAAAGAAGAGCTTGGTCCTAAACATAAAACGGCAATCCCAAACTTCTCGCCCATTCTTTCACCTGACGATTGGCAGCCTCCCCAACCATTGTGAGGGCTTGAAGCGAGCTTCCGACCACCTACCCGGGGTAAGGCTGGGGTGCAAATTGCTGCAGTGCCGGACCAGGATATGTGTACGGACCTGGGGAAGGGGAGAAAAGGTCGTCACCTACCGACCTAGAGGCCCGTTCACATTTGCATTTGCTTAAGAACGAGCTCCTATGAACTCTTACGCAAAAGAACATGGTAGCATGCTGGCACCATCTACCAACTAAATCGCGACTCGCCTCATCAATATTGCTCTAAAAAAAATTTTTTTGCATAACATTAAATTTTTAAGGCGCATGTCCCAACCAGATTGTTTAAAAAAACTTTTTTTTTTCTTTTTAGAGGCACCCTTAAAACTGCTCGCCATCAAACAATCTCTGTTTTACCGAGCACACTCAGTCGAGGTGGGGGTGATGGGCCGACGTAACACTACACGGACTTGAGAAGGACTGTGAACAATGTTTACTCCCTTTAACGCGAGGAAATCTTTCGAGAACCATGTCACCACCTACACGGGTAGCACCCTAAGGACACACTGGCCAAACAAAGACAACATATGACCCTTTACTACCTGCCAAGTACCGCACGAACAGATTGACTCTAACCCACTGCAGGCAAACAGCCAAAATGAGTTCCGCTTACAATGACATAACTTTTTGGAAACAATGACAAGTTTAGTCACAACCGGAGAAGATACCGGGCCGGCATCGAAACATAGGGTCACCTACATTTTAAGGCTCTGTTGGAAGTTTCCCGGTATATTTCTTGTTTTTGCCCTTTCGGGCGAGTGAGAGATTCCAGGCACCCAGAGCTAAGCCCACAGGCCGTCACGGCACAGTGCCCAGAATGCACCTCAGATTGCCGCGTTTAGCGACCCCTCGTGCTCACGTATCAAAAGCCGTCCCGAAGTGGCAACGAACGACGTCGCGGAAGCCGGCCCATCGCGCTGTCGGACGTTGCGATCCCGATGATTGGTCGTACGAGTTCTGGCAAGTGCCAAACAGCCACACGCGAGTGTGGCCATTTTTGTGGCGTCCCAACTCCCGGCTGCCGAAGCTTCCGTGGACTGTCACGGCGGAGAGGGAGCCGCGGCAGGATGTCTGCCGTGCCAGTGCTGGGATCGCGGCAGGCGACGGCTCGACACTTCTACATGATGCCGTCGGGCCAAAATCGAGAGACCACGTTTGAGGACGGGGAAAACGCGCAGGTCAGAGACGCATTCTCGGGTCCGTAGGAAAATGTCACGCGACCTCAATTTAAAATTTTGTTACAAGATTGAGCGAGAGAAAAAATGTTTTTGTTTGCCAGAAGAAAGAAAAAAAAAGAGGTGCTATGAAATTTAATAAGCTCTTGTGCACTACCTAATCGAAGGTGTTGTGTGAATCTTCGGAATACTCACTTTCAGCCAATACCACCCGGAAGACAAGGCCCTTCCCCCCTAAATATCATCACTAGTGGATCCAGGCAGTGCTGCCTAGCTTGAATCAATGTCGCAGCCAGCGTCTCACGCGGTGTCTAAAAATTAGTTGGACGCTAGCACATGAAGACGCCAAGACGAATGCGCGGGTCTCGTCGTGCGCGGGCCTCGTCTTGTTGGTGGTATTGTTTCAGCATGCGCAAGACAGCTTACGACAACAAAATGGTGGATGAAATTATGTCACTGAAAACACCACCGTCTAGTTGCGGCGCCCAAGGAGGGGTCGAAGGTGGGCTCACCAGACAGGGGGGTCAGAGGCATCACAGAGACGCAGGAAGCCGAGCTCCACTGGGCGGAGGCGGCGTGCAGCGTGAGCTGCCCCTGGGACGCCAAGACGCCGGCCCCGTAGCCGCGGGCGGCCACGGCCCCGTACGACCCGGCTGGTCGGTACTGGGCCGCCCCGCCGGACACGGCCGTCGTCCAGGCAGACCCGGCCACCAGAGGCCCCTGCGGCCCTCCCACTAGGGGTCCTTGCGCTGTGCACGGGACCAGCGCTGCGGTGCAGTACGCCGGGAGGCCCGGCTGGCCAACCAGGGCTCCCGTGCCGCAGCCCGGCCGGGCGGTCAGGTTCAGGCTGGGCAATCAACCAATCATTTTATTTGCATCTATACATATGCCGGGAGGCATACAAAAACCCGAGAGTTGTTGACACGGTCGCTGGTCTCCTTGACAAAATGAGCTACAACGAGAAAACATGAATAACATGTGTCGCAAAGAGATAAAAAGAAAAATGCAGAACAAAAAATCGTTCAGCCTTTCCACTCTCGTGAAGAAGGAAGACCAGTGGAGCTGTACTTGATACACTGTGTGCTTCTTCTTCGTCGTCGTCTGTTTTTCGCGCTGTTTCCTACGATGAATTCCCACCAACGCGCCGCCCAACTATTTATTCTTCTATGATAGCTCGAAAGGTTGGCGCCATCTACGAGCAACGGCGGAAACCATACTAGATGTGTGCTTGCCGCCGTTGCTTATAGATGGCGATAGCTGTCCAGGTGGGTTTGTGTCGACATACCGGACACGATCCTGGGGAACCTAGCCCTTAACAGCTCTGCTGTAATAGTTGTGTTTATTATTACAACGTTTGTGAAAACACTTCTTATCGATTTGTATGTTCTATGCGGATATCACTTCGTACGAGGTTGGTAAGTACGGTAGACAATGGTTTACATGGGCGTACCAACCGGAGGGGGGGCAGGGGGGCGCTTGTTCCTTCAGTTCTCAAAGTGGGGGGTAAGGCATGTGTTTTGCCCCCCTGAAACAGCCATTACTGGGCAGGGCGAACATTGGCCGGCAGCGCCCAAAAGATACCAAGGGCACTGCCCCCCCCCCCCCCCCCCCCCCCGTACTGGGGGGTGGGGTCAGGTTTGCCCCCCTCCCCTCCCACACACACTCAAAAACAAGTTGGTATGCCACTGATGGTTTAACATGTAAAATATGACAGCTCCCTCCCTCCTCCCTTTTCTTCTATCAATAATTTGAGAAAAGGAATGCGCAACTCACTCCATCTTCCGAACACGCCATTGCATCATTATGGTTACGCTGGTGACTAGATCACAGAATGCAGAAAGGGGTTCTGGCTGCCTTGCGCAAACAGTTCCAGATTTTAGTTTTGTAAAAATTCAAAGGGAGTTTTACGGGGCTTTCGCTTGCCAATCTTAGACGCCTATCTTTGAAGTGGACCAAATATTATAATTGGTCGAAATGGAAATTACCGACGAGACGGCGCGGCGTTGCGTGCAATGAGAATATGATCTTACTTTGAGGGGTTCATGCTGAATGAACGGTTCCTAGTTCAGCAGCCATCACCCAACAGCACAGAGAACCGAAATGGCAGAAATGCCCGAGTCTCGTGGTAGAAGCAGCGCTGCGCTTTGATCTTCCAAAAGGCCGAGAACTTCTTGAACAGAGAAAAAAACCCGAGGGAGACCAAAGGACCGAGGTACCAAGACGATCAAAAGGCAACCAACAGCAACCAAGGTAAACGTGATGCCTATGACAACTTGAGTGCCGATAAAGCCGATGAAGCCACGCTAGATAAATAAATATTAAAACTGTTCACTGATTCAAAGGGCCCCTGAAAAAAAAATTAACAGTCTGGTTGGGAGACGCGAGTCAAAAAAATAATTTTACGCGAAGAAAAAAAGTACTTCGATCCTCCTTTTTACTACTCGTTGGGATGGAAAGAACATATGGCCCACTGATTGTCATTGAGATCGAGACGTCATGGAATTTGCGCGCAGAATTTAAAATAAATTTCACGGATGTCCCATCCAAATTGTCGATTTTTTTTTTCCTTTTTTTTTTTCAGGAGTTTCACATGGTGATTGAAACCCATTATCCCTTTTTCTTCCTCCGTCACGAGTGTTCCGTTTTTTCAAACTGCAGTCTCAGGTTTCAATCATCATGTATAACTTGCATTAGCTCGCCTGCACATTAACCGTTTTTTTCATTGATCATCATAAATATTCTCATTGTAGAATTATCTGAGGCCGAAGTGACGACAGAAAAAGCTGCATTTAATAGCTCTTTCCATTTTCTGTCGTCACCATCAGGGCTTAAAGTCTGGGAGGTCTCAGGGGGTCTCGACCGTATGTGAAATTTTGGAATTAGCAATTCGAGGGGTGCAGGTACAGAATGGGCAAAATCAGCAGTGGTGCTTATTTTATGTGCATCTAATACATCTTGTCAAACCCCCCCCCCCCCCCCCCCCCCCCCCGTCCACCTTATTGTAGGGACTCCCCAGAACTACTTACCCCACCTCACTCACCACGACTCCCCTCGCGTCGTTCGGCGCGCCACACGGCTGCTATTTCAACCGGCGTAGTCTCGGTTAATACTGCAATGATGAGCTTACATCAGCTCACAATTGTGCCCTCACATTGATTAGCGTAACAATGCACAAGAGAAACACTCACAAACACAAACACACTCCGAGTGAGTGTATATTTTTTTAATGTGTTTGTGTTTCCAAGTGTTTCTCTTGTGGCGTGCTGTTATGCTAATCAACATGAACTACCAACTCGCCCGGTCAGAAGTCTTGTGTCCTCATGTTTTGTTTGTAAATATTGCGCTTTCTTTGGTTAGTGTAGGAGGAGCGGGGGGGATATTGTTACGTATGTGTTCTATTCATGCACTTACCATAAAAATGTTCTTGGATATTTCAGTCTCTCTTTAAGAACAGCTACAAATTATTTGACTGTAATGCACAAACTCGTGGCTTTTTCTTTTTTTTCCTAAATTTGTTGATTTTGACTTTTGAGTCGCATGTTCACACAGGGGTGCTGTCGCTTTTTTTCTCGGTCATATGTGGGGACGTCACAGAAACCTAATTATCTGACACACCTTTAAATGTTTGGTTATAGCTATACCCTGTTGCAGGTGAACAAAAAGGAGCTCAATCTCCTCCCACAAAGCCATCCATCCTTTCCACTAAGTGGAAGGAACGCCAGAAAGGAGTCGAGGTTGAATTCGCCTACTCGATGGCATTCTCTCTGCTTAGTGGAAAAGGTGGAGGCCTTTGCAGGAGTTGCTTGTGCTGCTTTTCTGAAAGGCCTACGTACAGCCTCGGTTTTCTGCAGGGAAGATTATCCTCTTAGCGTCCTCCTCTCCTGAACTGCGAGGAAGCCGTGTTGGGGTAGTGTAAGAAGTGTGGAGGATATAATAAAGGAGGAGACTGGCAGAAGTGGAAAGCATATGTCGGCCTTAAACCTGCAACAGGGTACAGTGTACAGCTGAAAGACGTCTTACCAACATCTCAAAAATGCACTTCTAAATACAGAAATTCAAGGCCGCGAAAAGAATAAATATTTTGCAACTCAGCCAGTACACCAAGTTATTTTCTGGGTCAAGCAGTGAAACACTGTTTTTCTTGCTTTTTTTGTGCCGTGCTGTGGAATGCTAATCTTACATTACCTTCTGTGTGTGTTTGTTGTTCTAGTATGACATGTCATTCAATCGGGTGAATTAAATGCTCGCAAACAGGTGAGCTAAATGGTTGCAAAAATACAGCTGTCATCTGCTAACGCAAGCAGAGAATAGTGGTCTGTCTGCGACGAAAGTGGAAGGTGGCATTTTGGAGCTAATTGGGAAGCACACGACTTGACGGTTACACCTGCTCGACCTCGAGGATTTTTCAAAGACAGACACTGTGAATGCTACCCACGTTGATGTTGCCAGTATTGACTAGAGGCAGTCCGTGGGCCTTTAAGCCTCGACTTACAATCTATCTAAGCTACCTCGTGTGAAATGCTCTGAAATAGCGGTCACCCTTTTCTAGAAACTCATAAAAACAGCAAAAAGTGAAAAAGCTCAGGCAGTTCTGTATGCACAAACTTCCACTCTTCAGATTAAACGATGCATGTTTTATACAGTGTAGCTGAACAGGGGAGAAAGTACAGATATTTACAATCCAAAAACTGCACTTGTATAACAGAACAGCTTCCAGTAGTCCTCTACCTACTTAAGTCGCATAAAAGTATAGAACATGCGTTATATAAAAATATAAAACCTAAATTGGCGGTACTTTGGCTCGGTCATTTCCGGCCTATGAGGGCGGCACTGGGAGACCCCCATGCACAGTCTGCCGCAGAGTCACTTCTTCAGCAGCATGGGAGAGCTGGTCAGGTGCAGCAGGCTGAGCGCCGAGGGAGGGGTGTACACAATCCGTCGACGCTTTCTGCAGCTGGGAGTCGTCCCCGGCTCCTGCGAGGGGGTGGCACCGTGCGGACGCTGCTCAGTCTGGCGCTCACCCTTGACCGGACTGGCCTGGGACAGCAAGAACAGCTGTTGCGGACTAAGGCCAGTCTCCTTGGACTTGCTTCGGGTGAAGCGCGTTGTCAGCTTCGTCAGGACGGGAGATGTGACAACACCTCGCGAAGAATCTCCGTTCGTCTCGGTGTCGCCGCTCCGAGAACCCCGGATGGTGCCATTCGGGAGATTCTGTCGAAGGCACTCTTCGGTGTCTGGCTCCTTGCGGGGAGAAGAGTCGACGAGCTGTTCAAAGAGACGCCTTGGAGCTTCGGGTTCGGCCCCCGGCAACTTAAGACACGGTTTCTTCGAGGCCGGGGAGTCCTCTCGAGGCTTCTCGAGTGGAGAGTGCGTCACCGAAGGCGAGCCAAGCAACCTCTTGGACACCCTCCTCCGTGGGGTGACGCTGCCCCGCCGACCAGGAGCGCCTTGTGGAGACTCTCCGAGGACAACGACGCCGGAAAAGAGGACGGCCTTTGCAGGAGTCCTCTCGCAACTGCTTATCGAGAGGTGGCCCTCGGGAGAGGAGAAGAGACTCTCGGAACCGTTCCACCTGGGGGGGGTCTCCTGGGAGAAAGGTGCCCTGGAGGGTGGCACCCGCTTCGGAGTTGCAGCAGCCCTCTCTGGAGTTCTTCCAACTAACTTAGAAGGAGACGGGAAGCTGAAGACATCCTCGGTGGCTTTTGGCACCCTCTTTTCCGGCGTCTCCTCCACGACCGGCACGGTAACAACAATACGCGACCTGCGACGCAACAGTTCTTGCCGACGCTGGACGAGCCTCCGCCCCTGCCGACTGGTCGGTGTTTCCGGAACGAATGTGGTCTTGAGTACTCTGCGCTGGCCCAGCTGTGGAGAGCCCGTCGTCGCCGTAAAGAGGTCTCGACGAACGCGGCCAGGCTCCGACTTTTTTGGAGACGTCCTGACTGGCTTTGTGTCGAGCCGCCTGCACTTGGGAACTTTCGGGACGACGATCTGGCGTTTCGAGAGGGAGGTGGATGAAGAGGGCTGGGAAAGGTCAACTCGCGCGAGGGACCTGTTGTCAGCCGCATCGCGAAGCGTCTGGGAGTTGAAGGACGACGGAATGCTCGACAGGAAGGAGTCTTGCGACGCCGCAGAAGTGGGCCCGTCGAGCCGTCCGAAGTCTCCTTCTGAGCCGAGCAGCGAGCCCCCGTCGTCCGAGAAGAGGGGCACGCTCAGCTCGTCTCCGACCTCCACGAGGACGTCCCGCAGGGTGGCCAGGTAAGTGTCTCTCACGATACCCCTGAGGAACTCGCTGGCGACGGACGGGCTGTGGACGAAGGACAGTGTGCGCAGCAGCGAGGTCACCCTCTCGACGCACGCACCAGTTGGACCGAAGCTCACCTCTTCTTCCAGCGCGAGCAGCGCCTGCAGCTGGTATTCGCGGAGACGGCGCCGCTGACTCGCGTCGTCCCCGGAGCCGCCATATTTTTCGGCGATCTGGGGGCAACCGAGCACAAAGTGTGTCCGCAGCAGCTCACAAACAGACGATTGTTTCCCGTTGCTCCGTGGCTGGGACTCCACGAAACGCTTGATGACACTGACAATGTTCTGCGCACATGTGAGCAAGGACGTAGAAAAGCCGGAGTCCAACGCACCAGAGTATGACTCTTTCAGGTGTGCCAAGAGCTGCTCCCGGTCGGCGTAGCTCGTGCCTCGTGGCGCCCTGGGGGAGCTGCGGGATCCCTGGGCGCACGCTGGCTTCTCCCGGCGGCCCGAAGCCCTCCGTGCGTCTGCGTAGCTGTGGGCCAGGATGTCGGCCGACCTGCCGCCGGGCTTGAGGGAGGCGCCGAGGCTCTTCCGTGCCGCCGGTCTGGGCGTCTGCTGGGACAGCCGCTCGCTCTGCGGTATGGCTGCATCATCCTTCGTGCCTCCCACAGACCCGAGCCTGTAGCTACGCCGCAGCCTTTTCAGCATCTCTCCACACTGCTCGTCCGTATCGTGTTGGTCCGAGCCTGGGAATGGGTTCACGGAAGACGGAGCCACGTACCAGCGCTCCAGCGCAGCCGCCCTGAAGGGAGGCCAACGCGATGAGCCGTCGCCAGTCATTGTTCTTTGCGGGCACCACTCAAATGGATCAGTGGAAGGCAACGGGCACCGGTCGGAATCGTCGCCGTCCGCTGGGGCCCGGGGTGAGCGCCTTTCAGTGTGCTGCTCGCCGAAGGCCAGGGGTTCGGTCACAACCTGGAGGCAGAAGGCGGAGCCGAAGAGCGGCGAGAGAAACGCGTACTGCTTTGCGGGCAGGTCGGACACCAGCTCTACGAAAAGGACCTCCCTTTGGCGCTGCAGGCAGTTCAGAATCCCCCGGAGACGCGCCGAGTCGTCGGCACCGGCGGCAGCGCTTCCGTCGGGGCAGCGGAACACTTGCACCCTCCGAGAACTCAGGGCACGCGCACCGGCGCACGCTCGAGTCCTGGCGAGGATCCGGACCTCCTTCCAGCGGGCGCGCGGTTCGGGCAGTGGGTCGTCCGGGCAGAAGAGTGCCGAGCCGACCCGTTCTTGGCCGAGCGTAACGGCAGCGGCGGCGAAGAGCGGCGGGTGCTGCTGGCCCCGCGAACCCCCCTTGAGGCACAGGTCGGCGATCGCCGAGAAGGGCGCGCAGTCGGCTCCGGCTCTGACTAGAGCTTCGAGCGGAACTGCGTCGCCGCCCAGGCAACGCAGGGCACTCTGGATGAGGGCGTGTGCGCCGTCCTGGGGCTCTAGACCGGTGTCGATCCACAGCAGCTTGGCCGCCAGCGAGTCCACCAAGAGCCGCCGCACCTGGGCTGGCACCATCACCTCGGCGACGTCGCTCCCGTCCAGCTGGGAGGCGTCTTTCTTGCCCAGGAAGAAGGCTACTTCGTCCTGGGACCGCGGGCACCGCGACAGGTTGAAGATGTAGTTGCCCCCGCTGCAGGCGTTCTCGCGGTCCCCGGTGCCGCCCCTTTTGCGCTTCCTGCGCTTCACCGGCGAGGCCATGCTCGGGGCATCCCACGGAAACTCGGACGCAACCTGGGTGAGGGCCGTCCGGAGGATGGCGCACGGCGGGTCCCGATCTCCGACGGCGCGCTGCCCCGCACGGCCCATGGCTTGGCAGGCGCTCCGGTAGCGCTCCAAGCGCTGCGCCAGCTCTTCCTCGAACTCCTCGAAGTGGTCGAGGTTGAACTCCCGGAACGGCCGCCTGTCCATCCGCTGCCGCGTCAGGCCGCTGCTGCTGTAGAACTTGTAGCCCCATCGGGTCCTTTCCCTGCCGAAGTGCGTGAGGAGCTTGAGGCAGCCGTACCTCACGGCATTCACGGCCTGCTGGTAATCGCCGACGGCGGGTTCGTCTTCATAGGTGTAGAAGGAGGCAACGTCGATGGCGAAGACGACCTGGGTCGACTCGGACATAATCTCAGGCGATGAGGCTGCGTCGACTGCATCGCAAAACGAGCGGAATTTCGTACCAGCAACCGTTTGAAGGGAGATTTTAAAGGCGGCACACTGGGGCACTAAGTCAAAGTAGCCATCATAAAATCATAAAAGCGTGATGTGAACGGCGATGGGAATGCTGTTCCTGCGATGGGTCGACGTATGGACGAATGTCGGAATCACTGTCGTCGGAATACGTGTCCGAGTTTGAAGAAATAACACTATTAAAAGGCTTAAGTTTTATTATCAGTGCTTCAAACAAAAATGAAACGTCTTCGAACTGAGCGGAATTGCGCACAGCACCATGTGAGAGCCACATGCACCAACGAGTGCACACATGCGCAACATGCGTTTGCGCTGTTTTTTTTCACTGACTAGTTGTTCAGGCCCGTGGTTCAGGCTCTTCAGTTTCAGACATCATTCGTCGCTAATGCACGAGTGCAATTTTACATAAACAAAGTAAACAAACCAAACAAGCCAAGCAGATCGCCGAGGACCAGCGGAAGCGCCGCTAGCGCCAGGCAACGCTGGTGCCAGGGGCCGAGATGCGCCATGATCGCTCTATTTCTGCTTGAATTACAAATTAATCTGAACCGGACGGGCGATCTTGGCGCTTTCGCGACGGCGCACAAAAATAACCGCGACTGATTCCGATTTATTTTCGGGGGGTTATTGACAATGAAGCACAATTCCTCTGAGCCCGCAGTTTCGGATGCCAAGCGAGGGTGGGCAAGGAACCTCGAGAGGCAAGTGACTGCTGCCGCTATTAGGCCTAGGCTCTAGTCAGCCTTTTCTCTTGACACTGCGCAAATCTGGGGGACGAAGCGAACCAGTGAACTGCGTGCGCCTTGTCGGCATGTGCGGCGTCGAGTGGAGCGACAAGCTGGTCGTGGATCTCGTGGGCGTCGGGCCGAGATGTGCTTGGTAGGGCGTCTGACGGCGCGGACTGTTGCATGTCGCTGTCGAAAGCCCCACCGGACTTCGTAGCGGGTTGCCACACGGTAGGCGGGTTTGATTTCCTTTGCGTATCAAGTCGATCGGCAGTAGTAGTCGAGACTTGTGCAAGCCGGAGATGAAGAAGTTATTCTCGCGCTTCGAGAGGATCGACCAGGGCGCAGCTAGAGAAGCCAACAACTTCGTCGGCAAAGTTTTCACCGTGGGACGGACGACAGTCACGGTGGAGGACGTGATAGCCGAAGGTGAGTGCTTCCTCCAGCACCCTTCGTGGTCGCCGTCGCGACTGCTGGCAGAGCGCCCTTGGCCCCTCGAACCTCTCCAGGTGTCCCCGTTGGGCTCGAGTCCCCCTTCCCCTGACCGAACGCGGCCCGACCGCAGGCTGTTTTCTAGCTCGCGACTTCCCGCAGTGAGCTTGTCCGAGTGCAAGCGCTAGGTTATCGCGGGAGAAAATGGAGAGTAAAGAAGAGAGCCGTCCGAAGGCTGTCCTGACGGCGTCAGTTCTGTGTCGTTCAACGCGCGCTGTCGGTACTAAGAGTCAACATGGGTGGCCGCCCGGAAAGCGGAGTCGCGGCACGTCTGGACGGCTCTGGGGCACTTTGCCCTGGGCGCACGCGACGCCGGGTGCGAACCGCGGCACTTGGAGGAGCGTACGGTCGCTGCCTGCTCTCGTATCTCGTAACCTTGCCTTTTTGCTCGAGAGATTATATGCCGTCAACGCAGGTATCTGATTCGTAGAGATTTCTTGTTACAGGTTGCGTTTTAGGGCATTGATCGTTGCTCTTCGAAGACGCCCATGGAAGGTTTCTCACATCACACAGTGGCTACGATTACCCCATAGAGGTGATAGTTGATAGATTGGACAGGAGCATTGCACAAGCGCTCGGTTTCAGCTGGTGACAACCAAAACCTGTACGAGCATTTGGGGTGGTGGGTCTTGTCCAACCGCTGCAATGATGGCAGTAGTTGAATCCTTACCATGTCCGAAACTGCACATAGCTGTGATAAGCATAGGCGGCATATTATTGGTACCAAATCGCGTGGCTACCTGTTCTGGTCACGAGTTGGAACGAAAATATGTTTCGTTTCTCTCTATTTTTTTATGGCTGACCTTGCATGTAGGGGAAAGCTAATGCGCATTTCATTTGTTGTAAACATCAACGAATAATTCTAACCAGTATTCACTCAAACTACAAAACTTGTAGTTTGAGTATTCACTCAAATTACAAAACTTGAAGTTTGAACAAATCTCTTAACGTGTCTGTGGTTATGTAGGTAAAATTTGTAAGCCTAGCAAAACCACCTGCATGTGCATGCAACACATGAGCCGCCAGCTGAGACTCCATGCTTGCAGTTGTGTACAGATTAGTGCGCAACATTAAAAACACTGGCCAGGTGGCATGAGCTATCACCCGATCATAACGTTGAGCAGTATCCGTCCATCTATTCATTAATCTGCCTGTTCATACCTTTCTTGGGCCTACTGCGAGCTTCTTCACACGTTCAATGACTTCATACAGAGCCAGGCATGTTGGAGACTCGTTTCATATGTAACTTACGTAGCTTCACTATACTATTCTTCACCTCAAGAAAAAGGGAAATTTTGTGCACTGTTCATACACTGTGCAAAGTAGTTCTTACAAGATTTGGTTGTCGGAGGAAGAAGCTATGCTTTTGGCGTTTAACGCATATCTAATCTAAAATGCATCCCTGTATATCTCAATTCTCAACATAAAGGAGAAAATTTGTAACGCTTCCGAGGAGCCAAACTTTTTTTTTATTACGATTCTTGAGGTAAAAACAAATATAGTTGTCCAACTTTTCTTTTTTTTTTTTTTTTGGTCTGATTTGCCTTAAAATTGTCTAGACACACCAACAAACATAGCTGAATTCCCCAAATATTAGGTCAAAATATGTTCTGGTTTTTTTTGTGAAGTTATTAAATTTTGGTTCTTACCCTTTTTTTTTTAATCTGAAAGTCTCTACGGGCAAGAGTGATGCCAGCAGCAGCCATAGGTTCACTGATTGGGAAGTGGAATTTGTTCCCACCTGATCACATGGAGTTTAATGGTGTCAAATGAAAGCTTTGGAAGCTCGCGCAGCAGCCCGGAACAAATGCGTGGCACGCTACTTTCTAGACAGCGTGCTTGACCTGCGGACCCGCCCACCAGTGGCGTCTTGGCACTAAAAAGTGTGAGAATATTGGAACACGAATTTTGGCATCGACTTCAATTGTCGATTTCACTACGACTATTCTGAATTTAGAAATGCTAAATAGCGAGCCAGAAAGAGTAAGGGGTCCTCAGAAAACGTTAGGTTGGGCAGCTACTGAAGTCGCCGGTGAGCCTCATAAAGGGATACTTTAACAAAATTTGGAATATACCTGTCGTGTTCAGAAATAAAACAGAATATGATCCACAATATCGTAAATGACCATCGCACATTTGTATTGTGAGCCTGATGGTTGTATTAGTCATTATAAACTGCCCATTCTGGCAAGCGCTCGGAGAGTAGCCAGCTGAGAGCACGTCACATCCGGCGCAATCGTGACATAGTTTGTCTCGGGATGAGAAAAACTGCGGCTAGGCTGACGTCGTCAGCTTGCCCTAGTTGTTTTAGCCACCAAAGTGGTCGAAGCACGCCAGCAGTCGGGCCACCGCAACTAACCGTAAATCTGCTTTTGTGTGGGGTTAATCTTTTATAATCTTGTAGAGGGAGAATATTGACGTTTGGGGCACGCAAAAGAGAGTCCAGTTGAGTGGGAAGTTCCTCCCTCCCCTCTTCTCTTGTGCTGGCCGTAGACCTGCCGGGAAGAGTCAGGTTCAAAGGCATTGCCGACGCTTAGGTCAAACCTAGGCGTCGGCAATGAGTTGCTGGGAGACCTTCTGCTTGGTCGACACTTTGGTCACGGCCTCTCGGCCAGACCCTGACGTAGGCAAAGGCGGCGCTGCGGTTCCTGCGACGCGCCTCCAACCGGTGTGTTTGTTCTAAAAAGTGGTCCCTCGATTTCTGCTTAATGATGTTGTAAAAGCGTCACGCCGTTGCCGCCAGTGACCCCAGCGGCATCACGGAAGCGGTGGTGGATGTGGTGGACCTTCGTTCTGCTGCAGGTCGCCCTCCATCTTGATGGTCCATGGAAGCCTTGGCAGCCAGAATCTGTCACGTCGCGACAACAACACTCACATTCTCTCTTTTTTTTTTTTTTACTTTTATGCTTAATTGCTAGAATCGCAACATTCGACAGCACGGCACTGCAGTTTTTGTGACGTCATTTGTTTTCACTTCGGGGACCACTTTAGATGCGTTGGTGCAATAGGGCGCCAAACACGCCACGTGGAGACTCGTTCCACGTACCATAATGGCACTGGCAAGTCTGCCGCTGCCTCGTCTCAACGTGAGTGCATGTCGTTTCTCCTTCCACCCCCAGGTGGATTTGCGATAGTGTTCCTGGTGAAGGGCCCCAATGGAGTCCGCTATGCCCTCAAACGAATGTTCGTCAACGAGGAGCACGGCCTCACCGTCTGCAAGCGGGAGATTCAGATAGCGGTACGTACCTTTCCTCCTTTCGTGCTCTTCGTCGAATGAGGAGGAGCGTTCGTCTGGGATTCTGCCTTTCCGGTTCGATTCAAACAAATGCCGTAAATATGCTCCGTTACGTTACATATTTTAGGAAGAAAGCTCGGATGTCTGGCATTCTGGCCCAAAAAGGGTGCCCGCTATTTATATCCAAAATGTCTCTTGCCGACCTCCAGCTTTTTGTGTCCTGAAGCAACTTCCTGGCACGCATCTTAACAGAAAGTGAGACTAGTGTTGAATAACTGGTCTACAATCAGAAAGGAATTTGGGAACAAGGTGATTGTTGGAGTCTGCAGCCAGGGGTTTGGGAGGCTCCCAGTGGTGAGAGGTGGCCCTTCCCATTTCAGAGCAACCTGAGTGGCCACAAGAACATCATTGGCTTCGTGGACTCGGTCATCAACCATGTCGGCGGGGGTGTCTACGAGGTCCTCATGCTGATGCACTACTACAAAGGTCTCTGTCGTCCCTCGACGCCTTTCTGTCACCCTTGATCATGGGGGTCCGATTTTGGTCACCGCGAGACCTAATTTGCCTTTCGCTATGCGAGTGAAAATAGCACTCGTGGACGGTTCGTCTGCTAATGCGAGCGAACAATGCTGTTCGTCTGCTACGAAGGTTATTTGCTGATGTAAACAAACCAAGAAAACACCACATCCATCAGCCAACAGACCGTGAAAAAATGTTGATAGTCTGCTATGAACTGAGCACCGCAGCGAAGGGAGGTTGGATGCAGGCTCAAATTGTGATTGTTTGCTTTTTCATGTTGAAAGCCAATGACAGCCCTCGCTTCGTTTGCAAATCCGATGTTATTCTGCGGCCATACATAAGCTAACATCAACCAGTGGATGGAGTAGAAAGGACAAGCACATCAGAGGTCGTGAGACTTCCAATGTGATATGTAAGGTGGCGAGATGTTCTTAACAAGGTATTGGCTCATTGTAACTTTTTGAATGAGTGAAAATTGTCTTATTAGTTGATAATGTGCAAGCTGTGGTGTCATGTCTAGTCAGCAGCTGAAAATGCTGTTGGTCTCACCTTGACCAAAATCAGACTCCAGGTTCCTTGTTTGTGTTTAGATGTTCTTCAGAAGCGCCTTTATCTACCCTGTCCAATGCAGGACCCGAAGCTGTAATGGCAGCACTGTGCAACTTTTCTGTGTGGCAAAAACTGAATATCTTGGAGGGCATAGGGCAGGCAATGCAGAATCGATCGCAAGAAATTGACCTGTGTTCATGTCACCTTCGATTTGCCGAGTTGAGAATGCCCGACTAGTTTTAACACAGAATGTGTTATAAGGCTGGACCAAACCATATCCGGTTTGGTGCCAGCAACGGAAGTCGACATGCCAACGCAGCACGTGTCTTCTCACTAATTGGACACCAGTGCCAGCCGTACCTCTTTTTCGAATGCCGCCATGTTACTTCCGACGAAGGTAAAACATGCGTGTTTAGACATACGTACGGCATCACCCTGCTTTGTGAAACGAGCACACTCCGGGCTTCCCCAGGGAAAGGGTGCAAAAGAAAAGCGATAGAAAGGCAACAGGTTGAGTTATTTACGAGTGTTTGGTTCTCTTTTGCCACGAGCTGATGCCAGGGCTGTGCTCGGTGTCGCCACATTTCAATTGTTTTGTTTTCCGCACGCTCCGTCCACTGCATCTCGCTTTCCAACAGGCTCTGAGAAAGTGGCGTTCACACAAGATGACACCCACAAGTAAGACAACCGCAATGCGCCGACACACTTACCTCGAACGACACAGGGCTACTTTGCGCCATCAAGTGTCTACATGTGTACACAGTTTCACCACACTAACACATCACATTCTGTGTCACCACAGCCTCTGCCACGCTAGTACGGCAAAGGGTTAACTTTTTCTTATTTTGCTTTTGTTGCCACTCTTAAAGCAGGAATGTTTCAGATCCCGTGATAGTTATTGATGACTTTTTGAAAGGATCTCGAGGGAGGCGAGACCCTTTCCAAGAGGGTCTAACCTATCGATCTAAGGGGTGAGCAAAATCCAAGCAACCTCAGAGGTTGCCAGAGGCCCCAGTGTGAGTTCTGGAGAGGTAGTACAATAAGCAGAAAGAAGCGGAAATTTTCAAAATTAGTGTGCGGCGTTGTGCCCCTCGCAGAAGTGTGCTGGGAGTGCAGCCGGACTCTTAGCATTTGATATGCCCTATGAATTGACTCCAGCTTTCCTATCTTGGCCTGCTGCTTATCTTGCACCAGATAGAGGAGATGATAGGCTCCAAATGAGGGGGTGCTACCGAGCAGAGAGGATGAAAAAAAAGCGTCAATTTCTATTCTTCGCACTACTTCCTTGATATGCTCGACATCTAAGAATAGGTTTCGAAAAATGGCTTGGCAGTATCCAGAATGTTTTTTATGGGCTCCAACTAGAATACATCTAATTAAACATTCTACAGTAATGTCTAATTAGACCTAATAGTGGCCCAACGCTCTGCGTGCTCAGTGTAGCTACGCTCGTTGCTTGCTGGGCCAGTTGAGTGTTTGAGTACTGACCCCCTCCGCAACAACAAAGGGGAAAAAATGATTTTTTTTTATGTAGTAAATCAGACTTTTTTAATTTAAATTAGATATATTCCATCTAAATACAATTATTTTTATTTAAATCACTATCTAGAAAATACTGTGATTCTTTACCACTAGATGTATTTTTCAACGTGGCAGATTGATAAATCAATTCATTTAATCACTGCTAACAATGAGGAAGAGAATAATTACTGCGGATGTAAAGTACAGTTTAGGATTACCGTAATGTTTTATTGCTGTATTTCCTGCCATACCAGGACAAAAACAGTTGAAATTTTTGGTTAATTATAAATCTTTATTTTTTTTTACTTTTGACTCGATTGAAGTAGGACATTACTTTTTTTGTGATGAATGAAGTGTGAGGTAAAAATCAAGCTCGCGCTCAGATTTTCTCCAAAGAGTGCTTGTTTTTTCTCATGTTCAGTTCAATATGTCTTTCTCGCTCGGTGATCCTTTCATTTAAATACTAAACAAATACATATAGAAAGCACTGAACGTAAAATAAACGGTAAATATGAAATGTTCTCGAGTTTATTTCTGAAGGAAAGGTTCGATTTAAATCATCATATTAAAACTGGTCTGATTTAGATCATGATTTAAAATACCAATCGTACTGATCTTTATTCGCCACCCTGTGCAAAAAACAGTTTGTAGACTCTCATCTGATGTGTGTTTCTTTTACGATGCTCCTGTCACGCTGGTCGTGCAAAAACTCTCCGCAGACATATATGAAGCGTATGGTGCGTGTCAGGCACATAGCCAGGGGGGGGAACATGGGGCCCGGGCCCCCCCGAAATCTTCCATTTTGCTGGGACCTCCTCTCCCCCCCTACAGCATTTTGTCATGGGCGGGCCCCCCCAAAACAAAATCCTGGCTACGTGCCTGGTGCGTGTAGGACGTACGAGCAGCGTGGCTTAAAGTTGGCGTCTCTGGCAGGGCACGTGCTGCAGTTGATGAACGACAAGCTGCACACAGGATTCTCGGAGGCAGAGGTGCTCAAGATCTTCTGCGACGTCTGCGAGGCAGTGTCGCGCCTGCACCACTGTCAGACGCCCATCGTGCACAGGGACCTCAAGGTGGGCTCCCAGTTTATTTGTCTGTTTCGGGACCAGAGACATTACAGAAGGGGGCAAGTTACGCGAGTAAAGCATAGTAAACAAAAAAATAGTAGTTGGGGCTCTTCACAAAAAAAAAAGTTTGCAACTGCTGCCCGAAAATGTTCCGGCTGCAGTGAGCCTTTTATCAATATCTGTAATCTTATTTTCAATTGATTCCCAACTTTTTATTATCATTTATGGTACCGATTAAGCCTGACTAATCCTTGTCTATTTTTGCGGTAGGGTTAACAGCTTGCAACGTTTCAGACATTTTGTTGAACTGTTCTTTTTAATGCCTCGGTCGTTGGTCCAGGCTTTTGGGACCATGTATAAGAAAGACCTGGATATACCTTAATGTTTTTTAAGAGGAAAATTACTCAGCCAAGAACATCAAAGCGGTGACCGCACGAAGATATCGCATTCCTGGGCGTAAAAACAACGCACGTTTTAGTAACTTACATTAATTTCTTTCTTTTTTTTTGGGGGGGTAACCACACGTACGATTTGAACGAGCCGCATCGCGACGCTGTTCCTACGCCCGAACGTCAAAGCGCTGACCGCACGAAGATAACGCACTCCTGGGCATAAAAACAACAATAACACGTTTTAGTTACTTACATTAATTTTTTTGGGGGGGGGGGGGGGGTTAACCAAATGTACGGTTTGAACGAGCTGCATCGCGACGCTGTTCCTTTGCCCACTGAAAGCTTCAGGCTCGCTCCAGCCGTCTGACGACTAGGGAACACGTGCTCGTGCGGACTTGGGGTCCCGCTCGTGGCGATTGGCCCTCGCCAGCTCGTTTGTGCCCTCGTTTTTCTCAGATTGGCTCCTCTTGTTCTGTGTCCCAGGTGGAGAATATCCTCATCAGCGATTCTGGGAACTATGTGCTGTGCGACTTCGGGAGCGCCACAGCCAAGAACCTGAATCCACAGGCCCAAGGGGTGGCGGCTGTCGAAGAGGAAATTCTCAAGTGAGGCCGCACGCCACCTCAAGTTCTCCGGGTGCTGTGGTTGTGGGCTTGTTTAAGAGATGCTGAGGCTGTTTTCGGAGATTCATTATAAGGTCATGGCAAGTAGGAGAGGTGTCTCGGGGACTACTTCTAAAGGGCGTAGGATCAGACGGCACTCAGTTGTTTCGGACGGGAGGGTAACCTCTCAGTCAGCCTCATTAGTAGTTTATTTACAGGGGCGTGAATAACAGTGAGGTGACACCCTGTAGTGCATCAGTATGGTGAATGTATGTCAGTAGAGTGAATTGGTAAATAGAGCTATTGCTAAATTACCCGAGCATCAAGGAGGATGCAGGGAATGGTGTTCCACGTGCCGCGCGTGCTGGCGTCTGCAGTAGTAACTATTCTAAAGCAAAAGCCTAAAATAAATGGCATCTTGCATGCACGTTCGTCATCGCTTTATTTTGGTTATTTACTTTGAATCCTTTATACGGGGAAGGCGTGCACGTGTGGTGTGTGGAACACCATTCCCTGCATTCTTGTTTATGCTTCGGTAATTTAGCAATAGGTCTATTAGGTTAGCCTTGAACACTGCTACAATATTGACCATGTTCTAATGGACAATATCAGTCTTGCAAATGTTTCTTATGTTTATTTTTACTCTGTGAATATTTTTTTTTTTTTTTTCATTTTTGGTGCTTTTGGATTTTTCACTTAATCTTCATAATAATGTATTAGTGATTGCCTCCAGACCATTCATTTCACGCGAGAAATTAAAGGGGCGCTGCAACAATTTTTGTACTTTGCGCAAATACCGCTTGAAACGGATCCCTGACGTTAATGAACTATGAAACACTCGTTCGTTTTTCACCCCACGCAATAGAAGTTTGAGAAAAAAAAATTAAAGAAAAACGAGCACCGTTCACCCCCTCAACTTGCAGTCAGTACAAGCGGTCACGTGATCTGGAGCCGATTATATGCCGCCAATATTGATCATAGCCACATGCTGGGGTTGGCAAAGCACAGGGCATGCGCTGAGTTCTAGACATTGTTATGGCTCGGCTATTGTCGTCGTTGCAGCGATTGGACATGGGCCACTACCCGAATGCATGTTGAGGCATCGATTGTCACGAGCCCAGATCGAATGCGGACGCAGTCTTCGCGTCCACTGTGTGAGCAGCATTTGAATATCGTCACAGCTGGGATCGCAAAGCTCGATGACGCATTCCCGGGGATCGTACTGTTGCCATTGTTCCCACAGCTCCATCATCAAATTTCGCGAAGGGGCAAAAGGCGGCTTTAAAAGGAGAGACTGAAAGAAAAGCTCCGCTTTCATCCTTTGAATTCCGCCGCGACGAAGACGCCTCTTGGTCAGTGGTGTTGCATTTGAGTATTCTTGGGTTCCACTAGTGCCAGGAAGCTGGTGTAGAGTAAGAAATATTTCTACCCAATGTCGTTGCACAGCCCCTTTAATTATTTGGTGAGACAAGCTCGCTAACCCAGGTCTGCCTATCTGTGGAGCGAGCAATAAAATAAAATCCTCAAAGAGGAGCCTTTTGCTGTTAAAGAGGTGCGTCGGCGGAAGTTTCTATCAAAGAGAGGGAAAGTGCATCTTTTTGCTGCTCTGAAGCTTCCCGTCAGTTGCGTAGGAGACGAAAAGGACAACTTTGTTGCAGGTACACCACGCTGGCTTACCGTGCTCCCGAGATGGTGGAATTGTACAGCGGGAAACTCATCACCACCAAGGCAGACATTTGGGTGAGCTTGGAAAGCTGATTTGCAACGGGCGGTGGGCCATGTGCGAGGGCCATAGCTGCCTTCGAACCTTCTGGTCCACAGCCAGCTGCCTTTTTTTTTGCAATATCTGTACCATAAGCAGTGATTCCACCCCGCCAAATGCGGCATTTTGTGCCAGACGGAATTTAATAAACCACCCTGATAAAAATCTGCCATATTGCGCCAAATTGTGTGGCTGGTTGAATTAGGCAGCGACTTGCGCCACCTAGCCATGGCAAAGTGAACGACACCTATAGTCGGTGGCAGTTCAAGAGTGAAGTGGAAGCTTCTCCCACCCCTTTCCACTTCAGCGGAGCGAACGGTAGAGAGGAGGTCGCCTCCTCCAGCATTCACTCCACTAAAGTGGAAACGGGTGGGAGGAGCTTCTACTTTGTCCTCGACCTGTCTCCGACTATAGTGGCTGTGTTGTCAACCGGGGCAGGTGCTTCTTTTCGAGGCAAATGCGAACCTTTCCAAGTACATGACTAAGCTGGCAGGCATCGAAGAAAAGCTGCAGAAGCTTTAAGGGCGGGCCTTCAATAGGTTCTTTGTGTTCAAAATAAAAAATGCAGAGTAAGTTGCATCAACAGTTGTGTTAACCTTTTTGTATGGAGGATCTGTTTAGTAATCCCTCACATTAGATTTCTATAAAAGATAAGTTCTATGTAGTTAAGGGCACAGGGTAAGGTAAAATTGAAAAAAAAATCGATTTTAGTTTTTTTCGCAATTTGAAAAGTTTAGTTCTTTCTGCACATTTTCCATTGTCCCAGTGTTTTTAGAAAGCTATATTTCGGGCTGAAAATCACTTCTTCCGAAAGCAAGTAGCAGGTGACCACGCCTCCTTTTGGGATACACTCCCTGTTTATCGATGAATTCTCCAACAAAACAAAATCAACGCAAGACCTAAAAGCTTGTCCAGTAACAGATAATCTCAAAAAATTATTTCGCAACTATTGCATAGCTTTTTTTCAACCAAGACAATCACGAGACGCGGTACACGTTTTTCCCAGGTGTGTACCGTGTGTACATTCAAGCGTTTGTGTTTTCGTAACGACAAAATGGCGCCATTGCATGCTGTTTCTTTATTTAATGGTGGCAGCATTGCACAAGCCAATGTTTTGAAGTTTTGTGGATGGAACCCTGTGTGGAAAGCCATCAAGTGGCTGAGGGAAGTTGACGTCACTCTAATATACTTTACGGACCAAGCGACATGGCAGGTCACAAAAGAGGCCCGGCAAGCAAGGCGATAAGCCTAAAGGCGAAGACATGACTTTAGCAATGCCTTTCAAGCTGGCGGCTATTGAAAAAATGACTCTGAGGCTGTTGGTGCCAATAGAAATTCGTTATTCACCAGTTTTTTTACTTTAAACTCAATTATCTCAAAATAGTGTTTTTTAGTACATAGGTACCATTTTTTCCTTAACCTGACATTATAGAAGGTTGATTTTTTATTTCTACCACATACATGGCTGTTCAAAAATACTGAACTAAAATTAAAAATGTGCAGCTAGCAGTTTTTGAGTTACAAGGCTTTTAATAGATGAAAAAAACTAAAATTTCAGTACTAGAATATAAAAATATAAAAAGAAAACTTATTTTAGATTGGTTCAAATAATTCTAGTTCAGTGGATAAAACACAATATTTCGAACAAAATGATATATACATGACAGGAATACTCCTAATAGTCACCGAGAAAAATGTTCCTCAACATGGCCTCAAATGCATGGGGAGTATAGGACTTACCCTGTGCCCTTAAGCCTGTGGTGACTAACATGACAAAGTGGTGCTCAAAGTGGCTCTAAATTTCACGTATGTGCACTCCAAAGTGCTCCAAAAGCCATTTTTAGCTGCTCCAAAGTGCTCCGAAATTCCTCTCTAGGTGCTGCAAAAATTGCGTAAAATCACAATTTGCCAGTAGCATCACTGCATAAGGGACTTTCGCGAGCGCAGCAAACAGGATGTCGCAATTGATTGGGGGAAAACTTTCAAGGTGAGAAGTGCACTCCATGCTTCTCGAAGTTAACAAACTTAATACGGCGCTGTCAACTACGACTGCGAAGGTTTCAAGAAAAGAAGACTATGCCGTGCACAGCAGTGGTATGAACTGGGCGACGTGGCATTCTTTCGAGTGAAACGTGCCTCGTCGCTTGCACAAGTGGTGGTCGCTTATAACAGATGGGGTGCAGTATCGAGGGGCCTTAATTTTGAGGCCCCCCTTTAATGAGAGCGGCGCCCAAAACAGCCTGTTGACGGAGCCCACTTTGTTGCAGGCCCTGGGCTGTCTGCTGTACAAGTTGTGCTTCTTCAGCTTGCCCTTTGGCGAGAGCGTCCTGGCCATCCAGAACGGAAACTTCACTATCCCCGACAACTCTAGGTATTCCAAGCAGCTGCATTCCCTGATACGTGAGTACCCCCTCCCCTCGCCCGGGGGCGGCCATGTAGTTTGTAGCAGGGTGTCGAACCGGAACCGAACCGAACCGAAAACCGGAACAGAACCGTTATTTTTAGCCGAACCGGAACTGAACCGAACCGAAATCTTCGCCGCCATCTTGGAACTGAACCGGAACCGAACCGAAAAAAAATATAACGGTAACCGGTTCAAAACGGTTCAAGGTAAAATTTTTTTTCTTCTTTGCTAGTATCACAAAATGAACATATGGGAATGAACAATTGGCGGCTGTATTTCTATCTGTTGATCAAATCGTCATATACATAATTGAAACGTATGATAGATTGTGGGTTTTCATGGCACCTTTGTTGGCACTATGATTAACCATGTGTCAAGTTGTCACGTGACGTCATGGTGTCAATACATGTTGTCAAGTAATGTCACGTGGCCTCGTGACGTCACGTAACTCACTGCGTTAAATCGATTTCATTTGAGGAAGTCACTAGATGTATTAACCTTGTTGACAGCATGACGTAACATGACATCACGATTTCGCACCAAGAGTCACGTGACACCGTGACGTAAGCGATTTTCATAACCCCTAGTCGAGTGCTCATGTTCATGACAATCAGCATGGCCAAACATTCAGGTAACGGCTCATGTCAATTAGATATGATAATCAATAGCCCAACTCTAACAATATTTGAAGCTCAGCCCAAGCTTTTGCTTTGCAAACCCTTGCAGCCTAGGGCATGAATGCGATGAACACTGGCGGTATATAATTAGGGTCAGATCACGTGGCCGCTTGTTCAAATTGCGAGTTGAGGAGATATCGACAGCTGTCTCTGTCCTTTATTTTTTCTGCATCTGTTATTAGGGGAAAACTAATGGATGTTTCCGCAACCAACGTCACGGGTTATTTCTTAACACTATTTATTGAAAGTACAAAAAGAAATGTTGCATGACCAATTTTACATTATTGAAGCATTGAAACATTTTTTCATTTTTGCTGAAGTATATCCGAAAGATGTCCCTGAGAATAGAAGTTTTGAAATGACTAAATGCGACCTACTAATATGACGTTACATAGAACTACACATGTGTACGGAAGGGATACCTAAAAAAATAAGATATTTTAGTGACGTGAGAGGAACAGCCGAACGTTGGCAATCGCTGTAAGTCTCACACGAGCGTCGTTCTCAAGTTATTGCCCAAATTTCGACCCCTCTGTATTTTGTTTAAATGAGCTAAAACATATTTCTATACATTACTAAATACTACTCAGGATCAGTCCCTAACGTTAATAACTGATTGAACATGACCCCTTTAAACTTCACGGGGTGCAAAATAAAAGCAATGAAAGGTTGCGGTTAACAAGTGTCAAATAAAATTGTCGAATTAACAGACACAAACAAAGGAGGCAATTCCTCAGGAATACTTTCAGCCTTTCCACTCTGGTGAAGAAGGAAGGCCAGAGATGCTGTACTATGGTGGGAATGAAGTAATGGCCGGCCGCAAGTCGGCAAGCCAGACTGGAAAGGCTGGAGAAGTTGCCGCCATTTATGAGCGACGGTGGCAACCAAACAACTGGCAAGCCGGCTGTCTGGTTGCCGTCACCATTTATAGATGGCGGTAACGCATGACTAGCCCTTAACAGCACCGCTGTATAAAGAAGTGCGTCTGTGTGTGGGGCCGGGGGGGGGGGGGGGGGGGGGATAGTTTTAGAAACATACTGTGTTGTAAAGGTTCCTCTTCCCTGCATCTTTGGCGCAGACCAAAAAGCGTGACCCCGGAAACTACTTTGATTGGAAAAGCGCTCTTGCCAAAAAGCACGATTTTGTCGTGCCAGACGTTGGCACCGTTCCTCATGACGATGCACTAAGAATAATAATACTAGCCTTTCAAATACTTTGCTTTCACTGAGCTTGCACCTCCTGCAGCGTGCCTTTTGCACCGTCGATTTGGACTTTCTCAGCAAGAAGGAATCGGAATGACCACCAGCCTATAGTGTGATAACGTCACGTGCATACCACGCTAAATAGTTCAGCTTTCTGGTGAAATATGATGTTCGCAACACTAGCCATAGATGTCCTAATTGTAAATTTGTGAAGTATTTATAGCAGTCTCGCGATGAGATATGGCAGCCTAGAGAAATGTTAGAACGCATGACTATTCTAGCATAGTGCTGTAAAGTGGAGGTTCAAAACAAGTGCAGGTAAAACCGAATATAACATTTGCCTCCCGAGGCAGTATTTCGGAAGTTTCGAGCTTATGCAAGCTGATGAAATGTAATGTACTAAGATTTCAAGGATCTTTGTCTGTCCTTCGCACTATTTATGTAAAATCATGAATATCATTGCGTGCATCTTTACGCATCTCTTTTTGCAGTAAGGCAAAAAGAGATGCGTAAAGATGCACGCATCTCTCTCTTTTTGAACATTTCGTGTATTTGAGTTCCAATTCATCATGTGAGCATAGAGTCCTTTTTAGCGTACCCTGCAACCCGATGTTTCACACTGCCAATCAGCAAGCAGAAAAACACTTTTACGTAGACTCCACAGCTCGCGTAGTTTCGAGTATCGTCCTTCCAAGTCGGTCTCAAGCGGTTATGTGAACTTTATAAAGTAAAATTTTTTATCAATATAAAATATATTTAATTACTAATTGAATATTTGACAACATAAATAGAGGGCCGACCACTCTAAAGCAATGCCCCCCAAATTATTTGAAAGCGGTTCTGCCAATCTTTTTCGGCGTTTTTATCCTCTGCAGGCATGTTGTAAGTGACATGGGACGGCCTTACATACATTTCTGATTTTGAAGCTAATTTAAATAACTATGTGTTCCTCACACATATAACTTCTCAAACATATAGAAGTCTGTTATTGCCTTTTTTATCTGGTGAACATTAGTTTTATGTGTATGTGGGCTGGACGAAAAGAAAGTAAACAGGGGCGCGCGGTAGAACTATGATGATTACACACGCAAACCGTCAGAAAGTGTCCAATTAAGTAGCTGCCTTGTCGAGTAGAACGTGAAATACTACTTCGTCTTACTAAACAAAAAAGAATTTTGAAGGACGCTTAAGCTTCGCCTTTAAAAGTGGAACGCTATCGCGTCAACGGGCCTCGTTTGCATCGCATTCTCATTTGCCGCGCAAGCGTGCCTCGCGTGGCCTAGTGAAAAGCGTCTGACTCGCAACTAAAGGGTTGTGGGTTCGAATCCTGCCTAAAATTTTAAATTTTTTCTTTAAGGCAAAGGAATTACTTTCAAAAGTGAAATCATTTGAAACATACGGTGACCTTTATTTCGCATTACATATCATGTTTTAATCACCCTCATTCCACGCGTGATGTCACGTTTCACGTAAGCATTGTGGGTTGTTTGAAATTCTTGCGCTAGGGTATGTAGCTCTGACGTCATGAACCTATCGACCAATCAGGATTTTCCAGTCACGCCACCGACATCGGTTTTTCTGCGGCATGAGCTCGTTAACGCTATCGTGTTAAAATCATCAATTAGCAAAGTTGATGCTCATTTGCAAATTAAATTGTCCGGCATCTTGTCAACAACAAACCTCAACAGCCAGGCTATGCCAGCTTATTCTCTATAAGAAAATGTTCAGTTGGGCCAGCGCTATTTTGGGCCAGATTCGATCTGAGTGCGAAGGTGCGTATATATTAGAGTGAACAATTGCAATTACTCCTTGCTCCATGATTAGTCGCATGCGTGCGGTGCTGGGTGTAAACAATGTTTAGTTAGAACAACAGGCATTTGGATTGCCGCTCGGTGTTTCTATAAAAGATAGACTGAAAGGAGTTATCCTAAAACTTTGTTACATTTCGAAAATTTCATTGCTTTTAGCTCACTTGGGTTGTCATCATATATATATATATACATATATATATTGTGAAGTGTATTTCGTAAACCTTATTTCATGATATACGGCCACGAGGTGCATGCTCATTTCATATTTTTATGTGATGTAATTAATTCCTTAGTTCAATGACACGATTTCACTTTTAATACTGACACACAAAGTTGTACCAATCACGGGTATTTTAGACGACCTACCACACTTCGCGACAACATTTCATACCGTGTAAATAGATCAGCTTGAACTTTAGAATTTTACTTTAACACAAGAAAGAACAAGAAAATACAGTATAGTTCTAAATTAGAAGCTGATCTATTTACAGGTATGTACCAACAAGCTCAACTCTTTACTCTTGTACTTAAACATTTTGATTCAGGCAAAATATATTTTACTCGTAAACAAATAGATATTGAGTCGTATGAACACGACGTTATGTATGTTAATGTAGATTTTCTTCTACTCTTGCGTCAAAATTAAATAACTAAATTTAATATTTTTGGTACCTAAGAACAAAAGTAAATTGCACGGACGATCGAAGAAACTATTTAATTAATCGTTTCACAACGGAAATAGTGTATATTGCCAAAAGAACGCGGAAAATATATTCTCAATTTAGTGGTTCAAACCGGTTCGAACAGGTTTGAACCGGTTTGAATCGTTATTTTTGGCTCCCCGGAACTGAACCGGAACCGAACCGAAAGCCGTGAACCCGAACCGGAACCGAACCGATAAAAATTTTGGTTCGACACCCTGGTTTGTAGAAGTGTGCCTGCCTGGCAGTGAACTAGACTGAGTTGGGAGGGCGGTCTCTGGTGGGACGTCGCCTGCTGTTACCCCGTTTTAATGCGATAGCATTATCAAACTACTACTCCAGATTTTTAGCTATGTATATTCTGGCCTCCTAATGTGCATTAGGCCATTTCAGCTCACCGTTCTTGCACCCCATTGCGTCGTACATATGCGGAACGGCAGTACGCACTCCTTCACATTTGCGTCCTCTTCGAAGGACCTGACGACCTTGAGGTCGTCCCTAGAGGTTGTCCTAGACATTGCCCTCTAAAATAATGTCCTTGAAGTCGCCTAGAGGTCGTTCTCTAGGACAATGTTAAGAACAACGTCTAGGACGACCTCAAAGACGACCTCTGGGGTGATCTTAATGACAAGAATTGAGTGTTGTCCTAGAGGACGACGTTAAATTTAGCGGAAAAATTGACGTCACGACCAATGCACCAACTAATTTTTTGCGCTAAATTTGGCGGTGTGGAACGATAAATGCTATCGCATTCATAGATAATCACCCGTGTGGTTTCTACAAATTAGCTGCCCTGTAATTTTTTTTTTTTTTTAGCTCTACGGTGGGGGAAAAGGTAACAAGGAGCTATACTTTATTTTGCCTTACAATGTACCACAACGCATGCTACGAGTCATCTTAGCCAATCCGACGCACCATGGGAGGTCACGTGACACGCTCCGAGCTGTTGATTGGCTCCGGTGGCTCGTAGTGTTTGTTTGCTGCGGTACATCATCGGGTGAAACAAAGCAATACTAATCTGGGCGGGCTTGCGTAGAATCAACAGACAACATCTTTGCTAACTGGAACCAGTCTTAGCACGATTTTGAGGACGAGTTGTTTCAAGCGGGCTTGTTCCGGGCCTACCTCGAATGCATGCACCTCAAGCTTGGTACAAGGTAATCTGTTCAATTTACCATTGTGTACCTATGGACAAAGATTGAGTTCAATAGTGCCCTTGTTTAGAATAATATGCCTAGCAGCGAGAAAGCCAAGTGACGTTTTGGTATCTTTAAACATGCTTTTTTTTGAGTTGCAAAAATAAAAGTTAAGATCAGATACTTGTCATTCTGTGTTTCAGATTAGTAAGATGTAGACTTCTCTATTGTTAGTATTTCGTGATGTTATTTTTTTATGTTGTGCCCATTGCCTGTTGCATTCAGGTATCTTTTGTTATTGGAGCCCTAACTAGCCTTTGGCTATGGGTCCAAACACTGATTGTATATTATTGCGACATCTTTTTAAATAAAATGAAAAAACAAAAAGTTACAGTAAGTGCAATATGACGGTTCTACTGCCATTCGAAATATTTATGCGGCAGACATGCCAGCGTAGGAAGCTTTCTATTTGCAAATCAATGTGTCACAATTTGAAAATGCTTTTCGAGTTTTAGTAGTGTGACTAAGAAATAAAGGTGTGTTTAACGCCGAGGACCACGCATATTTGGAGTGGTGTTCGCACAGTGTTGTATTGAAGTGCACACATGTGTACCTCAACTTGGTTTGTGTGTATATTGTTGTTGGCTTCTTCGAAGCTTCGTAACGTTATCAAGCCGGGTTGTGCTTTAGGGAAAGTGGGATTTTTTTGTGCAGTTTTTTGTTTTTGCTTTTTCTGCCTACCTTTTTACATGTGCGCTTTGGTCACATTTTGGATTTATAATTGATTCCATTTAATAAAAAATGTGGCTATGGAGATGTTTGAGATGTGATTCGTGTTACATGACATTTCTCCTTCCCCCAGGGTTCATGTTGGAAGTCCAGCCTGAGAAGAGGCCGGACATCTTCCAGGTGTCCTACGTGGCTTTCACCCTGGCCGGCAAAGAGTGTCCTGTTCAGAACCTCCACGTAAGTACCGGCTTTCTCAGTGCCTCCTTCTGATTCGTCTCGCGAAAAAAGACGTCAAACGTCGATCCCGTGAAACGTTCCTTTGAAACCATGATTGGTCGCAGAACCTCCGAGGCCGCCTCGTGGAAGTGATGGCACCATTGAGAACCTGCGCAAACGTTTTTGGCCGTTTTTGGTACTGATAAAAATAGTTTCAGGTCACGCTCCCTCCGAGAACACTGGTTATCTATAAAAAAACGAACTAATTTCTATGTGCAAGAATTTTGTTCCTATGTTAGTTATCACCCCAAGGGTGGATTGTACATGGTTTTCCCAAAGAATGAAATGTGTTATCTAAAAAAAAAAAAATTTTTAAAAAGATTTTTTGGAAGGGCCAAATATTCTAATGATGATCATGACTGGCAGTTGTACAACGATTGTGTGTGTTTGTGGAAGTATGAAATTAAGAAAAGCAAAGAAACGTTTTTTTAATCACGATTTGTCGAGCTTATTTAAAACTAATCCCCAGAATTTTCGGCAGGTCGTTATTCCTAAAGAAAGAAGCACACTTCCTCCGATACAAGAAGGCAACGTAAGACTTTATGCTTCTAAATGAGCTCCAACACTTTATGCTTTTTTTTTTTTTTTTTTGAAGTGTTTACACATGAGCTTCCTTTGTTAGAGCGGCATACTGTTTACACCACGCCCGTGAATATGCAAATGGACAATATAATTAGAACTGTTGACGGGGTTTTCAGTGCCATTGATGGTTTGCAGGTAAAATCAAGCCTGGGGTCTGACGGGCAGTGTTCAAAGCTGCCCAAATTAACGGGAAATGTATCGGGTGTTTGGCTTACCAGCTTATTCCAGCAGTCCCTTGATACCGGCTGCATCCCGGGGGCATGGAAATTGGCAGATTTAATTCCTCTGCAAAAGTCTTGTAAACGTGAGAGTGTGTCAAATTAAAGTCCTATTTCACTCGTGTCCGCCCCTTGTAAACTTCTAGAGCATATAATCTATTAACCTGTAATGAAACACTTCGCTTCTAATAATATACTTGTTCCTAACCAGCATGGTCTTCAACGAGAACTTTCATGTGAATCTCAACTTGTTGAACTGGTAACCGATTTACGCATCTCATCCTCTCAAACTGACGCAGCTTTTATAAATTTTTTAAAAGTGTTGGATTGGGTCCCTCACAGTCGCCTTACAAAAAATAAGTGTCTTAAAATTAATGAAGCTGCTTGGATTTAAGAGATTTTGAACAATAGAAATCAATTGGTTGTCGTAAGTGACATTAATGTGTGTTAAATTGGGACTTCCCCTAGATTCTGTTCTTAGCCCAGTTTTATTTATATTATATATAAACAACCTTCCAAATGACCTTTCATAAAAAAATCTGCCTATTCACCGACGACTGTGAGGTTTGCCGCCATATAATATCAGATCATGCTGACTGTCCTGCTCTTCAAAGAGACTTGGACAGCCCACTTTCATGGTGTGATGCATGGCGGATGCAAATAAATGTGGAAAAAGCGAAAACTAGGACATGCGCTAACTCTCTTTCAATGTTTCATTACAACTAGAAAAATATAGACTCCAATTTAGAAAAAGCTAGTTCATATAAATACTTAGGCATTTCCTTAACTCCTAATCTATCGTGGAATACCCATATAAAATATGTTAGTAAGAGCGCAAACCAAACATTAGGATTTTTGAGAAGACATCTATGCTTGGCAACGGCGGAAACTGAGCTACTTGCGTTCGCCACTTTCATTAGGCCAAAGTTGGAATATGCATCTGTAATTTGGAACCCTGATCCAAATTCCGAGCACACCTAAGCACTTCTGATGAGCTGTGAATGCGAAAGCATGAATGTTGTTCTTCTGCTCCCTTAGTTCGTCTACAGTCTACTGGCGTGGACGGCAACGTTTCGCTATTGCCAAGGTCGCGGCCTCCGACGATATAGATGCCTCAGGTGCCGACATGTTCCTTGATGCCGAGGAACATGTCGGCACATGCCGAGGGGAACAGAAGCGGTCGCAACCCCATTGCCCTGCGGCAACGCGAGCGGCGTCCGAGCACGTGCTCTCGTGAAGCGGCCGCCAATGGCTACCTAGGGGCCGTTTTGCTCAGCCAATGGGAGAATGGGCATTTTTTTTGCAGTTAGAGACACCGCCAACTTCACTCCATGGGATAGTTAATGCTTTCGCATTAAAAATACTTAATCAACAGTGTTGAATCAATAAGAAACAGGGCAACTCGGTTCATACTAAAATTATACTCGCCGGTAGGTGTCGCACAGCGTAAAGATTCCATCGGTTTATTGCTGCGCTATTGTACGAGGTACCTCACGAGGGTGTTCCATTTCCATAAAATTTATTTATAGCACATCCGAATTTTGTCAAGCTAACATCCTACCGCCCACGCTCATTTTCCCTCGTCATAATCACCCTAACAAAGTTTGCATTTTTTTGCCAAGACTAGTTTGCTCAGATTTTTCCCCATTCATCCTGGTCGCAACTGACTGGAATGAACTGACGAGTGAAATAGCTCTCACGAGGGACCACGACATCTTTATGTCACTGCTGCGCGATTCTTAACGACTCACCACTTGTAAACATGTCTATCGCCTGCTTAGAAGCAGCACTTGTGGTTTTTTTTGTTTGTTTTTTCTGCACGTGTAATTGCGACCATTTTTTGTGGATTTGTCATCTATATCTGTATTGGTGTCATTCAATTTATTTTTTATTTTTCATAAAGGTAGTATTTGTACAATTATGCATATGTGTTGTGATACCCCGCTCTATGTAATGCCCCATCGAGCCTTTAGAGATAAATAAAATAAATAAACTCGCAGTTCCCAGACAGAGTTGAACGTTCGAGGGATGTTTCCGCATGCGACGCATCTGCAGATTTTGAAACCTTAATTTTATGATATTTCAAGATGTCGTTTCTATGATGTCGAAACACTTGCCGTTGGCTTTGCAATTCACTTTTAAAAAGCGCGACGCGCCACGTTCCAGAGGGACAGGCATTGGGAGCATAGACAACGGTTTTGCATCTCTGCGCTTTGGACAGGAAGGCGTGTACCACGTGGATGCCTCGGCCAAAGCCCCTCGATAAAATTCACGCTTCGCGCCTCTTACAAGTAGCAACAACCATTGTTGCGCGATTGCGCGAGACGTGCCAAGAGTGATTGCTCCTCCAGCATTTGCTTCCAAGGGTCGTTCATTTCGGTGCATCGCTGCCATTTGCTTCCGAGGGCCAGGCGATGCACGGACCTCGTGCATTGGCGCATTTGACACTGCATGTAAGACAAACACAAACGCATCAAGGTGCCTCAGCGCCCTGACGCCAGCTTCTTTGCAGAACTCGCCAGTACCCAACATCGAGCAGCTGCCGGTGCCGCAGTGGGATGCCGAGAGCAGGCTGGCGTCCTCCAAGCCCCAGCGGTGAGTGTGCCTAGCCGGAAGGCTCTTCCCTGTGCCTCCTCGCCACGGTCCTTCGGAAAGAATGACGCGCCGTACCGCAGAGACTGTCCGACGAAGCCAAGGATTGCCTAGCGTGCTCGGATGGGATTCGGGTGTCGTCTGCTCCTTTCGCCTCTTTAACGACGCTTCGACAGGAGTCCTTTTCAACTCACAAAGTTTGCAGCAAACTCGATCTTGGGATTGCTGTCCCGCAGAGTCTAACAATCCGTGCCCGTACATGCCTTAGCTTCGGCAAGCGCTTGTTACCTCTCGTGCCTGACGTTTTAGGCGCGCAAGGTGTTCACATGGAGCTGACAAACAGAAAGGCGTCGTACCAATTCGTTTTCTTTCTAACTGCGTATTATGTCTCGTATATACCGTAAAATACCAAAGGAGCGCCCCCCCCCCCCCCCCCCCCCCCCCGCCCCTCTCACTGAAAACTGGATTAACCTAGGCACGGGTGCTTGCCCGGTGAGATTGTGCGTTTAACTTATGATTTGCAGAATTCCCAAGTTTGGGAAACGTTAGTGGTGGGCGCTTGGAACGAAGTGGGCGTTTCCGCGGTATTTTACGGTTACTCGTTAATTCCTCTTGAAATATTTTGTTACTTTTTTCTGCCCACCAAGCTGACAAATGTAGGGGGCAGGAGCCCTGCCAAGCTGCATTATTGCAGCTTTTTTCCCTCTCACCTTACCCTCATTTTGTACTCTAAGTGTAAAAATAAAAATTTAATTAAATGAGTGTGCCAAGTGTTATTGGACCAGGCAGATTATTTCGCTCGCACACCAGTCGCCTAGCTGTGTTTGTCCCTTGTCCCTCTTGTTCTCCTTCTGCAGGGATTGTTATTGAAGGTAGAAAATTTGTGCTGGAAGCGGATCATCTATTGCTAATCTTGCGTTGCAACAGACTATAGTTGTCCGGTTCCACTGGGCTTCCGACGTTGGGCGTCTAGGACGTTTACCCGGTGCCACCGTGCCGGCGGTCGAAGCTGCCGCACGCGGTGGTTGTCAGTGTGCAAGTTTGCTGGGGCACCCCCTTGCAGGAGCCAGCAGGTGCCCGTGTCGGAGGGGACGTCGGTGGCCCCCCGCCAGCGGCCCAAGGGCTCCCAGGCGCCCCCCGGGGTCGGGGGCCTGCCTTTGATGCCCCAGGGGTCCGTGGCTCCGGCCCGGAGGCTGACCCCGACCACCCCGCAGCCCCTCGTGCCGCCGGTCACCCCCAACCCGGGTGAGTCGCCGATCAGAACTTCCCCGTGGCATGCCCGGGTCCTGAAGTCAGTGAAAGGAAGAGAGTTTTTGCTACGTAGAACCTCTGGCCTTGGCTCGGGCACCTGTCTTAGCCATAGAATTAATGTTATACGTATAACGATGGGACCATATTGGTGGTGACGCTCGAAGCAGAAAGGCTTCACTTGCAAAGTCTGTGTCTAGTGTTTTACCAGCTTTATTTTGCACGCAAGTCCCGGGGAACAGATTATGTGATCAGTTCCGTGGTTGGGGAAAATTGTGTTAGGGAAATAAGGCTACACCCGCAGAACAGATCACATGATCGAACATAGGGCAACGTGCTCTACTCCGAGCGTGCATTTAAACGAACAAGCTCCGGGCTTTCAACGTTCTTGCCAAGTGCGCATTGTTTTGGTTTTTTCCACTTTGGCGCGTTTTTTCAATAGAGCAGTTCGCAAGAAAACCGCGGTGTGGCACGACTCCTTCACCTTCTCCGTTCTGCCATGTCTCGTTCCTGGAGTTACGGTGCCAGAGTTATCGCAGCGCCAGAAACGGCGGCGCTGCGATCGCTTCCAGCTAGACGCGATCGCAGCGCTATTCATAACTGTCAAAGTTTGAGACTGAGGGACACAGACGGGGTTCTCCTCGCAGTGGGTGGCAGTGGTTTTGCCGCCCACCAGTCCGGCTGGTTGCCCATCTCTATATTTTGCCTCCGCAAGACAAGACGATGCCGATTTTGAAAATGCACGCCGCCCCAGATTGTTGTGTTTGGCAGACTTGTGTGGCACTATGCCAAAGAACTGCATAATCTCTGAAAGAAATCACTGCTGTGTGGCAGAGAAAGTGCCGAGAAAACTGAAAGTTGCAGCAATCGTCCCCTCCTCCTTCTCCTCCTCCTCCCAACACCCTGGAAATTGTCAGATGTCCATATCGAAAACTTTTAGGGGAGAACACTGGACGCTGAAAAGGGAACATACACATACAGTCTGTTTCTTTTTTGTGTGTCCCTTAGTTTCAGGCATGTATAATTATAAATTCCCCAAGGTTAATAGTCATACTGCACCGGTTTAATTGTTCACCTAAGGCGCCGTGTAACCGAAAGCTCGGTTACACGACGCCTTCTCTGCCAAATTGTGGGCACCTCGGCCGGGATTTGAACCCGCCACCTGGGGATCCGTAGGACGGTGCTTTACCTCGGAGCCACCGAGGCGGCCCCATTATATCTCGAGCAGATTAACATCAGAATGTCTGAACTTCTCTCATCCGATGTGCACCCATTTATTCATCTACTGCTTCTTTAGACACCAGTTGCAATGATTCCAAAACCTAACTGTAGCCTATTGCGAAAATCCTTTAGGCACCTATTGCAACAATTCTTTTCAACATTGCAGAGATGAAGACTTTGCCAGGTAAGTTGACAATCTAAAGCCTAAAAAGCTTCCTTCTTTTTTTCCTTTTGCTGCGGTTGTTTTTAGATGCATAGTAGAACCTCATTGATACATTCTCGGTTGATGTGTTTTCCCCGCTGTTACGTTCCCTAATGCCAGTCGCATTGAGCTCCTATAGCTACATGTGTATTAATAGCCCGTGCTTGCGTTGGAAACCTGTCAACCAACTCACAAAACACAGAAGGATTCGATGGTGGCTTTGCATCAAAACAGTCAAATCCTGATGAGGTCTCACGATCATCACATCGAAGTTGTGCTATGTACTGGCACATGCGCATCTGGCTTCACCACTTTGCACCAGCGTGCTAGGAGCAGCATCCGACGCAGTTGAGCGTCTAGTTTGCTGGGTGGGCACTGAAATATTGTTTTAGCTTATAACATTCCTTGGTTGCACTTATTAGTAGACAAGAACAATAAAGAACAATGCCAAAAAAAAGATTTGAATTTGAATACATATGGTACGGTAGTTCCTCACATCTGCGAAAGTCAACTTGAAATTGATGCAGCAGTTGGCTCCTATTTCATCTGTGACCTCCCAAGAGCATTGTCGGCCATTAGGTTTTCCTGGATCGTACGTTTCCTTACGTCCCGAGCAGCGTATCAATGAAGTTCTATTATAGCATTCTTTAAGATATTTGAAAAGTGTATTACGCATAAAAAAAATTTTTAATTCGCACTTTCCAGCGACATAGCTGCCTTCTCGTGGATTTCGAGCGAACTGCTGTAGTGTCCCAAAGGAATGTTTGCTTATTGTAAAGAGATGGATGCTGAAAAATATGGATTGGGTGACCTTTCGTTCTGCAGCAGCTGCACAAAAATGAGCACTCGGCTGTTACGCACCGCTACCAAATCGTAAGAGACGGTAGCAGGTGCCTATGATGCTTATAGCGGACATAGTGAACTTGCATCCAATGGTGCTGTTTCTTAGCATTAAACGGGCCATGCCACGCAGAAAATAATATCCGAGATAGCTACATTACTAGCACCATCAGTTTTTGCCTCCAGCACATTCTCTTTTCACTGTGAGCGTGGCACAGGAAAAGAATGGCAGGCAGGTCTTTTGATCACCTCGACTGCAAGCTTTCCGTCCTCTATGGCACTCTGTCGTCTCGTTGGCACGCACAGACAAGCACGAATAAAGGCAACGAGCAAATGCCGATTGCTGTCGAAAGAGAATCTCGTCCATCCAGTGACTAGAATGGGATCTTGGTTTAATTTGCTGGAGCAGGCAGGGATCCTTTTTCACCCTATGGATATTTAGCCAGGGTACAGGCTGGACGTTCATTCGGGATTTTGCGGTGCACCAAGGAGCATTCGTGACAGACTTTTTCTCTCCTCGTCTCCAGTGGGCTATCACAGTGGGTGAAAAAAATTAAAGGTAGTCAAATTTCTCGCGCTTCTAGACGTTTGAGTTATGGCATCACCGACACAATGAATGTGTACTCAATTCCGGAATGCATGAAGTTACAAGCAAGGGTGTAACTTTACATTGTTGCATGGTGGGCTTTATTCCTGGGCAGCTATCAGTTTGGTTCGCACGAAACTCCTGACCTGCGAACAAAAAACATTTCTTTTTTTTATATGCAGCACGCCGTCCCAAGCATTGCAACCTTAATTCACTCAAATGGAGAATGGTCAAAGCGATCACAATCTGTAACGCATTGCCTGTATTCCCACTTACAAAACAATGTAAATGAAAAGTGCACTTTGGTTGAAAAACAATGCTCCCCCCTCCCACCCACAGTAATCCCTCGTTATACCGAAATTGTTTTTTTTTTTTTAATTATCGCTTTTATCGAAGTTTGTTGTGGTCCCTATCGAAATGCATGCATTTTTAACTGGATTATTCTAAATGTATTAGCGGCCAACCTCGCTTATTACGGAGATTGCGATGCCGAAAGCTTGCAAGCCTACACGAAGACGCACGGAGACCCTTGCATTTCCTCCGCCTTCTCCACCGAGGCGAACGGAAAATTGGGAAAACGGGGTAAACGGGTGGCGGAGGACAGAGCGCACAGAGCTGGCAGAGTGCCGCTTCTGATGCCAAAGCGCCGACGCAGAAACGCGGGCAGGGAGCAGCGTTAGCAGCGTCAACGTTCTGACGTTACTCACGGCGCCCGCGGCTGACGCTGCCCGACTCCTGTCGCAATCGGGTCAAGGGAGCGATGGAGCCCGGAGGAGATCATCTCTTCAGGATCCCCCGACGCATACCTACGCGGGTGCGCCTCTGGCGTTCCACACGCACGTGTGCATCATATGGTCGATTGGGAATGTTTACCGAAAGTCGCTTAGATCTGCGATGTCGAAAAAAGTGGCTGGCCCAAATCCGAAATCGAAGAATTTGACATTGCGGCATCGGCTGCTGACGCTGTCCACCATTTTGCAGAACAAGCAACACATATTGGACGGGTTCGAGAAGTTTCTCGCGTAGGAGCAAGCGTGCCGCTACCTGAAAATGAAAAATCATCAACTGCTTCGCACATGTCGGATTTTTTGTCGCGAGCATGCTTGCGGAGCCGGCACACGATTTCCATAGCTACAACGATCTCTGCTGGGGTGTGTGACAACATGTTGGCGAAGATAACGAGGACAACTTTGATTCGTTTGCACTTGTCGATGCGGATGTTCCCGTTGTTACTCCTGCCAGGGATGCTGCGATCGTAAACCTTGCGTGCGGCAAGGGTAAACATGAAGCGACGTCGGATAGGCACCTCGGGAAACGCCGACGACTGCGGAGACGCGAGGCATTTTACGGCTGCTTCGAAACAAAGTGGAGTGCGGCGGCGGTTGACTGTTTGTGCGATGCCTGGAGCATTTCGAGGAGAACTGGTGCCCGGATAAAATTATCGGTAAACTCCACTTAATTTTTGTTTTACTCGGTAAAGCTTTTCCAAAATGTTCATGACAAAGGTTTGTTTGTTTAAATGTATGGTCGGAGTGTTCTGCAGTGTTTCCGTGCTCCCTCAGTGCTGCTGGCACTGTTTTTTTGGCTCTATCGCTTTTATTGAATCGCCGCTTATATAAAAAATTTTTTACCGTCCCGTTGGCTTCATTATAACGAGGGATTACTGTATATCCGCTGGAAAGTGCGAACAGTCAGGTGCTGTTATTGCGTTGAAAAGCACAAATGACTGATCATTGCGCTACGAGTGCGACACCCGACAATGGGGGGGGGGGGGGGGGGGAGTCAAGCCTGCGCTCAACTGCTTTCCATTCTTTTTTTGCAGCCTTCTCGGGAGTTGGGCGCCTCCGACGACCCTTCATATACATGTATTTATGACGACAGCTTCGAATAAATGCTGCGTACCACTTCTTGTTTACTTGTCATTAGGTCATATTCGGCCGTAAGTCTACTTTATACGGGAACCCTCTGTGAACCTTGTTTGTTGGTTACACCTAGCAATCAGGGCCACAGGAGAGGCTGTCAGCAACGAAGCACAAATGTTGGTGCGACGTTATAGGTGCTGCACAGAGGGGAGTGGGGTGGTGAGCAGTGCACTAAACCCCGCCCTCCTGCCCTTTTCTGCATAGGAACAGGGGCTGCTTACTAGGGTAAAAACTGCATATTAGTAGGCTAACCTAATAGGCACCGAGGCATTTGACATTCAGATTATGCGCGTGGCAGCATTTTAGAGAAAGTGATGCGAAGCCCCCCGAAGATATATGTGGATGAAAAAGAAGTTATATGTTCGCAGTTCTTTTGCCACGGCATATCGATATGATAAAAAATGCCACCCATTTATGTGCTGACACACTTACGGTGCGTTTGATGGAATCTCTAAGCCGGGCAGCCTTTTAGACCCTCTTATTGTTTTCTTTATAAATTACCTTCCAGGGCTCTATTGTTTCTGATCTAAGCCTTTCGTTTTCTGGCAGGGTCGGCTCTTTTTCCTCTTGTGGGCTGGGCAATGGGTGTTATCTTAGTTTGATCGCCGAGTTCGCACTTTGTGACACAGTTGAGGTGCTTCTTTAGAGTGACCCCGACGACCTAGCAAAAGGATGAGGCATCTCCGGTTTGTGAGACACTGGACGGATCACCGGTGGGCGGAAGCGGGACGTTTAGCCCTCGACCGGTCGGGCAATCACTTGGCGTAGGCCAGAACTCTCCGCCATCTTTCTTGTGCTGTGTTTGTAGCATCCGAGGGAGGAGCTGTGTGTGGAGTGTGTGCTGTTTATAGAATTGTGACACTGGCATGTTAACCAATCTGTAGACAAGGACGCTTGTAGGGGCTTCTAGTAACCAATGTGATAACTCAAAAAAAAAAAAAGGAAAAAGACTGCTTCAAAGGGCAACTCCGCTCAATTCCGAAGATTTAGGGATAATGATTGATTTCGAATTAAAAAGCTCTAGTAAAACACACTACGTCGTTTGCTTCGCGAAAAATGTTATATAGATCTTTAAATCTAATTTTAAACACGAGCGGAAATCGAAACCGAAACTTCGGCTCCGCCCGGCAACATTGGCCTCGGGTCGCCAAGTACATGGCCATCACGTGGTAGGAGATGTCACGTGATCCTCGGTTAACGACGGGCGGGATTGGGGCGGGCGTGTGGCAGGCGCAAGTGTCGTCTGCACCGCACTCTTCGCCACGTTTTGGTGTATACGGCATTCGACGACGTCTGCACAACTGCCGCATAAGTCTGCGTACGTGGTGTCCGTAGTGTGGACGAAACTCCGAGAGACAATAATCACAATCGGTGAGACGACGACGGCGGTTGTGACGCGGAAGACGGCGGTAACGGCGGGACCACGGCGGGCGGCCGGACGGCTCCCAAGGAATGCGCTGCGCAGGCGCGTTACACCAATCACGTGGACACCGCTGAGCGCCGAGAGGCAACATTGCTGACGTCATGCGCTACGCTTGCCCGGAGAAGTGAAAACAAGCAAAAGGGGACCATGATCATGACGTTTAGCTCAATGTTGGCTCCGCCCATGCTGTAGCCTTGACTGCGCTGTTGGTTGCGCCTGAATTCGCCTGCTCAAGTCGGCCGATTTCGGCAACTTGGCGAGATGCAAAGTTTGCCGGACCATTTAAGAAACATTTCGACAGGACTGCATCGTAACATTTCACGTGTGGTCTTCCTAGGCAATACTGAAGAGGACTGCATTGTTTTTTCAAAACCAAAAATGAAGCGGAGTTGCCCTTTAAGGACATTAAGCCGTTCCGAGGGTTTATGCATGTTGTATGGCCGCCGAAAAGTGTAGGTTTGTTTTTTCATGAAACGCAATGCTTCTGAAGCATATTTAAGTTGCTAGCGATTGGGGTGTACACCAAGCCGCACTCGAGTTTCGGATCTCCAAAATGTTATTGAGAGGCCCTCAGTAGCGCGACACCTGTAAAACTAAATTTTGGGCCCTGACACATGCCCCTCTCGCCCAACAGACTACGAGAACCTGCGGAGCCCCGTGGGGAGCGGCGTCCCCTTCCGAAGCCCGGGGGCGCCGGCAGGTGGGGCGCTGCTGCCGCCGCCCCCGCAGGCGTCTGCCTCGGCACCCCCTTCGGCAGTGGTGACACCCAGCCAGCCCGGCTCCAAGATGGCCGCCACGTCCCTCGAGGCCTTCTTCGTGCCCTACTGCAACGTCGAGCCGCCGGGGTTTGCCGGCCTGGCCGGCAACAACGGGGCGGTGCCGGTGGCGCCCTCTCTGGGGATGGCCACCAACGAGACCCCCGTGCCCCTGGTGGCGTCCGGGGGCATTTCGGCCCTTCCGTCGATGCCGCCTGCCAGGTGCGTGAGGGGCATGGGCTCTCGCTTGCCCCGTGTGTTTGGCCCATTTGTGTCTGGAGCTGCGAAGTACGACCGGGCATTTGAGTCTCTGTATAGACGGCTGTCCAAACAGGATACAGCTACTGCCGGCAGAAAACGCGTACACTTGCCTCAAGAAACATGAAAGTTGCGGTGCTCGTGTCCGTTTTCAGTTTGGACGTTACCCCGCAAACAGTGCGGCTTTCTTCCTCGCTGTCACCTCATCCCCTTTTTTGTTTTTGGTGGACTGGGGACGGACAACGACGGCAAAGGTCTTGACAACAGCCTGCAGAGTGCGGGTTGTTGTCCGGATATACGTGATGAGCACGCTCCAAGTTTCTGTCCAAGGACACAAGCGGAAGGAAGCTTTCTCTCCGGCGAAAAGAAATGTGCAAAAGCAGATTGTAATTTGAGGAAAACCTCCACTTATAGTACAGCAAATGCTGTGACTTCAGAAAATGTGTCCTGTTTGAACAGCCCTTAATTGGTTACAGTTTCGTTACCGAAATGCTTAGGTCGACGAGCAGCCAGAAAGAAAGGAACTCTTCCTCAATTCCTCCTTCCATTTGAGAAAGAGGGAGGCCATCCTCCTTTCTGCTGGGAGTAGCCAACATTTCCTAGAAACTAAGGCTGTAGCGCTTTGAGTCGTGACGTCATAACGACCGGAGAAGGTAGGTTACGTCGAGAAAAGGCGGCCACTCTGGTTTTCTTTACCCCAGCCACGTCGTCTGCTTACTCAGGTCGTGTGGTTTGTTTGTGCGCATTTATCTGGCTAAATGAATGTTTTGAAAGCGCAGCCTCGTATAATTTATTATATGTATAATATAAACATAATCTACAACGTGTTACCAAGGTTGAAAGTACCAAATTCATATTTATGATTATCCCGTAACCGTGGGACCACAGCGCAGTCCCGCAGCTCCCCACATTTTTCGAACGAACCGGCTCCGGCAGAGGCGTTTTCTTCCCTCATACGGGCTCCGACCCTAGTAAATTTACGTTGTGTGTGAGCTGCTGATTGTCTGAGAAAGAACGCCGAGACATTTCAGAAGACAAGGGAAGTGAAAAAAATTCAGTCACTGCCGCAGGGAGCGCACACGAGTAAGAGATGGGTCGACAACGTTAAGCTTTTCCTCCCACGCTTTGGCCGCTGCTCTTGTGTGGTTCTTTTGTGTTCTCTTGATACTACGGCATTTACTTGGATTCGCGATCCTGCTACAATGCGAGTGATACATGTGGTCACTAGCCAACGATGACACTGGTCAATCTTCTATAGTCCTCTCTCCCTCAATAGGGAGAAAGAGTTCTTGGAGTTTGTGTTAACATTTTTTCGTGACGAATATTGCGGGACGTATAGATGCGATTCACGCAAGACTCGCTTATTCACGGGCTTTGTTGGTCATGTAGGACGTGAGTAAAGTGCTGCTGTCGGTTGCTTTAATCTTTAATGGAATGGAATTTCGTGCTTCGTCGTAATCCGTGTGCAATTGCGTTGACATTTTTGTAAATATGCCTGGTAACATTTAAGTGTTTACTTTAAAGGGATAGTACAACGAAATTTCGGCGCTCATTTTTTGGTCTATATGTGTTCAGTATCACATGGAACATACCAATATCTTGTTAAAAAAGTCTCGAAAAGGAATTTTAAAACGAATTAAACTATTAGCAAAGAGCACCTGGTGGATGTCGCTAACGCCTCGTTTGTAATGCTCGTCTAGGAACCTTGACAGCTAGTGACGGAGGTTGTCTCCTCTCCGACTACGACGAGAGAAGGGGGGAAGGAGGAACTCCCCTCTTCCCGAGAATCCCTTTTGTGTGTCGCAGAAGTCGCTATTGTCCCCCTAGAAGATTATAGAAGATTAACCCGTCACTCAAAATTCGTACAAAAGCAGTCGCTTTGGTGGCTGGAACGACTAGGCCATCCTCTCGACATCAGCCTCGCCGTAGCTTTGCTCGTCTTGAGACGACCTACGTCACGATTGCGTTGGATGTCACGTGCTCTAAGCTGGGCCTTCTCCGAGCGCTTGCCAGAGTGGGCCGGTTATAACGAAAAATACAGCCACCAGGATCAAAATACAAACGTGCGACTGTCATTTACGGATATTGTGGATCATATTCAACCTATTTTTGAACACGACGGGAATATTTCAAATTTCGTTGAAGTATCCCTTTAATGTGAATAACAATCTTGTGTGCTATTATTATTGAATGTGTGTTGTTCGTGCATATGTGTTTGTTTATGCTTATGTTATTTTATTGCCTTTACATCTTTTATAATAGAATCTTAACTGTATTAAGGTAATAGTATTATTGAATAAAAAATAAATTATATTTTGTTCTTAGGCAGCTTGAGCACATATAGAGAAGTGGATGAGTTGATTGTAAACAGTAAGTTTAGTACCCTTGCCACACGGAAAATTTAATATCTTTTCATTATATGATATGGGATTGAAGCGGCTCGCTATTTTGAGTGACTATACAAGCGTCACAAGCTGATTTGCCGATCCCATAATGTCATTACACTAATTCTACCTGATTTCTACTTTGATCCATTTTGAGCCCAATCACTGTGTGTCTCGCCATTTTGTCGAAGTAATTTTGTATAAAATATGCATTCCTAAAGTAATAATTGCACAACTCAGTGTTTTGGACTTAAAACAATCGCATTTTTCTGTAGACGTCTTACGCGCATATTTCGTGCCATTTCATACCAATTTAACAGTTTAATATTTTTTCCTTGTAATAAAATTTTTATAGCCTAGTTGCTATGTGCAGTTTTCATTTCAGCTAATAAGACACAGTTATGTGACTAAAAATGCTTTGTACCGACGGTCAGTTTACGCGCTTTCCCTCAGGTTCGGCGCTTCACTGTGCGCCCCCAATGGCCTTCCATTGCAACGTCACGAGAAGAGCGCTATGGCCTTAGCTTTTAGGAGGTGCTGGAGTAGCTCAGAGGCCCGCTCTTGTGGGGAGAGGAGGAGAGAAGAGTGCAAGAGGGAATGGAGAAAAAACAAGCGCATCTCCACGTGGTGAATGATTTTGATTGGGGCTATGGCGCACCGTGAATTCACGAGGGCGCCCATCAAACCATTCGGCCAATCTTGGCCGCGACACGATCACATGGTCGTGTTGCCGCGGGGTCGATCGGGATCTCGAATTCGGCTCCCGACGCGCCGCTTTCTCTCCTAGCCACTGGAGGGCGCTGCAGGCGCCCCCGTGGCAGGCGAGGAGAAACCTCCTCGCCCATCGAGATATATACTCGGTGGGGCAGGGGGCGAGAGGCCTCTAAGAACTCCGGACGAGACCGAGACGCAGGCAGGCAAGTGGGTGGCGACCGGATCTAGAATATCGCGGGACGCGAGGCCTAAGGCCTACTTTGTGTTTAGCGTTGGGCTTAACGTGCGGTTGTAAATATTGGTGTAATGTAACTTGTATTTGTATTTTAGATTGAGTGTTTTGTAGCGTTGGGTGTTTTTGTACCAATAAACTGGGAGCGGAATCCCGCTCCCGTGAAAGAACCAGGCTGGACTCGGGTTGTTGACGGACCACGTGGGAAACGGCGAATCGGCGGCGGTACGCGAATTCCTACAAATGGCGCATCAACGTTGGGGCAGGCGAGCCGTAATTACGGTCGCAACGTCCGTCGACGACACTGCGTGAAAGTTCACGCGGGGCGGTCCCCCTGGTTTGCGGGTCTATACCGCGGCACTTTGAAGTTGGAAAAGGCACGTCCAAACAAGTGTTCGGGATGACCGCGGGTAATTTCGCGCTAACAGATTTAATGTTTTTGGCTGACGTCGCGACGACACAAGCGGAAAAAGAGCGACGGCTCTCGGGGTTGGCGGAGGGGAACGCCGCGGAGATGACCGTAGTGCGGAGTCCGGAAACGCCGACGGTATCGCCAGTAGTGTCTATGCCGCAAAGCACGGAGATGTCCCGTGAATCCACGGCGTTGGTTGCGGCGTTCGCTCAGGCCTTACAGAGCATGCAGAGGCAAACGCCACCGCCAAAAACCCTCATCCGCATTCCGGTGCCGGAGTACAGCGGACACAGCGATCGAGCTCTGAGCGCGACCGACTTCTTGCTGGAAATCCAGCGATATCGGAAGGCTACCGGCCTGACGGAGACGGAGACGCTAGGCAGGGTTCTGCCGGTGGCTCTTGTAGGCCCAGCAGCCAGGTGGCATCGCCTTGTGGGCGAGTCAGCCGGAACACTCGACGAGTTCACGGCCCTCTTCCGGCAAGAGTTCTTGCCGGCAGACTACCTGCCAAGAATGCGCAGGGAACTGGAGGAAAGAACGCAGGCTCCCGCTGAGCCCTTTGCTGAGTACCTGCGGGCAATGCAGGAACTCCTGCAGATCGCCGATCCGAATGCTACGAACCAGGAGCAGGTCGAGCGGGTGGTGAGGCAGGCGCATCCCACCTTTTCGCGGTATCTGCGTGGGCGCCCATTCGGAAGTCTGAGTGAGCTCGCACAGGAGGCACGCAAGGTTCAGGCCGACATACTGGCGGAGCGCAGGTACCACCTTCCCCCAGCACCAATCGACACGCTCGAACCCCGATGCGCGTGGCACGGGCCGGTGCCACGTGGGTGTCGACGGGGGGAAGCCGCAATGGCGGCGGCCAGCGGGGAGCCGAGCGGGAATCCCTGGGAGCTCACAGATGACGCCTTGGAGCCAGGATCACGCCGAGGAGGGAGCGCGGCCGTCCACGCGGCGGAATTCCGGCCGACCGGCGCACCACGGATCGCCGCAGCCCAGGAGCAGTCTGCCGCCGACCCGCTGCCACAAAGGGGTGAGCGCATCGCACGTCCCACTGGGGAGAGTCCTATCCCAGGTTGGCGAGGCCGCTGCTTTCGGTGCCACGAAATCGGGCACTATAGGCGCGACTGCACAAGGGAGATACCGGGAAACGGAGGAGGCCGCCGATAAAGTTATCGGCGGCGAAACAGACCAACGAGCGGGTCCCCGACACCCCATCGAC